AGTACGAACTCTTTATGTGCTACCCTACCGCATAAGACTTGCTCATGCGCAGTTCGTACCGGAGGGCCCATCGTACCATATCGGATCTGCAAAACGGTTCCCTAAAACTCCCTAACAAAGAGTTTTAGGGAACCTTCTTTGTACATCCGATACGGATAGGCCCTTGGGTATGAACTGCGCATGCACTACTGCAGAAGACTCGCGCATGCGCAGTTCGTACCGGAGGACCCATATATTACCATATCGGATATGCAAAAAGGTTCCCTAAAACTCCCTAAAAAAGAGTTTTAGGGAACCGTCTTTGTACATCCGATACGGATAGGCCCTTCGGTATGAACTGCGCATGCGCTACTGCAGAAGACTCGCGCATGCGCAGTTCGTACCGGAGGACCCATATATTACCATATCGGATGTGCAAAAACGGTTCCCTAAAACTCCCTAACAAAGAGTTTTAGGGAACCGGCTTTGTACATCCGATACGGATAGGCCCTTCGGTATGAACTGCGCATGCGCTACTGCAGAAGGCTCGCGCATGCGCAGTTCGTACCGGAGGACCCATATATTACCATATCGGATGTGCAAAAACGGTTCCCTAAAACTCCCTAACAAAGAGTTTTAGGGAACCGTCTTTGTACATCCGATACGGATAGGCCCTTCGGTATGAACTGCGCATGCACTACTGCAGAAGACTCGCGCATGCGCAGTTCGTACCGGAGGACCCATATATTACCATATCGGATGTGCAAAAACGGTTTCCTAAAACTCCCTAACAAAGAGTTTTAGGGAACCGTCTTTGTACATCCGATACGGATAGGCCCTTCGGTATGAACTGCGCATGCACTACTGCAGAAGACTCGCGCATGCGCAGTTCGTACCGGAGGGCTCATATATTACCGTATCGGATGTGCAAAAACGGTTCCCTAAAACTCCCTAGTTGCTGAAGCCTGTTCCTTCCTTGTTTGACCGTTCTGTCACATTGGTCATACAAAGAGTATCTGCAGGCATGTTCAAAGCATTAATATAATATGGAACAAACATGCTTCGAAGATACTTGAGGTGTGACTTTTGTCACAAGTTATGTCTGCAGCGAATAGCGTGTTTTGTATGATGTATGATTGGTACGACTGGCGGTTTAGGGTTTCTACTCCTGATGGCATGACTAGGATTATCGAATGGGAGCGAACAAGATCGATGATATCTGTAACAAGCACGGGCGAAGCTTGAAGCCACCGTGTTCATAAAACAAGTGATAGGAAGTAATTTAATTGCATTGTGCTTAAAGTATTACTTCAAGGAGGTTTAGAACACTTGTACTTTACTTGAAGTACATGCTTTGAGTATGTACTTGTACTACTTAAAGTGTGTTTCTTGGGGTGCTTTCCGAAGAAAGTGCAACTCTCGACTTGAAAGTACATTCACAAATTTAGTATTGATAAAGTTGTATCATAAAATGATTTTTTGTCAACTCTGAAGCCACTTGACTCTATCCAATATTAGTCGCCATTTCCGAAAACAACTGATGCACCCCCAATTACCCCTAAGTAATGCATACCAGTTAAAAAAAACAAAAACAGCACTGCATTGGAGAATGAAAGGGTATCATGAAAGATTGTGTTAAAAAGGTGTACCTACTACTTTACTGGAAGTGCACAACCTCCCATTTACTATGTGCTTTACTTCAAGTACCTTTAAGATATGTACTTTGCCCATCAATGAATAAAAACAACACCGTCAAAGTCTGACGTTACTCTTATTTCCGTCGATGAAAGAAGAAGAATACCACCAAACGACTCTGGTCCTTCTAAAACATTATAATTCCATTTTAGCCAATCGTGGTTGCTCCCGTCTAAAAAAAAACATTTCAAAAAAAAGAAAAAGCGTTTGCCATCATCCCTGAAGAAAGTTCTGTGGACGCCCATGAAGACAAGGCTAACCCTCTTAGTGAAATTCGCTACAGAAGCTATATTAACCATACCTTCTTCAAAATGTAAGGCTAACTTAGCGAAAATGATAGTATTTCGCCCACTATTAGCATTCGTGTGGCGGGATAGGTAGATATTTGTATTGAAGCATGGAGAGATGAGCCGGAGCTCGTTCTCTGACGTGTAGAGGGAACAGCTTCATATAACATATAAACTCAAGCGTATATGCTCTCCTCTCGTGATTTTGCGGTGTAGAGAGCCCGAACAGAACAACGGTGCTTTCCTGCGTTCAAATCTTATCGCCCATTTGCTGCGTGACTTTGGACGAGATAAAAAACTAATGTCGGAAACGCCAATCTCGAGTGGTGGGTGTTGCAGGCACGTAGCCAGGGGGGAAAGGGGAGGGGGGGGGGGGAGGCCCGGTTCCCCCCCCCCTCCAAAATCTTCCATTTTGCTGGGATCTCCTCTCCCCCCTCCCCTCATACAGCATTTTGTCACGCCCCCCCCCTCCCCCCAACAAAATCCTGGCTACCTGCCTGGGTGCTGGCGTGTCTATTTTTGTAGAAGTAAATGTACAGGTTGCGTGCGTGTGTGTACGCAAGAGCTTGTTTTTAGGTGAACGCTAATAAAAAAGTAAATATCTTTTTCTAAAAAAACTTTTGTTTTAGAAAAGCTAAAAGTAACAAGGGTATGAAAATAAAGAAACCACAGAAATATGATGAGTATGGGGTCAGCCTGTACAAAGAACTGTATTATTGAACTTGTTGTTAAATGCCCTCGCGTTCTTGTTTATTATATTAATCTCCTGCATGACACCCTTGGAAATCGCCTTTTAAAAATATCTACGTCAATCTGAAATTTTGTTGTTAGAGTGAGTGAGTGAGAAAGTGTTTTATTTACTAAAAAAAAGAAAAAAAAGGCGGGAGGTTATTGATTTGAGGGTGTCATGTGAATCTTCGGAATACTCGTTTTCAACACGCTCCAGAGAGCTCATGACAACACAGTTGTGGATGAAATTACGTCAGTGAAAACATCGTATACGGGCTGAAACAGTCCTTCGTGCTTGCGTACCTGCCAGGTTTTGAGAGAGCTGTCGTTCGAACAAGGAATGGAATGCAAAGTCGAGGTCCCATATTCGGAGTCTTTGGTATATTGAGAGTTTGTAGAGCTTGTGGGGACCGCAGGCACAGAAAAAGGCCGGATCGTGTGTTCTAGCTCATATTGACCGCGGGCGTACTTCAGCGGTAATTTATTTTTAGATATGCGTTTGTATCTTTTTTTTTTTTTTTTTTTAACCTAACAAGTCACTCTTTAACAAGACCCACGCAACATCGGCCGCTGTTCTTCGCATAATACGTTAATACTAATATTTAAAGCAAATAAAAGATTCAGCTAAGTAGTATCGTATTATCGTATTAAAATTTCAGTGTCTAAATTAATCAAACGTGTTGACAAGAATATAAATTCCACATATATCTATCCAAAATACTTTGTCCACATGTGCTGCTTGTTAGCTCGAAAAACCCAATAATGAAAGGTGTATAATATTAAAAAAAAGACAAATGAATATTTTAGTCGATAATGCTATTTAAGCTTACTTTAGCGAGTACAACAATGGCAAAACATGCAAGCTCGTAATTGTCACTGCCGCGAATTCGTAAAAGCACTCCTCTGAAGGTAAAAAATAAATAAATAAGAGCAGAAATGGTTAGCGGGGTTATACAAATAAAAAGTTAAGACATTCATGGATGACTGCGGTTAGTTCATAACGAAATTTAAGCGTATACTTAGCAAACAGAACAATGAAACACCCTACAAGCTCATAATTACTGCCTCTTCGTAAAGGTACTGCACACTCCTAAAGAAAAAAAAACTATTAGCGTGGTGTGAGAAATAAAAAAAAAGTTTAGGCACTCACGCATGTTTGCGGTTGTGAGGTCGCCTTGCCTGACGACGGTATCCGGAGGTTAGGTCCACGGGCTCGGACACCGGGTCCGGACCCCAAAGCGGCGGGTTCCCTAAACCCCGCCGGGCCGACGCGGTACATCGCTCCCCGCTCGAGATGGCCGGCTCAACACGGGCCGTCTGATCGGCCACGCTCGCCAGCGCGACAGCGCGTCTGGCAGATCCGCTACGTCGCACCCGATCTTCCAACTTTGACACGAACCCGTCAACGAAAAAAAAAAAAATAATAATAAATAGGGTCGATTAGAAAAGATGCCGCGGAGCAAAGAAAACAAACATTAAAAGATTCGAAAGCAGCATCCAAAGGAGCAGCCGGAGACGTCCCGTCTCGGAATTGCGCACCCCTTTGCGTTTTATTGCTTTAGTTTTCTCTTCCCTCTCTCTCGTCGCCTCCTCTCGGCGTTCCAAACTTCTTTTCCGCCCATCCCCATCTTCCCGTTTTCCCTCACTTCCTCTTGCGGCCATTTTTCCCTAATTCCCTCGCTCTATTTGAGGTCTGCTCGCTTTCCCGAGAGAGGGACGACGGGGACGATGGGGACGACGCAAATAGGGATTGGACAGAAACGGTATAAAGATGGCGGAGCACATGAGAACACGAAAATTTCACAATGGCGCTGGGTCACAGAATGTATCAAGTGATAGAGATTGAACCAGTGAAAAGAGAGCTTCATTATTTGGAAGGTGCTTGATAGATGAGTAGGTGGTTGTTGATGTTATCTGTTTCGGCTATGTTGTTTTCCTTATATCTTTTTCACTAATACAACTTCAGCTGCGAGGTGCGAGTACCGCTTCGTCCTGTCGTGTACGTTTCTTCATTTCGTCTACGTCTACGTCGATTGAGCTGTTTTTTTTTTTTTACCAACTCGCCCAAATCGTTAGCTTAGTGCGAAATATTCACATTTAATTTGTATTTAATAATATGAACTATTAATATGACACTATATTAAAGCTTTTGTCATATTTAGCCTACTAGTATTAATATCTGGCAACACTGCCTTGTTTTTAGGTTTTTTTTTTGTTTTGAATTGTCTACGCGACCCGAGGTTACTCTAATCAAAAAGAAAAGTGTAGCTTTTTTTTGACGTCACAAGGCAAATTTCCGTCAAGTAGAGCTTCTTTTTCGACCAGAGTTAAAACTAGCGAACGCACCCATCTCCCGTCAAATCGTAATGGCGAACCGTTTTCTTGTTTGCGACGGCGAGGACGATATGCTGTGTTGACGCCGCGGTACCTCTTTTCAACAATTTACAGTGCTCGGATTTTCTTGAAGCAAGTTCAGCCTGAACATGGCGTCAAGAAAGAAAGCCGTGGACAGTCGACGTAGTACGGCTGCCCAATTTTTCATGGATGAAGAGCAGCAGCTAGCGGACCAAAAATCAACTCATGATCGGGTAAGTGGTACGCCGGCGGCTTATAAATCGGACCATTTTAAGGCAATCATGTTATGAAATTACGCGTATAATATAAGGAATGCCTACTTTCGAGAGAATAGCTCGAAATACAGGACCGTATTTTTGTTGCAGTGCCAGCTACGCTACACGCTTTGGCAATCCGGGGCATGAAGCTATGCTGAGCGTGAGGTTTTGAAGTTGACAGTGGTTAATTTCGTAGAACACAAAGTATTTTCTGTGTTTGATGTAGCTAAGAAACAGCCCGAGTGAAGTCTAGGATTGAGCGTAGAATCGCTGGGATCTCAAGTACGAGTATGGAGCAAAACAGCAGTCCGCGAGTTCGAATCGTGATCAAATCAACAACAAATCGTCCAATCTCTCTTTCTTTTTTTTTTTTTTTTTTTGTACACAGGGCAGTTTATTGCAGTGTGTCTTTAGTCAATGACAGGAATAAGATCGGTAGGTAGACCCTTCAGTCGCCCCGCCTCCAGTGTGGGCTTCCTGCTTTTATAGTGCTTCGACGCTTCCTGGTCCTCGAGCATGGGCGCGCAGCCGAAGAGTCAAAGCACGAAGGAAGGCAATGGGTGCGGGCTGAGGCCGGCCTCAAAAGGAGACCCCTCACTCTCGCCCGCGTCAACAGTTTTTCATTCGTGCAATGTCATTGCAACATCATTAGACGCGGTGCCGTAGGCCTTCATGACGCCGTGACTCTCCTGTGCCATCACTTTGAACAATTACGGAATCGTCTGACTTTCGCCATTTGATGTTGTTTGTTTAGGAAAGCGTGAGCACATTACTGCTCTCATAGAAGCTAAAGTCACCAGGAGAATGCCATACAGCTTCGTAAACTGACCGAATTGAGAAGTGTAGTCGTCGGTGAAGTCACCTGCTTGCACCTCCCAGGTGGTGGAGCTCATCAACCAGGCAGCCGTGCTCCAGAATTTGAAGGATCACCAGAAGGTGACAAACCTCCGCCAAGTCCAGGAGCTGATTGTCTTCAAGGAACCCAACCTCCTCGACAACTTTCTCGATGTAAGCTGACTAGCCACACAACTCTAGTACCTGCGAGGCCTGCTTCAGACGGGACAATTTGCCCAGCAATTTTGGGGTTGCTGATGAGTTGTTCCCTAGATTCTTGCACTGTGACACGAATTGCTGGGATTGAGTCCGGCTTGAAACAGGTGAACAACTCCAACAACACGGAGACGTCTGATGTGGCAGCAAGCCATGAGGGGCGCAATCTTTTCACGTAACCCCCCTGTAGTGGTGATGATAACAACTACACATGGGGTTTGACTTGGTTCTGGTTTGATTTGGATTGGTTTTGTAACTAAATTGTTTCGGGCAGGTCAGTCAGTATCGACTGCACCAACCCTGTTGTGAGACTTTTTAAGCAAGGAATGTCTCTCGCCCGTGTTTTACACCATGTGTTTCTCTCGTTGGTTTCAGGAAATGCTGGCATTTCAGAATGACCGGTCGCAGGAGATTCGCAAGTTTGTGGTGGGATTTATCGAGGAAGCCTGGTAAGGATACTTTTCGCACGTTGACGGTTGAGAGACCTTGCTCTTTTTTTAATTGTCGTGTTCGAGCTGCGTGCGTGATGAGCTTAAATCCGGCTCATTTGAATGCAGAGAACTTTGCGATTTTATTCTAAACCTGTACTGGGGGAGTAAAGAACTGGAAAAATGGTCTTTATTGACTCAGGGACAAGTCTCTGAAGGGCCTCCTTGGAACAGCTCTCTGCCTCATCCCACACTTGTGATGGTAGCAGTGCATGCCTGCAAAACTAGAAGTATAATTTGCACTTGCGCCAGTCGCTTGGGAAACCTAAAGTCACCGGATCTCAAAAAAGTAGCTCCATTGCCTTCGTGCCTGCTAGCCAAACACTAACAAATACCAACATACAGACGACAGAACCTCTTAGAGGGATGGGCTTATCGGTTTTGGTTGCCATGGCGGTCGCCATTTTGGTCTATTCAAATCTTTAAAGAAGCGGTGCAACAATTTGCGAACTTTGGCTAATTAATTGCGGGAATTGATCCCGGCCACATATAAAACGGAGGACCGAAAACTATTCTTTCCTGCTTGCCCTAGTTTTCATTTAAAAAAAATAAAAAAAATTGGTATCTCTGGCACCCCTCAACTCAACATTGAAGCGGCACCAGCTTTGCCTGTGACGTCATTCGGAGTGGCGTTGGTTTCCGGTTGGGTGCTTCTGGCTTCCGTTTCCCCAGCGCTCGCCGGCTCGCCAGGCTCGCCGCTCTTCCCGCTCTCCCGTCGATTCCCCGACCAACATGGCGGCATGGGCGGATGGCCTGAGCGACGTCGAGCGCAAGATGCTTGCGTATAGTAAGTCAGTTGGACTTGTGCGGCGGGCAGTCGAAGTCGAGGTTGAGACACCAGGAACAATAACGATACCACAATACTACGGACCACGACCAACGCACTCCGTCGAGCGAGGGAAAGACAAAACATCCGGGTTGCTCGTGTAGCCGCCGTAGGCGCCTCGGGCGTCGACGGATGTCGGCGACGGCAGGTTTTTTTGACTTGCGGTAGATGGCGCCACAAATCTTTTAGCGGCAATATTAGGCTTTTGAAGCATTTCTGCATGCCTAAACAACAAGATTTTTTAAACTTAACCTTAAATCAAGCTTACAATTGCCTAACACTATCACTTACAAAAACCACTCCAAATGACGTCACACCACAGGTTCCATTTGCGGCCACCATGTGGCCGCAGGTTGGGAAAAAAAGTGTTTTTTATTTTGCGATTACGCAGCGAAATAGAGGTATTTTGGGGTATAGTGGCACTTTTTCTCTCACTTATGCTGAAGTAAACAATATAAAAAATACAAGCTGCACATTCTTTCAGTGTTAAAATCATTGCACTGCCCCTTTAAAGCTCCGAAAGGGTCGTTCCAACCAGTCGCACCAAGATCGCTATGGAGCACCACCGTACCGAAAGCGTTCCTTGCCAATATAAACATCTTTGGCACTGTGCATGCAATGCGTGCATGCATGCACAATGCCTGCAATGCGAGATGGGAAAATTATTTTTCAAATGCCTCTAAGCACTGGCGTTGCACGCGTGACGGCAGTACAAGGAGACGCCAAACACGCCGGTCGAGGATGCACCTCAGAGCGCCATACTCCTAAACTGGAACCTTCCTTTTGTTGAGCGGCTGCCTCGGCGCCTTCTGCCCTTCCTTCTGGACGCAGCAAGAAGGACCCGGACGTGTTCCCCAAGGTGCTGGCGAACCTGCGCATGATGTTCCGGGACGAGGCGGTTGCGGTGCAGAAGCGGGTGATCCAGGCAGCGACGCAGCTGTACCGGGTGGCCCTGCGCTGGATCTGCCAGTCCCGGGGGGTCGACGACCTCATGGAGACCTCCTGGGAGTATGTGCGCAACCTCAAGGACGACGTCGTGGCCCTGCTCGACTCGGAGAACGACGGGTGAGCGCCGCCTTCGTCCCGGCGAAGTTTTGACGCGGAACGTGTTGTGGGGCTAGGTTTCGTGAGAATAGCATCACGTTACGCTCAAACGACACGCATACAATATCACGGGACATCATGCGGTATCGCAATGTCACTTGAAATTGTTACTTCACACGACACCCAAAACTGACTGCGTGTGACTGACGTCACGCCCGTGCTGGAGTGTGTGTGACAGACCAATACGCATGTGATATCATGTGACGTCGTGTGATATTGCAATGCCGCTTGACATTGTGACGTCACATGACACCCAGACTCGACATCGCATGACTTTGCGATGCCGTGTGACGTCCCACACGCTCGGCATGTGCCCAGCTCTTTTGCTACGTATTCCCTGTGTATCCGAGTTTTTCAGATATGTTCAAGGTGCGCCTAGCTTTTTGCATACTGTATGCCTGGGCTTCGTCGGCATTCACCATCGTGCTCGTCTTCCGCAGGGTTCGCACTCACACGATCAAGTTTATGGAGATGCTGGTGATACTCCAGACCTACCCGGTGAGTCGCGTTCGACGACTCGGTTTCGGCTCGTTCTGTGCGGTAGTCTTACGTCTCCGTGTTTCGCTCGTACCGGTCAACCCAGGACGGAGACAGCCCCAACAAGTCTGAGAACGACTTTGCGCTGGACGACGTCCCGCTGTCGCTGAAGTTCATCAAGCCACGGAAGTTGGAGGAAGAGGCCAAGAAAGTTTTTGATGCGCTCGTCGTGTTCCACGGCACGTCACACATCTCGAGGTGAGCCTACGACAGCAGACGTCGCAAGCTGCCTTGGCTTGCGTCGTTAGTAAAGGCTTACTTTAATTGATTGTCCTAAGGCAGCTGTTCCTAAAGTTTGTGGTTTCAAGGATTCTCATGCTGTTGGTGTCAAAGAGGGAATGACACGCTTCGGTTGGGGTGGTGTCTTCCAGCATCAACCTGATGGCCTGCATGCAGACGCTTGTGAACATTGCCAAACACAGAGCAGAGTTCATGTCTAGGGTCATCCAAGCACTGGAGTCGCTTCACGGTAAGTCAAGTCTAAAGTCGCCCCTTGTTTTTGCGCTTATTCGTGCATTTCAAGTATGTATCGTAAATTACTGGCGGCCACTCCCCAATTTTAAGCTCGTCACAAAGTTCTGCTTGAGATCATTAATGCTGTCCATCTTTCCAGGCACAAGAGATGGACAAATATCTAAATTTACGGGTTGAACGCTTTATCCTAGGTTTAGCGAAGATCTGGCAAACCACGGGATGCACTGCACTCCCCTGATAGTAACTTCATAAAGTTAAAAGGATAAATGCAGAACAGTTGTTTCAGAAGTCGGGGCGGGAACATTGCTAGAAACTGATTTTGTTATGCCTTATCTTAGATTTGCCAATTCTGGAATATTTATCTGTCATGTAATGGGCACCTTGCTCATATTTTACGGTGATGTAAGAACTCTAATGCCTTGATAGCCACGTTTACGTGAAATCGACTTCAATGCATCAACTCTAACCTTTCTTAAAATGAAGCCGACGCGGATGCGCAGCAAGTTTTATGCAAAGGTGGTGCCACGCCCTCTAAAATCTCAAAGTTGAAGCTGCGGTTCCATCACCAGCTGCATCACGTGACCGCATTTTGCGGTGCTTCATGTGTAGACTAGTGTTGTGCGAATATTCGAATTTTCGAATAGTAGTTTCGAATAGTACTCTATTCGATATTCACTTCGAGAGCAGTTTTAATATTCGTGCTTTTCGAAGTGCTCGCAAACTCATGGTCGCAAGTTTGTTTACTGTCTAAAGACCAGAAAGGAACAATATCTAGAATCAAGAATATATTCACACGTTCGGCAAAATGGTATAAATATTATGGTGGGAACTTCGAAATATATTCATCGTAATTATTTCATCAACTTGTTTTAATAACGGGCAAAAGAAACCGAGCAACGAACTCCAGAGACGCCGGCGCCATCTTCGCCAATCTTGGCGCCCTGGTTGCCAGCACACTTTTCTCACCACCGCCACGTCCAAACATAAATTTAGAAAAACAAGTTTAGGATAAAAAGTAATACCTTTAGAAATTTCTCATAACATGCATAATTGCTGAGAAACTTTTATTTCCGATAAAACTCATAAACACGGTTTCAAAACATTTAAACTCTAATATTTCGAAGGAATATTATATTATTACAGCAACAAGGTAACTGGATGACATCGACATTGTCAAAATGACGGCAGCTAAGTCGGTTGGTAAGATGGACTAACGACAGCGTGAGAAGTCCAGTTTGGAAGTATTTCTGTAAACTTCCCTCTAAAAACGACAAAGTTCTTGAATGGCAAGTATTCAATATTCGATTAGAAAATATTCAACCAAAGTCACTATTCGCTTCGCATTCGATTCAAACTCAAAATCCACTATTCGCACAACCCTAGTAGAGACCCCGTCGACGAATGTAAAGATTGTGCCCGCTGTCTTCGATGCTGTGCACATAGTTACGAGTTGCAAGAAATATCAAAACCCAAGAGCTTTGGGTTCTGAGCCAGGCCAGCAGGCCACTCTGGGAGAGATGCGACGTGCTCTCTGGCAAGCGAGATTGTTTTCAATCGCTCTGAGGAAGTCTCCACGCTTCACCTCGCCAAACCTCGCCAACCATGGCCGGACCCTAAGGCCGAAAGGCTCCGGGGCAGGCAGGAACGGCACTGAGGTAGGAGCTGCTCGTTCTGCGGTACCATGCTGTGCTCGAAGCTCTTGGCGTCGTTAGTGCTTGCACAGAAGCCTCTAGAGACTTCCTTGGACGCGCAAGTCGTAATTCGCAAGGCTTGGTAGGGGGCTGCCCTCACCGAGCAGCTCAGCTATATTCCGCTCAGTTTTAATGGCAATAAAAGCTCAGGCTTTTTCTCGCGAGAAAACTGAGGGCGACCACACGGGACCGCTTTCCACTGTCACTGACGAGGTTGGCCGCCACCATGTTCTCAGCTGTTCACTCGCTACTGCAGAAAGCGCCTTCCCATAACCCTGCCCATTCTAAGACTCATAGCGACCTCAGTTTACATGGGCTGAATGAATGTGCAGTTGCCGTTTCGATCCACCTCCGTCTAGCGACTTAAATGTGATGCGCTTTCCTAGCACATTATGCCGTTTACATGACCGGATTGAATGTGACAACTGGATACAATGCAACTAAGTTGCATTCACGTAAATGCAGCTTTTGCCAAGTTTGTCACGAAAACGGTCATCAAGAAGGGATTTTATCATTTGTGGCCCCTTGCTTCGGTGTGCATCTTTTTCTCTACCTTCGGTCGTATTCTTGGGAGACTGAACACCCCTAACAAATGGTGCAATGGATTCTGTGCAATTTTTCAGCCAACCTACCTCCGACCCTGGCAAAGTCTCAAGTGAGCAGCGTGCGAAAGCACCTGAAGGTATGTTCAAGCTTATGTTCTTATCTCAGGGACCTGCTATTACAGTAAAACCTCGTTATAACAAAGTTGAAGGAGCGGTCGTAATGATTTCGTTATAACGATTAGTTTGTTATAGCCACTGTCATTTCTTCCCACTATTAGCAAGCAAGGGGAATTATGATTGTTTTGTTACATCCATTAGTTTGTTATATCCCATTTTGTTATAAAGAGGTTTTACTGTATATCATCATATCACAAAAACTCTGATCATATGATATTGCTTAAACACAGCAACATACAGTATAGTGAGGGATCTCAGTAAGAATGAGCCCGATGACAGAAACATGAATTCGTTTTGCCCCACTGTTCACTCTTTACTTGTATCTGTGGAATTCGGGAAAGTGTATGAATAGGTTGCTGTTTTAGGCATTACACTGAGAACGCTCAGATAAGCCTACGGCAAACATTGTTTTGATAGATTGACAGTAAAAGGTAGGCACCAAAAGCCCGTTCCACTGTCTGGCATTTATTTTAGTTGTATCTTGTATACATAGGCACTATACTTTGTTGGTATCAATCTATATTTGCATTTGTGCAACACTTTGTGCTTTGCTGCACGACTTTTTGCCCACTTCATGTGTTCGTACGACAATCATTGGAAACAGTCCTCGATCTTGGCGGAATGTATGCTGAGCGATCGTGCCGAATTTCCTCGAAAGCGGACGCTGGAAATTGGAAACCATAATTACATTTAATGTGCATCTCGCGTCCACAATTGTTCTCAAGTTGATCGTCGTCTGTGCTTTTGCTCAGCTGCAACTGCTCATCCTGATGAAGCACCCTGCTGCTGTCGACTTCCACGGACAAATCAGCACGCTCCTCACTGATCTGGGAGCCACCCCTCAGGAGGTAAGCACCCATTTCGAAGACCGGGACCTTGGTCTGGAAGGACGGATCAAGTGGGAAAAAAAGTGTGGGAAGCAGGACACGTCAAGGATGTGCCAAAATGGTAAATTTAGGGTGGTGGAAGACGACTGGCAGCAGCGATTTTAAACAACACGCTGGTTGAAAGGTCGCAGGTCCGAGACATAGCTTATTAATGCGAAAGCATTAATGTCCCATAGAGTGGAACCGAGGGCGTCTGTAACCACATAAAATGGCACCTGAATTGGCTATGATGCTTCATATCAGATGCTTTGTCGTGGAAGCCGGCGCGGTCGCTCAAGGTCAAAGCAGATGTCCTCTAAGATAAAAAAAACAAAACAAAGCACAGCAAGAAAAACACAGCAATGCAATGCTTCGTCACGGAAGCTGTCGCGAAGCCGGCAAGGTTCGTTGCGCCTGCACAGGGGGGTGATGCGTGATGTCGCCGCCGCAGCGCCGTGTGCAATAGAAAAATGTGGCGTGCTGCTTGTAGGAATGCGCTGCGTGTAGGAATGCTTTTGCAGTCCTACACGTAAGTTGTGCTAAGTGTCTGCTGAATTTTTTGAAGGACAGCTCTCCTTCATTTTTGTTTTTGAAAAAACAATGCAATCCTCTTCACTACCACTTAGGAAGACCACACGTCAAATATTATGACCTCGTTCTGTCTAAACGCTTCTCAAACGGGCCGGCAAACTTTGGAACGCGCCAAGTTGCCGAAATTGGCTGACTCTAGCGGTTGAATTGAGGTGCAATCAACGGCGCAGTCAAGGCTACGGCGTTGGCGTATCCAACATTGAGCTAAACGTCATCAATATTGCTACTTTTTGTTCTTTGTTTTGTTTGTTGTTTTTGTTCTCTGAGCAGTCGTAACGGGTGACGTCAGCAGCATCTCCTCTTGGCATCGGCCAGTTGTGTTGGCCGAGCAGCATCCACGTGATTGGCATACCAGTACCTGCGCAGCGCGCTTCTCAGCCTTGGGGGCCGTCCGGCCATTACTCCCATCCCTTGTGTCCCTACCGCCGTCATCGTCTCGCTGGCTGCGATTATCGTCTCTCGGAGTTTCATTCCCACTACATACACAGACTGTTGCCACAGTTGGTCAGATGTCGTCGGATATCGTCGACACCAAAACTTGGTGAAGACTGCGGCGCAGACGACACTTGGGTCTTGCACGCGCTTGCCCCAAAGGTGGCCCATCCCGATACCGCCCGTCATCACGCAGAGGATTACATGACCGCTCGTACCATATGGTAGCCATGTTTTTGGTGGCCCGAGGCCAATGTTGCCCGATGGAGCTGAAGCTTCGGTTCCTGTGTGTGTTTAAACCAAGATTTCACAAAATATAACCAATTTTTCGCAAAGCTAAAGACAGTGCATTTTATTAGTGCTTTTTAATTAGCAATCATACATAATCCCGAAATTGTTGGAATTGAGTGGAGTTGCCCTTCAATGTCCCTAGGAAGTACAGGACAGAGTGACTCCCCGTAACTCTCTTCTTGTCTGCCAGATTGCCAAGTGCATGCCCAAGCCGGAGGAGCTGAAGAAGCGGGCGCGGCTCATCGAGGAGAGCACCAGTGTGGCCAGCGGCGCCGCACCGCCTAGTGTAAAGCGAATCAAGCTGGAGGTGAGCTCTCTTTCTCTTCCCCATCTGACCACTGTCGGACGTGTCTTTTGCAGTTTTCGGGTTTTGCAGGGGCGAGACTAGAGGTGTGTGCGCTGCTTTTGGGGAATAAACGCACTATGGGCAATGCGCAGATTTTACGGACTTCGCAGATTTAGGAGATAGACCGATCTTAGGCAATGTGCAGATGCTGGGAAATACATATAATTTTAGGAAATATTCGGACTTTAGAGCATATGCAGGTATGCAGGTTTTCGGGAGTATAGAGACTGTATAGGCAATGTGGAGATTTTAGGGACCATGCATATTTTAGGGAACAGACTGACCTTGGGCAATATCCAGACCCTGAAAAATATGTATAATTTTAGAAAATATTAGCATTTTGAGAGCCATCCTCATTTTGGGGAGTAGAGAGAGACACACAGTGTAAAAACTTTCAGTCTTTTTACTTTGGTGATGAAGGAAGAGTAGCAGAGTTGTAGCTTCTGTTCTTGGCGTTGGCTTTCCAGGCGAGCAATCTGCTTTTCTTTTGCAAGGGAGCCTGAAGCGCTCGCCAAGGTGGAACTTGAGGCGATAGCGGCTTCGCGGCGGCGGTTGCGGAACCATTCGCGCTGCTGCACACGTCGCCGTCGCTCATAGATGGTGACACCGAACTCTCAGAGCCGTATATTGGGAGAGTTTGGCCAGTGGGTGTGGCGAAGAAGGCGCCGGAGAGGAGAGAAGTAAATGAAAGGGAGGAGAGCGCTGAAGGGAGCGAGAGAGAAAGAAGGGAGCAGAGAGGAGACGACTGCCATTTTTTAGCAACGCTGTCGGAGACTGGTCGGAGAAGAGCGCTGCTGAGGCTACGCGTCGTCTGCTACGGGCCGACTTCTTTTTCGCCTGAATAAAAGTTTGTGGTCATACGTCGAAAAATCTTTATTTATTAGCTTTTTAACCCACCGAGGAATAACAGAATGTCATTTTCTTGCCAGAGCCAACGATATAAAAGGCAATAATCGAGATTTTGATGCCGATCCCACGCATTCCGCCGGGAGAATGATTGAAGATGGCGGCCCTCCCCACTCAGCTGGGAGCAACCGGGAGTTCACGTGCATGCGCTCATGCCTCTCGCTCTACGCCGCATGCTGATTGGCTCACTTGGGAGGAGAGCGTTACAGCGGCGAGATCATAGACTGACCAAACTCTCCCCATATACGGCTCTGCGAACTCTGGACAGAGACCGCCATCTATGAGCAACGGCGGCAACCAGCTGTTTGCCTGGTTGCCGCCGTCGCTCATAGATGGCGGTAGCTGTCCAGAGTTCGGTGTCATTATTTTTTTGCTGGTGGACACGATCCTGGGGAAACTAGCCCTTAACAGCTCCGCAGTAAAAATTTAGTGAATACAGACACTATAGCCAAACTGCAAAATTTAGAGAGGAGGTAATTATGATAGGCCCTATTTTAAGTGATGTACCGGCAGATTTTAGGGGTTGGGTAAACTGAGATAGCCTATGTCGTCTGGACTTGGTTTAAAGGGTGACTGACTTCTCGTTCGTCCGCAGACTGAGGAGGAGGAAGAAGAGGAGGAGGAGGAAGAGAAGGAGGAAGGGGACGACAGCGCCATTTCCAAGGCAGCCACTAACACAGCCATCGACATCACGGCCCAAGACCTCGTCTCGAGGCTCACCACTGTGAACGTCACGGACATTGTTCTAGTCAGCATGGTGAGGTTCTATATGGGCTTCCACGTGTTTATTTTGTCAGGACTTGACTCTTGTGCCTTAATGATGCTTGAGTGTCACTGCCTCATTTGTTAGGATTTGTGCAATATTCAGTTACATGTACGCAAACCTGTTAATTGCGGCAATTTTGTTCTGTTGGCAAAAGGGAAAACTTGGCATCTTCGCATTCATGGCAGATGGTTGGCAGTTGTGGTGGAAAGGCAGCGTTACAAAAGAATTCGCAGGCTCATTGCCGCATACTGCAAACGGAGTGGCAGCAGTATTTGCAGTGTTTTCCAACGCATCATACATTCGCACCGTGCGAGGATGACTCCTATTATTGAGTATGAAATGCAAAGCACTTCCTGGTTGAATGGTCTGGGAAGGTTTCTCGCAGCACTACACCACACACGGACATATCACGATCCTACGTGTCCAGTAAAGTTCTCCACCGAGTCCACACATTCGCACTGCTTTCAAAATCTGGGGAAGTTAGTGCACAATTCACTCGAGAGGCTTACGAGTTCTAACGTAAGAGGAAATTTAACGAGGAAACTTTTTTACTAGGTTTAGCGGAAAGTGTTTTCCCATTAAATTTAGCTACCACTTGGCCACGACAACATTCAGACGCAGCAGCAATAGAGAGTTTTAGTGGATAGTTCCAATAACCCCGATGACGATACCCGATACTCTGCAAATGCTTCTGCACATGCATAGTGTCGTTATTGGAGGTATCGGAACGATACACTAAAACTCCCTAATCACACACCGCTGATCGATTGGTGTTAGGGGTTATAGATGGCTACGACTGTTAAACGTTTCAAGTAGTAGCAGCAGCACAATAAGACTTGTAGCCATATTCTCAGTACTCATTTACATACTTACTTCATATTTAGTTTATATTGATTTCAAACTTGTTTTGTATTACTTTAGTGCTCATTTTATACTCGTATCGTACTTGTTTCATACTCATTTTCTGCTCTGAGCAATCTTGCCCAGGACAAGGGTCTCATTTCTATCTTTTGCGGTATTTGTCCCAGCTCTCGCTGCCTGAGACGATGCCCGCCCACTTTCAAGCATCGTACACTCCGATCGCTGTGGCCGGCACCGAGACCCAGATCAAGCACTTGGCTAGGCTCATCTCGACCCAAATGACCGCTGCCGGGCTTGGCAAGGGCGTCGAAGAGATGATGGTCAAGGCCAAGGTAAGGCCGCCGTTTCTCTCTCTGTCGTCATCGTTGGGTATTTCACATCACGAAAATTGCAATGGGAGAAGCAGAAGATGTCTGACGACCTCAAATGCTGCGTTTACCTTGCAAACAAAGCCTTTATGTCTAGTTCTCAGCCGCGTGCACTGGGTGCCGATGGTCTTTACGGAAGGACAGCAGCAGGTCGTGAAGCACCAAGAACATATGGACCCATAAAAGTGGACACCGAGCGTTTAGTCTCTCTAAGGTGCAGTGACACAGGGATTACCTAGTTCTCTGTGTGCTATGTAGGAAAGTAGGCATGCAGGATTTGACTTTTTGAGGCCATAGTCCTTAAATAAGTTACCGTAAAGTTTCGGGAGAATGCCCGTCCCTGGCAGACACCCCTCTTGATTTTGGGGCCGAATATCCATAGTATAAAAATCCCAAAACATTGTGTCCCCCCCCCCCCCTTCTCCAGATATCACTCACCGAGCTCTTATTGGCTGATTGAAAAAAAGATTGAGGTACACCTAAGCACTTCTTACGAGTTGTGAATGTGAAAGCATGCAAGCCACTCGTCCGCTCTCTATTTCGTCTGCTGCGCACTTTTCGTCACCGGTCAGCGCGTGTACTCCCCTGGGCACGGTGACCTTAGACGCTTCGTGCTTAGGGGAGCAGCGGCATGCTGATGGACACTCAGTGGTGCCATGGTGTGGGCGGTCGTGGAAACTGACAAGCGCAGCGGCCAGTGGAAGCCCCGTCGACGCGCGCCACCCAATGGAATCGAAGGATCGGGGGAAACTATGTGCCGTTTTCGCGCTTCAAACTGATGACGTCAGCTCGCCTCATGAGACAGTTGCTGCTTTCACATTAAAAATTGTGGGTAGACCCCAATGCTAGATGCCTTGGGGTCTTCAAGGCATCTAGCATTCAGGTCTACCCACTGTTCTTTCAATCAAAGCCAATCAGAAGTCAGCATCGTTCTGACGTCACTGCAACTCCTGTACAAGAAGCAGACGATTTGCTCTCCGCATTGGTTCTCGTGATAAGCAAGTTTGTAGCGGTATCCCGTGTTTATCGCACCGTGAAGTGCAAATCTGCTGCGCCCACAATCTGCGGTATCTGTTCCCGTGACATGCGAGTTCGTAGCGGGTTCCCTCGCTTCTGTCTGCGATCTGTGCCTGCAATATCGGTTCCTGTGACACCCGAGTTTGTAGCAGGTTCTCGTGTGTTTATCACACTGTGAAGTGTGAATGTGCTGCGTCCGCGTTCTGCAGTACCTGTTTCAGTGACAGGGAAGTTTGTAGCGAATTTATGCATACATATCTCACCGTGGAACGCTCATTAAGGGGGGAGAACGAAGAAGAAAAAAAAAATTCTTCCCAAAAAGTTGATTTTGAAAAATGCCATACTTATGTCTGTCAACATCTAGAGAGTATTCCCAGAAAGTTTCACTTGTTTACACTGCATAGTTATTTTTTTATGAATTATTTTTGGTCCAGCGATGCTAAAGAAAAGGTAGAGGAGGTACGAGCACTTTGAACGCGTTTTTCTCTATTCCACTTTTTGCCATGAATTTCACTTTAGGAAAACTATCATTTGAAAAAGGGACAAAACGAAAGGCTCACTCATTGTTTTTCCTAACTAAAATTTAATGGGCAATGCAACTGTGGCTTTGTCTTTTTTTACTTTGTGGATGTCTTTTACAAAAGATGTTAAGATTTTGTCATTGGCATAAAAGACAAAAAAGTTCTTTGATTTTTCAGTGCAATGTTAGCATAAAATAAGTTACTTTTTGGAAATTTTATTTTCACAGTTGCACTCTCCAGGCACTCTGCTGCATATCTAGTGAAGAAAAATGTTGGGCATTTCTTCAATTTTTTTAACAATAGTTTTCGTAATCAATGCTACTGTGTTCGTGAAAAAAAAAGACTATAATTTATTTCACAGTTCATCTACAGATGAAGCTTTGCACTGCGTTCTGGCTTGTAACTGCCAGTATAGACTGTAAATTTCATTCATATTAAACCAAAGGTTCAAAAGTTGACCCTTTTGGGTAGTGTCCTCCCCTAGCCGTGTCCTCAATCTGTTGTATCACTCCCCGTTTCAAGTTTGTAGTGGCAGCACCCACCCCTTCGTGCTTATCACCAATTTTTATGCAATTTTGCTGTTGCAGCTTCAAACAATGCCAACCCCAACTTTTAGAGCGCAGCTCTTAGGCGCCCGTTTCCGGCTTGAGCGGCGTCGCCGTTGGCGTCGGCGTAACCGGGAGGTCACATGACCCCCCCAGGTCACGTGACCTGGGGGTTATCGTCACTGATGACGTCGTAAGTGACGTCGCTGATGACGTCATTGGCATCCGCATTGCCATCGTCATCGTCACTGATGACGTCATCAGTGACGTCAATGATGACGTCATCGCCATCGGCATCGTCATCGTCACTGATGACGTCACTAGTGATAATGACGTCATCAGTGACGTCACCGGTGATGTCACTGATGACGTCATCGTCACGTGACCTCATAGGGGTCACGTGACCCCCATGAGGTCAAGTGACCCCCGTGAGGTCACGTGACTGTAGTGAGGCAACGGCGACGCCGCTCGGAGGGAGGAGTAGCAGACAGGATGAGGAGGTGAGGAGGAAGGATATACCTTCCCCTTGGTACCCCTTTCCTCCTCCTCTTCAAGAGCTGCGCTCTAATTCGGCGTTACAGGAAGTTGTAAACGGCTTTCATTTTTCACCATTTATCTCCCTATTTTGGGTGGAGTTTCTTTCGGAACTTTAGGGTAGATTAAAGTTAACTGAGCCTAGAAGTGGACAGGTGGAAGCTTGGGAACAACCTTAACAAATTTTAATCGAAATATTTGGCAAAAGCCACTCCTATTTTATTTGAATTTGCTTCAAACTCAAACTTTACAATTTGAACATGCCTAGTCTTTTGTATTTGTGGTTTCTCTAAAACGAGTTTCCAGAATCCAGGTTGCATTATAATGGTGCATTAAATGGAGGGGCGTCGTTGCAGGAACAACAAGAAGAGGAGAAGAAAGTCGAAGAGACTTCTCAGCCAAAGCAGACAATCCAGACTTTGCTCGGTAAGTTTTTTCTGTTCTCAATAGTATTACCCTAAATCCCTTTCTATCTTATTTTTTTCCTATAGTAATGCATTGTTCTAGCTTGGCGACATTTTTAACTGTGACTTGTCTCTTTGTGTCGCACTTGAAACCTTTGTTCGACTCAAAAGTGTCGAACTGCAAGTGCAATATTTCTTTTGCTGTTTTGTGAAGGCGGTACAACTGACACCGGTAAGAAAAAAGAGGCCAAGAACACCGTCTTGATCCCGACGGGCTTCGAGGTGAGAATGATTGATCGCTTTATTTTCTTCTTCCACATTGCTTTTTAGTATTAATATATTCATTTTCTAGTTTTTATGTCTCTTCAGTACAAGCCGCTCTGCCTAGATATAAGGGTGATTGCACAGGCGAGCTGGTGAGTGATCATACTGCAAAAGCCCGGAGATGAGGGACACAAAAAAGGGGACATACACAGCACCATCTCAAAAAAGACGGTTTGAGAAGGGTTTGTGTTTGTCCCTTTTTTGTCTCTCATCTCCAGGGCCTTTTAGTATGATCACCACCATGTAATTGTTGGAGTTTCAAATATGAATTGCTGCGGCCATTGATTTAATAGTCATAGTCCAATTTCCAAATGTTTTTGTTGGGGGTAGTTCGGTAGACAAACGAAGACAAAAGGGGAAGCTCAAACTTGACGCTTCAAATATGCAAAAAAATTAAATGAAAACATTATAATAAGCCACAACATTGGAGCATATGCATGTGTGGGCGTGTGACTTTGTTTTTAATTAATTTAAGAAAGAGTTGCTTGCGTGCACTTGCAGCAAAGCAACAAGGGACGTCGATTTCGGCAACTCAACTTGGCGGACATCACGCGGCCACTTAACGAGGATGAGACCGCGCAGATGCTCGTTTCTGCCGTCCGTCGAATCCTCAAGGCGGGGCGTGAGTACATCTTGTGTTCACGTAACTTTCTGGCATAATATCTTTTTTCAAAATGAACTCTAAATAGTAAGGGTTTCATTATCTTCACTGCAGGGGCTCATTCCTCGGGCATCTCACCGGTAAGTGTCTCTTATCGTTTTTTGATCGGGCATTGACACCTATTGTGTTTTTACAGTGACTGAGTGAACAAAAGAACGTAAAAGTAGCGCAAATGTTGCCATGGTGCGAAAGAATACACCCCCTTCCTCTGTTCAGGTTCAAGTCAAGATTCTTGCAGGACTGGCGACGCAATTTGGAGGCGAGATCAGTGCCAGTAAGATCCTTCATTTCTAATTTTGTTCATATTTGTCCCTCCCAAAACTCGGGGGAAAAAAACTCCCCCGAATTCGAGGAGGAATAAACCCTGACAACATGGAACTCTGGTTATAATTAGGCCGTAAATGTTTCCGGCATTTATTTGTAAGGAAAGTCGGCGGATGTTTTTCGCCATTCATTCGTCTTGGCGTATTCCAGCAATCCGTTTCGGACAGACCCTAAAAACTGTGATCATCGTTGAAGAAATCTCATGAAAAGCTAGGAGTTTTAAGCTGTAAGAGAGGTGGGCTTCAAGAAAAACAGTCCTTAGCTGGAGTCAAAGTTTGAAGAAATCCACGTTTTTTCAGTTCGAGCCGATTTTGTATTTTTGACACCGACGGATGTTTGTCGGTATTTTTCGGCTAAAACAGGAAAGTCCACATCCTAGTTATAATGCAGAGCGATTCTACTGTACTGCCACATCCCTTCCCGTAACGCCCAGCCTCGGAAAACGGGGGACGCGGAGACGCTGTGGCCATTGACAACATCGGGCTTCCTCGCCTGGTGTGCTTGGCGTTTGCCCGTGCAGCAAAAGTAATCCCGAAATTGCAACAAACGACGCCGCAAAAGCCGGAGCGTCACGCCGTCGGACGCAATGATTCTGCCGGTCGGGCGTAGAGGTTCCGGGCAAAAGCGCGAAGAAATGCAAGCGTTGTCGTCGCAGCATTCTGGTTGCCGAATCTTCCGTGAACCGTCCAGCCGGAGAGCGACCTGCAGCAGAACAGGCGTCGGCGACGTTCACCGTCGTCGCTGTGACGGCGAGACACTTCTGGGACCTCGTCGGACGGAAATCCAGGGATCACTTTTTAGGACGCGTGGGAGGCACCATGTTCTCGGTGACATGCTAAGCGTGACTCGTACAGAACAACTCTTCCCGCGCGTCGGCGATGGTGTGGCGTTATTTCGGATGCCACGCCAGCCGTTTGTGGCCGGGCCAGAAAACATGGGCGCCACACTGACGAGGGAAGTACAGATCTGCTCCTGCCAGTGAGAGCTGGGAGAACAGCTGCATAATATCAGCGCACCCACTCTCCGCGGCGCGCGCAGAGTGCGCGGCCGACTTGGCGTGCTTTTTCGAACAAGGAGATATTGGTGCCACTGGTGCGGTTTAACGACAGCTCGATTTCCAATCTAAAAATAAAACGCGTATCTGCTACTTTTTTTGGTTGCGGTGCACTTGCTGCGTTCAAAAGAGTGATCCCTGCTTGAAATCGGCGCCCGCATTCTTTACGCATCGCGTTTCCACGGGCGGAAAGACTCTCCGTACGGCTGGCACGGTACAGAGTTCCTTTTTCGGCACGGCGTTCAGTGCTGAAGGACTACATCCTGGAGGACCTGCGCCTGCATGCGGACATTGCCCTGGCCTGGCTGTACGAGGAGTACGCCCAGCTGCAGGGCTTTCAGCAGGGTGGTGCCGCGCCGCCCATGGATAAGCTGGCCGGCAGCGAGTCGTACGTTCACTGCCTCAACGGCCTGCTGAAGGACGTGCTGCACAAGTGCGAGCCGAGGGAGCGGGACGCGTGAGTCGGCCTTGCCGGACCATCTTGTTTTTCTGACTGCAGTCCACCCAGTGTGCAGAGGCAAGAAAGAAAAAAATTTTGTTCTCTGATTGCGGGTTCTCAAACTGATTCCAGGAACCAAGGGGGTGCCCAGAGTACCCTCATGGGTTCCTGCAGTTCCCAGATTTCCTCGACCATCCCAGTCCTGAGCAGTGTTTCCCCAGTTCGCCATAAAATACCGCAGAAGCGCCCACTTCGTTCAAGCGCCCACTATTAACATTTCCCAAACTTGGGAATACAGTTGAACCTCGATTTAGCGAAGCCACCGGGACCCCCTAATTATTTCGTTAAATCGGGAACTTCGTAAAGTCGAGAAAGACATTCTTCGGTATAGGCTGAGCGAGGAATCCGAATTTGTTCGTTAAATCGGGAAACTCGTAAAATCGGGTTTCGTTAAATTGAGGTTCAACTGTACTGCAAATTATACATTAACCGCCTGATTTGACCAGGCAAGTGCCCATGTCTAGATTAACCTAGTGTCCAGCGATAGGGGTGGGCTCTCCCCCGGTAGTTTATGGTAAGCACTAGTTTACCGGATCTGAGCTACCCACTGATGCGTAACTAATAATTATTAGTTAGGCGCAACAGCTGTGCACTCCAGGGAAGCAATACGCGCAGAGCTCGCGAGTTCCGCATATATTGGTTTTCCGCAGTGCACAGGTGCTCGGCGAGAAGCGCACTCGACAAGGCTAACATGCTACGATCAACACTTGGAGAAGTACTAGTATTGCAGTTCATCTCAAAGCGAATATCGAATAGCACATTATTCGGAATTACTATTCGAAAATTCAAATATTTGCACAACCCTATAGTAAGTGAAACACTCCCTAATGGTCCATTTTTGTTCACACGGTCTGCAGTATTTTGTACTGCGTCAGTGCTGAGACCAAAAACACCTGTACCTCAGCTATCAATGAAGAGAGATAGGCATTCCTCAAGATAGAGAAGTTGGATAGCCCCTCCAGTTTTGTACCTGGTGCATGGTCTGTGCCGAAAAATTCTTATATGCAGCACATATTGACTAATGCCTGCTTTATTAGCTCACAACGAAGCTTGTGTCGTACATAAATCATCATTAATCATACTCTGCCATTTACAAAATCCTTCACATCTTGCCAAATTGAACGATCTAGAAAAAGCAAATCCTCATATGGTTCACACCTGTAGGTAGCCTGCACCAAATAAATTTTCTACTTTTACACATTTGTAATCTGCCCGGAAAATGTGGTATACTACTCTAAACCGTGCAGTCCATTGTCTCGTAATTCAGTTTGTGACTAGATCAAGCTGTTGGTTTAGTCCCAAATTCAGTTTGATGGACAGTTTGTACGCTTTATTTGCTTCGAGAATCTTTTGAAGCTTTCATCTCAGAAAAAAATTTAAAGACGTTTACAACTCCCTGTAATGCCAAATCAGAGCGCAGCTCTTGAGGAGGACGAGGAGGAGGAGGAGGGGGGGACGGTATTCCTCTCCTCCTCCCTCTTTTTCCCCCTCTATCCTCCCCCTCCCCATCCTTCTCCCCACCTCCTCTCCCTCCTCCTTTCCCTCCTTTCTGCCCCTCCTCTCTCCTCCCCCTCCCCTCCTCTCCCTCCTCCCTCCCGCACGGTGCATTATGGGACGTTTCCCAGAATGCACCGTGCGGTTATGTCGATGTGTTAGAGCTATGCCGACGGCGACGCGTCATGCCGACACGTTCTGCCAACACATTACGACTACGCCGACGCCGTTCAAGCCGGAAACGGGCGCCTAAGAGCTGGGCTCTAAAATGTCGGACCGCATGTTCCTAAAGATAATGCGTTCAAATACTCTTTTTTTGCGCGGACGATCAACGATTGTCGTTCACAGCCATCTGACTCTGTGCACGCTCCAAGTATTGACTGTTGAATAATTTGTTGGAAAATTGATGTAACCCTTTCCTGCTTCGAACAAGAAAAACTATCCGGAGTATTTCTCAAATTAACAAAATAAAATAATGAACTGCGACATTTAACTGTCCGTCCTTCTGTTCTTTTCTGTAGATTGTTTGGAAGGTTCTTCTTGGAGATCCCTTCGATCACTTCGGATGCCCTCATCATTCTCAAGCAGTACTGCCAAAACGAGGTGAGTTCTCGCTTTCCCAGCTGTTTACTTTGTTTGTTCTCCATCTTTCTGCGATAATTTGAGAAATGTTAGGGAGTGGTTCATTGAGAAACGGCATTCAAGAGAGACTCCCATGCAAATGTAGTGTCTAATAGCTTTCATATTTATACTATTGAACAACGGAGTGAATTATCAGTTCTTGCTTTTGTCCCTTTGGAGATGGAAAACGTATGTTGACGTTGCGTAAATTTCTTTATTGGCCGGTAACGGCCGACAGTATCCAAAATAAATAAATAATATGGCCGGCTCCGTTTGGCATACCTCCACCACGTCCTGCAGTGCCAGCGTTTCGACGTCTCTTTGAATGTCCGCTAAAAGCCCACCTTTCGCGGACATTCCCTGTCCTCAGTCCACGGTTTCCAACGGCCTGGCGATCCTGCGAGCCCTGGTGGACTACCGACCCCCGGGCCAGATGGAGTACCTGCAGAAGCTGCTGGAGCTCACTGTGGCGCAGAACCAGGAGGTGCGCCTCCAGTCGGCCAAGCACGCCAAGCAGCTGCACGAGCGGGGCAACTTCCGGCCCATCATCGAGGTGGGTGTCGCGGCGCTCGGACGCCTCCGACCTGGAAACTCTCTGTCGCGCCGTGGACTCGTTCTCATGTATGATGCAGTGCCAATTTGACATTATATCGACGGCGTTGATTTTAGAAAATTTGTGGTGGGTTCAAGGAGCGCGACCAGTTACGGTGCGCCGAGGAGTCTCGTTGTGGACAAAGCATAGAGAAGGCACGAGAGTGGAGTCGAGAGCGGAGGCAAAAATGGCCTACAAATCCTAAGAATCGTGCTCAGGAGGCGGCCCAGAGACGACGCCGATGCCAGAAGGATGGCGAATTATGCGATCGCCGAGCTGTTGTCACTGGTATACGCGTTAAGCGATAACGTAAATGCAGTCTGATTTTTTTTAGAGAAAAGGAAGTGCCTGTAGGGATACGTTGTCCCTACAGGCAGACATTCATCAACAAGACCGCCGCAAACACGTGATGTCCATAGGGAAATCTGAAATTTCAGAAAGGACGAACGGTTCGATTCACGATGGAGTGACTTGAGAACCCAGTCTTCTTGAGGAGGGCACCCTAAAGCTGGATCTGCCTAGATCTGTGCAGTGATTGTCTGGAGAAGTAGTTAACAATATGTATCTAAAGTTTGTGTCTATTAAAACATTTTTCATCCAGTTACTCTCAGACTTTTCACCCATTTCGTCAGCAATTGAAAAAATATTGCCCTCATATATATTTTTTTTTTTAAAGAATGTTTGCTATATATAGGCATGCCCTAACGATTGTTTTTTCTCTTTTTGTCCTATTTTGTCATGGCCAAAGGACTTTGCCCTGATGTACCTCCGTTTCCTGTTGGAGCCGGTACCTCCGCAGCACTTGTTTCATAACAGTTTGGGTGAGTGAGCACTCCTTCTTGAAGTCTGATAATTTCTGTATGCTTTGTTAGTGTGTTGCCATAGGAACTTAGAAATTTGTTGATAGGGGTCGATTGATCTGCATTTGTGTGTAAAAAAATAAATCGGTATGTCAATTTCAAGTTTGTTTTCTTTTTGTAAAGATTCATTCGCTCAGACCCACGTTTGTGAAGTCCATTGTGCGCAGTGCCTTTTTCGGAAAGATTTTTGTGCTGGGACATGAGCATCATCATCATCATCCACAGTACAAAGTGGTAATGACGGTGGTGTGCCCTACGTGGCACGCACACACTGCAAACAGTTGCACTATGTCAGACAATCGAGGGGCACATGAATAGGAACCAATGAATAATGAATTCAAGCTAGCTTACGAGTGAACGATCGATTTAGCACCCATCAGATGCTGCTCTTGTAGAGACATTGTTCCCCACATGGACGGTTTTTATTATAGTGGCACTGTATTGTCTGCCTCGGTTCAGACTGACCTTTCTATCCATCCACAAACTCATATATTGACTGCTTGCAATTTGACACAAGGGGCAACAAACGATTGTTGTACAGCATTTGTGTCGGAGGTTGTAGTGCAGCACCAGAACACCTTAGTTGGTCAGGTGCACCATTTTACGACCCTCCTCACACCTTTTCTTAAATCGGTGTTTTCGATGTCTTGGGAAACATTTTTTTTCCTTTTCTTCCAGCGTGGTCAGAGGACCATACCAAGATTTGCATGCAGCTGTACATATCACTCCTGCCCGTCAACCACAAGCTCATTCACGAGTGAGTTCTCTTTAGCGGACTGTTTTCTCGTTCCCTAGGCTTTTTCCCTAAACTGATTTTTCCCTAGATGTTATGCAACCGAGGCTTCGGTTTTTATGTTGCAAGCCCCCCGGGGGGTCCAAAATAGTTCCCCAGTCCCTTACTGGGGGTGGTGTCAAGATGCGCTTTGGTTTGAGACGTAAACATCCGGAAATTAAATTTAACCCTCGTTAGACAAGAAAGTGAATTTGTTTTGAAGGTAAACCCTTAGCACCCTCCTTCTACTGCTTGTTGTGGACCCCCGACTCGGTCAACCTTTCCAACTTTTCAGTCACCGAGTTGCATACGCACCGGAGCCTTGATGTATAATTTTTGGCCAGTTTGAAACCGCATCTGCCGACGTAAAGCCTGCAGCACGCCGAGGGTCATCTCTAGAGATGCGTGTCGCTTTCGATCGCACAACATTGTAACTTAAACGGTCAGTGCAACGAAATTCTACCGACTATTTTATATGTCTAAATGTCAACCATGTTCTGGCCACGCCACAGACACCAATATTTTGCTCGGAAAGATGCCCAAATGCCATTTAAAGGGGGGGTGCAACGATTTCCGGACTTCGGTGAAAGATTTCTGGAAGTTGCCCTCTGACACTTCTTAAGTAAAGAACAGAAAACAGATTTCGCCTGCGTGTCCTAGTTGTTGCGTAAAAAAAAGATAAAGATTGGCATTTCGGGCACCTCTTAACTCACTCCCAGCCTTCAGGGTCACACCTGGTCCCCCTCCTAGTGACGTCATTCGGAGTGCCGTGTAGCTTCCCGTGTGCTATCTCGGAGGACGCTTCCTCTCCCTCTCTCTGCTGACATTAGCGGGCGTTATGCTGCAGCTTAGAGTCGAGCGAGGTCACGTAATCTTTTCCCCCACTCTTCCTTCGGCTGCCACTTGGGGCTGCAGGTGAGGGAAAAAGCTCGACTCTTGCTTTCGGTTATGCAGCAGAATCGCAAAATTTTTAATGAAGGAGGTGTTTTCTTTATCCTCCGGGACACGATAAACAACGTAAAAATGATGAGATGCAAATTCTTTTAATCATAAAATCGTTGCACCGCCCCTTTGAAAGAAATAAACCAAATGTCATTATGTCACTCTGACCGCGCCACTCTGCGGAAGTATGGTGGTAAGTTGCGTGCGCGCGAGCCTTGTCGAACCGGATTTTCCTTCCCTCCTGGCCTATTCAACAACTGCTGGGGGAATGGGGAGGGGGGGGCAGCGGCGGGGCAACTACAACGGGCAGGTTGTAAAGCATAGATGACACCAAGTAGCGGAGCTCATAACCACGCCAGCCCCCAAGCAGCTTTGCCTATCACTTGGTTTCATAATGCATTACAGCCTGGCCATTGTAGTTGTCCCTCCCTGCTCCCCGGAGGAGTTGAATAGGCCGGGAGGGAAAAAAATTTTGGTTCGACGCGGCTCACGTGCATGCAGCTTGCTGGAATAACGACATTCGGTTTGTTCCCTTTAATTCACGTTTTGGTGTCTTTTCAAGCGAAAAATTTGTGTTTCCATGGTGTGGCCAGAACGTGGTCAACATTTTGACATATAAAATAGGCAATAGTATTTCGTTGCAGCGTCTCTTTAAAGTTGGCAAATGCAGTGCTAAAATGCTTCTGCCATTTCCCATTTCCTTGGTAAACCTCTTTGCCCTATGTGTCACTTACCTCAATGCATGCTTTTTATGTTTCCGTTTCACAATGGCTGTCTCAACCGACATTGCAGACTGGCCGTGGTCTACGTTGGGGCCATCGCGGAGATCAAGCGGACCATTCTACGGGGGCTGGAAGGACCGGTATTATGCTTTGGCAGTTTTTGCGACCAGTTAATGCAAGCTAAAGCCAACAAATGACCCCAGAGTACCGGACCACCCACGCTTCGTTTTGAAACTGCATTGTGCCACAATGGTTGAATCCCATCTGGGCAGGCAAATAAGATTTTCTTTTGGCTTCATAATGGCTGACATTAGCCAGTCGGAAAGCTCCATTGGCTCTATTCTTCAATTGAAGTGGATGCTGTGCATCATGGCATACTGGCAAGGTTCAGTGGCTTTGGCGTAGGCCACGGACGTAACATGAATCTCAATCCATTGGAAAGTTAATTTGTCTTTTTGCGACCAGCTTTGCTTTCAGTCGTTGTGCACCCAACCCAGAGGTCGGCTTTATAGTTGGCGCACACATTAATTACGTCATACGACCTTTATCTAGTTGTCAGTATGTGATCTGAAAACGTAGTGGGGAAGTGGTAGTATTGTCTGAATATTGGAAAATTCGAATGGTAGTAGTGCGATATTCATATTTTTCAGTGTTGAACACCGCGGGTTACCCTGCAAGTGCGCTTCTTAGCGAGCACGGGTGCACTGCGAGGAAGCAACACCTGCAGAAGCGAGCTCCGTGGGTGTTGCTTCTCTGCAGTGTACCGGTGCTCGGGAAGAAGCGCTCCCAACGGGGTAACCAGCGACGATCAACACGTGAAGAAGTATGAATATCACAATTGCATCCTTGGGAGAAAGCACACTTTCAAATCAGAATTACACATGCATGCACCTGGTGTATTTATAAAGAAACTGAAACTTAGTGAATGTGGGTATTTACATTGCAGTAAAATTTCAATATTAAACTGTGGCTGTTAGGCAAGAGTATATGTTAAGCAGAGATGCCTTGACAACCTGCATTCATCATTTGTGATACTTTTTTTTTTTCTAATTCGAGATTGGAGAAAGGATATTTGCATATTATATTAAGACTTCTAAATCCACCGAATTTTAATTAAGTATAGGCTGGGCATCTCTGTAAATTTCATTTTATGTCAAATCCGTCCTTTACTTGCCATCCTACGGTATTGGACTTTCTGAGGTCACAGTCTATAAGTATAGTTAGATTAAAACTAGCTTATAAATGGACCAGTAAAAACTTAGGAACAACCTTCACAAGTTTAGCTGGGTTTTTGCATAAGCATGGTGCAACAGTAGTGAAAGGTTCAAAGAAACTATTCAATATTCAATTCAGAAATATTCCACCAAAACCACTATTCGCTTCTAATTCACTTCAAACTCAAAATCCACTTTTTGCACACGACTAGGAAGTGGTACGTTTCGAGGAACATTGCCGACATCCATGCTTGTCTGCATTCAGGTGAAGGGAATGGGCATGTCGTCCCCCGAACTTCTGCTGCTGGTCGAAAACTGCCCCAAGGGAGCAGAGACGCTCGTCACACGGATCATCCACATCCTCACCGACAAGAGTGAGTTTCACGCCTTCGTTTACGACGGCTTTCCTCGGCCGTCCAAAGAGGGGAGGCACCATATTTCCGGGACGAGAGTCTGCAGACCGCACATGTCTAAGAGTTTTGGAATTTCATGCGGCGCAGACCGTCTACAGGTGTGTGCTATACGAGGATTTGTCTTCCAGGATGGTTCAACGCAACCAGAGATCTCGTGGAGTTTGTTGGTGCCAGGTTATGTTATTGACGATTTTTGTACGAGGCGGGTTTCTTTTGTTCGCCGACAAAGCGGGCCTTTTTTCGAGGTGTGCCGTGCAGGAGAATTTCACGTGCAAACTGTGCACCAGGTGCATGCTGCGCATCAAGTGCGGACAATGCACCGAATGCAGGCTGTCCGAGGAAAAGCTTTTGTTTCTATAGCCAAAATTTGCCCCTGTGGGCTATGGTCCGAGGAATACCATGCATACCGTGAACAGGCCGTTTCGTCAAAACGCTTCACTTTGTCTTTTCTCCAGCGCCTCCTTCGGCGGAGCTGGTGGCCCGGGTGCGAGACCTGTACCACAAGCGCGTCTCGGACGTGCGCTTCCTCATTCCGGTGCTCAACGGGCTGTCAAAGGTGGGTTGCCCTCGTCTGCATTCGTTGCGTCGCGGTTTCTTGAACGCATATCCAGCCGGTGCGCGTGCTGCGTCCTCAAACGTAATCTTTCCACCCGAGGACGTCGTAAAGTGGCCATGCCATTGCCTGCTGCAATCCTGGCGGTGGCGAGGCTCTCCGGCCTGAAGCCAACCATGCGCCTTTTTCTTGTCTCTCGCAGAAAGAGGTGATAGCCGCCCTTCCCAAACTCATCAAGCTGAATCCCATTGTGGTCAAGGAGGTGTTCAATCGTCTGTTGGGCAGCCACGGTGAGCAGCATACCCTGTGTTTCCTCGTTTACGCCGTGTAGTACCCGTGTCGGGCACTTGCCAGCTCTCTATTCGTAAGCATGTTTAAAGCTTGCTACCACGTTTCTCTGCTGAAAGAAGTTTTATTTTAGCTTATTTCACGATCTGAATTGTAGCAGTAGCAAGCTAATATTCTAGTGTTTGTTGGTAGCGTTGCCCATCGTCTCCGACTGTTGAGTGTGTCAAAATTTTACGCAGTTTGCAAAACTCGGCACGGATGAGAGTGCTTACAGAGTCGCGTTGCGGCCTCGTTTTCCAGTCGAATCCACGGCCAACTTCACAAGCCCCGTGACGCCGGCGGAGCTGTTGGTGGCCCTGCACAATATCGACCCTTCCAAGTGCGATGTCAAGACCGTCATCAAAGGTGCACTTTTCTTTTCCCTTAACAGGGCAATTCATTGCCGGAAAATTCCACGAGTTCAGATGTTCCAAGTGCAACCTCCCTATATATAACCTCGTATATATGTGTCATCTACGTGCTTCTGCTTTGCGGTCGTACCTCGGGATCCTCACATTGCCACGCACAGCGCGGACAGTCTCTCGCTAGTAATCAGTGCAAGTACGACTCCGGTTGTGAGCCACGGATGCCGGCCGATTCTTCCGCGTCCTCTCCCGGGACAAAGTACAGCCTTAGCGCGGCGGCGACATTAGGAAGAGTTGCGGCGGTGATGATGCAAGCGAAGGTGCAGGTTTTCATGATGTTGTTGAGCGGCGAAGGGAGAGTGTAATGTTGACTTTAAGCGATGATCGGGGAGGGGGACGCATGCAGGAGAACGAGGCGAAGCTCTGCGGGGAAGGAGGGTTCAAGGTGAAGAGTTTCGGCTGTATATATTTTACGTTTCCAGTTGAGTTCGAGAAGTAGAGATATCTTGGCAAAATCGAACACAATGAAAGTTTCTAAAACATTCCAACATTACGCGTAGCAACTGAATTCATCAAAGTGGGTTTTCGATTTTATATAACGGGAGTAATGTTTGAAAACAGCTGTTTTGAAGTTATCGTTGGCGGACGACGGGGAAAGACGTTTCACCGATGCTTCCTCTGTCGCGCCATTGTTGGCAGGTCGTCGGGGCTTTCCTCTCTTCCCTTGGCGCGGCCAGTGGGAACACCCGACTTCCTCTATCCTCGTATCATCTCTGCCGTGAAGACAGACAACTACAAACGTTAGCACTGAAATCCCTGCAAAGTGTCACCCGTAAGGCTATTGCTTTAAAAGTACTGTCGTGGCAAAGGCAGACAGACATGGCTCAGAATGCATTGTGTGTTGCTCTGCGATAATATTGAGCAGGTAAACTTAATATTTATTTTGTGTCTCAATGGCACAAACAAAGTTTGCTCTTGCTCTCTTTCTCCTTGCTTCCTGCACACAGTCACATTACACCCGACATTGTGAGGTCACGTGGCCTGCGTTGATAAAGCGTGTTGCTTTTCTGACGAAACCCAGCCATCTAACGCATTCTGTGTTAAGAAGTGAACCTGCCAAGAACTGTTTCCGTGTGCCTGGCTTTTTTGCAGCGACGTCGCTGTGCTTTGCGGAGAAGCACGTGTACACCCAGGAAGTGCTGGCAGTGGTGATGCAGCAGCTGATGGAGCAGAGCCCCCTGCCCACCCTGCTCATGCGCACGGTCATTCAGTCCCTCAGCCTCTACCCACGCCTCATCCTCTTTGTCATCAACATCCTGCAGCGCCTCATCCAGAAGCAGGTGACGTGCCGAGACTGCTTTACCGAGACGGAAGCACGCGCGTACCGCATTCTCAGGACTGTATGCGTTTAAAAAGTCAAATTTTGCGTGCTGCAGACAGCCTACAGGCGGAGACTTCACCAGGACTTGTTTTTGTAGATCGTTCATTGCGACGGGGCATGATGAATTTTGCGAATGACGAGGTATGCTAGAGACGATTTATTTATTATACAAGCTTTTTTGTGAGCTAATAAAGAAGCGAGTGTTCGTCAGGCGTGCTGCGTATGCGAATGTGTAACATCAAACTAGGAGCCAGGTATTGTGGAGCATGCACGGGGTGTAGACTATGTGCACCAAATAAAAACTGTTGAAGAAAATTTTAGACAAACCCTTGAGACTGGGGAAAAGACGAAGGACAACAGCACACAGAGTCTCAGTTTATGTTATGTCAAGCCTTCACCAGCTTGTTTGCGCCCTAACTTTTTGCCTAAGAAAACCATTTTTTTTTTTTTCGCAGAAATGTGTTTTAACAAATTGTACACCAGGTGCACATTATAGTCTGGAAAATACAGTTGTCACTGTTAGGATAAGAATGTCAGAGTATGCCCTCATATACACTTTTTGATATGCTTAATCAACTAACCCACCCTAATATTGCAGTACCCCATACACACCTCCACCGTCCATCGAGCTCAATTGTCTTACACTACAACCAATGAAAGTGTGTAAAAGTCTTATGTCAAAGACTCTAAAAACAAAAATGGGTGCTCAGCCTGACATGCTTTGCCAAGCCTTCTTTCAATGACATAAGCCCTCCCTGTTGGTAAAATTTGTCCTCATTGTCATTTGAAATGCAGTTCAGGCAATCTATATAACTAAAACATGAGAAAAACAGCAGACTCAGAAATACATTTTGGGTTTTTGGTTTTTATAAAATATAGAAACAATATGGAAGGACCGAAACAGGTTTCACCACATCGCGCGTTTCAAGTAGGTTACCGGCGAAAAGCACTGAGAGTGTTTACGTTCACGATGAGCAAGATACAGCGGCACGGTGCAGCAGTTGTACTCGACAACTATGTGAATGCAATGTTCTCTTGTCTTCAACGATTTTTCCTTTATGACATTTGCGAGTTTCACGTTGCAGTAAACTTCTTAGGGCCTTTTTGTTGGAACAAGTGCCCTGTATGGAGTGAATAAGAAGGCAGTGAGCCAGTCACGAATCAAGGGGCAAGGCCTACGAAAGCTCCTGCCTGCCACTCTGACCCCTTTAACGACTATAACAGCTACCGGAGGCACTAGAGGAAGCAAAGGGCCGACAACCGAGTTGTCGTATGCTACTTACCGGAGAGAACGCCGTCTGCGGGGGCAGGGATTCATCGCACACGCGATCAGCCCCTCTTACCTTTTTACACTCCTCTCGCACATCGAAGCGCTTTTCGGTTGACTTGCTCACCATGTAGCTTGTCGTGGCCAATGTGGAGCGCAAGTTTGCATGCTTTTGCGGGGATTGCGGTGACGTCTGAACACCGAGCTCCGATTGGCTGGATTGGAAGGATAGAGTGTAAACCTGAAAGCAGCTTGCTTCGAGGTCTACCTACTATCCTTCAAGCAAGGCCAATCAGAGCTTAGCGTTCTGACGTCACCGCAACCCCCGGACAAGAAGCAGACAAACGTGCGCTCCGCATAGCATTAAGGCCACGGTCGTTTTGAGGTCGTACGCCGCCGAGGTGTCCGCCGCCAATGACGGGGTACGCGTCGGTGCTTGCAGGTCTGGAAGCAGAAGAAGGTGTGGGAGGGCTTCATCAAGTGCTGCCAGCGCACCAAGCCCCAGTCGCTGCAGGTGCTGCTTCAGCTGCCTGCCGAGCAGCTGCAGAACGTCTTCCAGGTCAGCCCCGACCTGCAGCAGCCCCTGGTGCAGCACGTTTCCGCCTTCACGGACCATCAGGTGAGGACGCAATGGACCCCGCAGCCTTCCGTCTCCGGAGTCTAGCAGTCTTGCGTGCTGTCGTCCGCCTTTTGAGCCGGCGCCGTTTACGGATTTACAATGTCGAGAGGCCTAAGTGCCGCACCGAAGAGTGGGGATTGTCATTGGGGCAAGATACTTTGGAAGAGGGAGGCCCTGCTGGGAAACAACTTTGCTTCGAAGTTGGAATACTCCTCCCACCGTAGCAGACGACTTTTCTAGTTGGAGCAAACCCTTGAATCTCCGTTTTCTAGGGGTACCGTACCGTCTTCCGCTTACGAGCCTTTTCTCTCCGGAACGGGTCACCGCTTTCTTTTCTGCTTTTCTTTTAAGGAGAGACACAACCCAGAAAAAAAAGTTTTCTGCAAAAAAAATTGTTTTTGAAAAATTCCATATTTAGATCCACTAACATCTGGTGAGTATTCCCAGAAATTTTCATTTTAATGCGAAAGCATTAACTGGGGTCCCATGGAGCGAGCTGATGCCATCTGTTTGAGGCGCAAAAACGGCTCCTAGTTTCTGCGATCGCCTTCGGTTCCATTGGCTGGCGTGCGTCGACGGGGCTGTCATTGGCCGCTCACCCCATGGCGCTGCGTGTCCAGCAGTGCGCCGTTAACACGGAGCGTCCAAGGTCACCAGGGGAGCACAAGCGCTGACCCGTGACGAAAAGTATGCAGCAGACGAAAAAGGGAACGGACGAGCGGCATTCACAACTCATAAGAAGTGCTTAGGTGTACCTCAAGCTTTTTTGCACTGCATAGTTAATTTTTTATAAATTATTTTCGGTGAACCCATGCCATATAAAAAGTAGGGGTTGGAGCACCTTGAACACTTTTTTCTCTGTTCCACTTTTTGGCCTACATTTCACATTAGGAAAACTATTGTATCAGTATGAAACTATGGAGAGACTTAATATAGTTGCGGCTTACATGCCAGAATTTTATGGAGTCAGTTACTGTGAACTTAGATTTTGCTTTTTCATGTTCCTTTATTATGAAAAATCTTAATTTGCAAAACTTGGTAAATGGGGGGGGAAAAATTCATACAATTTTTTCTTTACCTGATAAATGCATATTTCCTGAAATTTTTTTTCATAGTAACCGGCAAAAGGTATTCCAGTATGCATTCCACCAGAACAATATGTGGTTATCAACACCATTTCTCAACGACAAATTCATTGAGCAGATTCCATGCAAAGCGACGCTTTACTTGGGGATATAGTACCTCATAAAACTTGGTCACAGGGCTGAAACTTTGCATGCCTTCCTTCCATGTGGCTGCAAACACCATGTGCAAATATCACACCGATTGAGCGAGCAGTTCAAAAGTTCACAATCCCAGGTAGTGTCCCCCCTTAACTTCCGGGAAGGCTCGAACCGCACGACGTCCTCCTTGGCTTCTTCTTGCGACAGAACCTTTAGGGTAGGGCTCCGCGTTTCCAGAAAAAAATGCTGGAGACATTTGCCAGTTAACATTTTGGGTTGTTTTAGAGCGGAGCTGTTAAGGGCTAGTTTCCCCAGTTTTGTGTCCGTCCCGAAATAAATGTCGACACAAAACTCTGGACAGCTACCGCCATCTATGAGCGACGGCGGCAACCTTTCCAGCCTTTCCACTACAGTGGAAAGGCTGAATTTTTCTAGGCGTCATTATAGAAGTCGTCCTCGAGGTCATCCTAGAAGTCATCCTTGAGGTCGTCCTAGACGTCGTCCGAGAGGTTGTCCTCGGGGTCGTCCTAGAAGTCGTCCTTGAAGTCGTCCTAGACATCGCTGAGGTCGTGTAGGCATCGTCCTTGAGGTCGCCCTAGGCGTCGTCCTCGAGGTTGTCCTAGAAGTCGTCCTAGACGGCATTTTTGAGATTGTCCTAGACGTCGTCCTCTAGGCGGCGGTCTTGAGGTCGTCCAAGAAGTCGTCCATGAGGTCATTCCACCATAGTACAGCTTTGCTGGTCTTCCTTCTTGACCAAAATGTAAAGGCTGAAAGTTTTTTTTGTTTTTATTTATTTCAAATACTTCAGTACTGTGTAACCTCGATTTAACGAAGTCACCGGTACCCGCTAATTATTTCGTTAAATTGAGAACTTAATAAAATCGAGGCTCAACTGTAATTTAATATCATGGTGACACAAGACTAAGCTAGAGACAGCTTGTATTACAATAGTCACTGATTACAATAGTAATCATATTACAATAGACACGTATGACAATAGTCACAAAGAGGAGGCAGTGTTTTTGCTCCGAAGACATGCAATCCTAGTTGCAAAACATTGAAGATATTGCGCAGGCCTGAGAAACCTCTGTCGTTCTTTCCCGGTTTGGTCCGACAGAAGGCCCACATACCAAACTCCATCCTCGAGCTCCTGCATCTGGGCGGCAGGCCGGACGCCGAGGGCGACGCCGTGGTGAGTTTGCGACGACTGCGGAACGACCGTAATCTGCCAATCTGTCAGAGAGGCATTGCTTTTGTTGTCTGTCTGTGAGATTACTAACAGGATGGCTAGAGTTGTAGTAGACACACAAGATAGTTCCTAAATGTCTGCTTGTAACTGCATTTTGGCATGGCACGCACAATCTGTCGGGGAGACGGAAAGGGGCGTTGCCTCTGTGGTCTGTCCGTGAGATTACTAACAGAACAGCTAGAGTTCCCACGGACGCATGATTTACCTACTAAGTGCCTTTTTGTGGCTGCATTTTCGGAATGGCACGAACCAAAAGTTGCATGTCAATCTTTCCCTCTTTTCTTTTCTAGAAGTCTAAATCTTTGGACAAAGATGCCGTGAGTATTTGTCGCTCGTTTCGCACTTGGGCTTGCTTTAAATGCATCTTATTAATACAGTAAAACCTCGTTATAACAAAGTTGAAGGAGCGGTCGTAATTATTTCGTTATAACCATTAGTTTGTTATAGCCAATGACCATTTCTTCCCACTATTAGCAAGCAAGGGGAATTATGATTGCTTTGTTATATCCATTAGTTTGTTATATCCCGTTTTGTTATAACGAGGTTTTACTGTAGGTCACTTGGGGTTTTTCAATCCTCACCGAGATATATCGATGACGTGACATTGTCACGTGACCATTTGACATCATCCCAAGGGCTCTCTGAAAGCGTGGCACTTATAAGTCCTCCGTGACGTCGAGTCACGTGGTCATGTGACATTAGGTCACGTCGTGACTCGAGATCCCGCTTTAAGTAACGAGGGTACTTCTTTCTTCTCTTCTTAAACTCTCTAGAAACGCAGAGCAGAGCGCATTGTAAGTAAATGAAAGTCGCTAATATATGTGTGGTTTGTTACTGTGTTATCTTAATAATCTCTCTGACCTTTTTACTAATCCTCCTTTCCGGTCAAGTATAGAAAAAAATGGCCACTTTCACATCGAGTTGAATCGTTTTCGGCCTAATTTAGCTTTTACTCAAATCCTAGTGTTTGTTAATGTAACGATCCTTGTCATGGTCTTTGCGTTTAATAGCTTTATGCATCTTTTGAAACCAGTTCAGCTTGGTGCAATCTGTGTGTGCAAGTGAAAATTTGTTCCTCTTTTTTTGGCAGTGCTTTGGATTGAAACCTTTGTGCATGGGCATTTTTTTACCTTGTCTCCACATTCTGCATGGCCGCATGTTTTAAAAGCCCTTTTTGCATCCCAGTCACAAAGTGCATCCTAAATAGCTAACATTGTTTTGTCTCCCACATAACTCAGCAGCTTTTGTCGCATAAAACGATTGTCGGTCTGCTGAGCCCACTACCATGACACTAACAAGTGGCTGCAGGCATGCTTAAGGATGAGCGTTTCATTTTTAACGAGCTTGAACACGAATGGCTTTGCTTACCTTGACCTCGTCCGACCCTCAAAACCTTTTCCCGCCACAGAAAGAAACTAGCAAGCCTGTAAGTATGCCACACTTTACTACCCATGCATGCTTTGGTGCCCTCGTTTGTGCTATGTATTTTCATTTCTTAAATTGATGCACGTTTTCGTTTGCCTTGCCTTGCAGCTCACCATTCACATCCGAGTCAGTATACCTTCTTTCAAACATTTTTTCAACATTTTTGTGCACTATTCTGGCAGTGAACATTTAGCATGTTTTAAATTATTATTCAAAATAATTGTACCTAGTTGCATCAACTAGCACTTTCAAAGTAAACTTTGAACCTTAGAGGTTATGAGGAACGTTTTAATAACCAGTCTGTAGCACTCGGTATCCAGTATTTTGCAGCTAACATAGTAGCATATTTTGATTATAATATTATTGGTAATAATGATAATACCGTAAAGTTTCGAGAGAACGCCCGCCATTGAGAGATCGCCCATCTTGTTTTTTTGGCTGAATATCTGTAACATAAAAACAGGGTGTCTAGTGACCGGGAAAACTGGGAATGGTCTGGGAAATTTCATTACTGGAAAAAATCAGGAAATTGTCAGGGAAATCGTCAAAAAGCGAGTCCAGTCATGAAAAATGAGCCAGAAATGCCATCGAGTGCCCTGAGCACTCGATGACATTTCCTTGAGAACTTGAGAACTTGGGGGCAGAAAAATAGGCAATAAATTCTGCTTAGAGCGGAGTGCGGGCTCTGCTCACCCGATCTAGTGTGTGCTACCCGATGCAAAAAGAAGAGTTTACAAATCCAGTCCAATCCTTGGATTGGATTGAAGGCGCGACACTACGCTAGATCCAGTTAGAGCTACTAGATTTAGTAACAAATGGGAAAGCCGCAGACCCCAATCTGATCCAAGCCTTAAAGGGGCCCTGCAAGCACTTTTTACTGGTTTTTAATTTGCACCGAACCTGAGCGCGCTGACCGCAGTAACTTAATGCAATTTTTCTTTTCTTGAATTTCGCTTTATTTTAAAAGTTATAGGCAAATTAAAATTACAAAAACAAGCAAAAAATAACCTCCCTTGTGACGTCCTTGGTTGCTTCCGTGGCCGTGAACTAGAGGAGGGATAGTGAGCTCAGCGAGCGCAAACGGCTGCCGCACTCCGTGTCGACGGCGCGAGAGGGCGCCACTAAAGCGTGTTCTGGATAGGCTGTATAGAGCGGGCATCCAGAGCGGCTCTCATTGCATTTGCTGCATTATTAAACACTAATTCGGCATGACACTTCATTGGCCACAAACAACAGCAAACACGGTGTAAAGATCAGTTCAGAATGGGAGCCACTTCGCGCTGCCCTACCGCGAAACGGCCAAAACACAAGACAAGGCCATGACTTGGCCATGCTGCCTTTCGGTTATTGACGCGCGTGGTTGTGTTTCCTGAAGTGGCCTCTTCACTGATGACGTCAGCGGCAAGAAAGTCCTCGTTTAATTCGGACTAGACGAACCCGAATATTTCGGAATATGCAAGTTGGATTAAGCCCGTGCCAAATGATGCTCACAGTGCTCAATGCCTTGTGTTGTAATGGACTGGTATATTTAACCGCCTCTACGGTGGTCAGGGAATTTCACCTGAAATTGTCAGGGAAAACCTGGAAAAGTCAGGGAATTTCAAAGTAATAATTTGCTAGACACCCTGAAAAATTCTGAAACATCGCCCACCCCACGATTTACGTCGGATGTCACGCTATGTCCGACGGGAATAACATCACTTACGCAATTTGCTGTACCGGCACATGTGACAAGCTAGTTCATAGCGGGTTCATGCGTTTTTGTTCATGATCTGCGCGCGATATCGGCTCCCGTAACACACTAGTTGTTCCTGCATGTATGTTGCACTGTGAAATGCAAATCTGCTGCGTCGGCAATCTGCAGTATCCGTTCCCGTGACTCAAGGTTTGTAGTAGATTCCCGCCTTTTTGTACGCTATCTGCGCGTGCAATCTCGATTCTACGTGGGTTCGTCCCGCGTGTAAATTGCATCGTGAAATACGATTTTGCTGCTTTCACGATCTGTGGCATTTGGCTCCGTAACGTATGAGATTGTAGCGGGTTCTCTCGTGTTTATTGCACCATAAAACTTTAATCTGCTGCATCCACGATTTGCAGTATTCGTTCTCGTGAGATGCGAGTTCTCGGCGGGTTTCCGCGAGTCCTTCGTAATGTAAAACGGGAATCTGCTGCGTCCGCAACCTTCTTTTCCAGAACACAGGAGTTCGTAGCGAATTCGCTCGGGTTTATCACATCATGAAATCTGAATTTGCAGTGTCCGCAATCTGCAGTACTATCAGTTCCCGCTTCGCGTAATTTGTAGTTTTGCTGTGGCATCCCCATATTTTTCACCATTCATCTCTTCATTTTGGGTGGGCGTTCTTTCGGAACTTTGCGATAATAATAGTAATATTTATTTGCAAGATAAAAATGTGGTTGGCATGCAAGATTGTGCAGAAAGGTTAGAACTTGTACGTGAGTGCGCCTGCCAGCCAGGAACCCAGAGTTTGAATTTAAAAAAAAAAGTGGAGATTATGATCAATGACCATAGTTGCATCGAGCAACATATCTGAATTGTAAGTTGAGGGAAAAGTTAAAATGACCACCACTGCTGCAACCATCGTTCAGTAATTGTAAGCTGACATTGTGACACCTTTTAACATGCATGATTACTATTTTAGGCCATTACGAGAACTAGAATTCATAAATCAATGTTTCACCTTGTAGGATTGGAGCAGTCAACATTGAAGTAGTTGTCACAACACGTTGACAACTTGTTGTGGCAACTCGCTGTTGCGACATAAGACTTCCCAGTAGTCAGCACTGCAACCATGTTACGCGGACGCTCAAAATTAGTCTGCTATACTCCACATCACCATAATTTGGCAAAAAACAACTTTACAGCCCCCTCCAGCCAATCGGGGGTTTTGTGAAGGCATTCTGCAGGGCGTCCGACAAAGCATCGCGCCTACCCCGCTCCGATTGGCTTGCTAGCGCCGTAGCTTTTGCTGTTTGCCAAATTATGGTGAAACAACAAGAGAAATAACTCGGTTCCTCAAAAAATAAAAAAGAACAGAGTTGCAAGATGCGTATGTCTTGGCTTTTTCAGAGGGATAGCTCTAGGGATTCTAGGGAGTCTAGGGACTACAGCAGGGAGTACGGCAGGGATCACAGTCGAGAGCACAGCAGGGACCACAGCAGGGACCACAGCAGAGAGCACAGCAGAGACCGGTCTTTGAACAGCAGCAACATCAAGGTGGCGACGGAGGAAGTCTCGCCGGAGGGGCCAGAGACCTAGGTCAGACGCCCTTCCGCCACTGACATCATTGAGAGTGAGTCAAGAGCTGAAAGTTATTGTGGTCACTTCGTTTTTAAAGGGATGCTGACAGGGTATTTATGCTTGCCAAGGTTCTTATTTGTACATGACATATGAGAGCCCAACTACACAGAGCACAGTTTGCAGCTTGAAATTTGTTTTCTTTCTGCCCGAAAACCGCCGATCGAGAACTGGCCGGTTCGAGTCGCGCTCACTCTCTTCTCCTTGGTCACGTGCCGTTTTCTATGACTTAGACGCAACCACCATAGATAATTAAAGTCGTGGGTCGTCGAAGGCACCCACTCAATACTAGAAATGGACAAAAAATATGGCACCCATTTTTTTGTGGCTTCTAGAAAGCTGCAAATACGCTGATTGAAAGAAAAAAGAAAGTTGCACAGCCACGTGACTTTCGGCCAGTGCAGTGCAGTTTCAGCATTGGTTTTGAGCAGTTGCATTTTTCGACTTCATTAAAGATACACTTGACACTGTAACAAATATTGATTGGGGAGTCTTCTGAGACCATTATGAATAGCCTGGCAAAAAATTAAAAAAAAAATATTTTGGGGGGTGTCTGTTTTTTTAAGCTGTCAGCGACTACCGTAATACATATCCTGACCCAATGTCCACACTCCCGCCACGTGAAATTCATAAAAACAAAAATGGGGTGGGCGACGACACAATGTCTAAATGCAAGAAGCATAAAAGCAGAAAATAACCATTTTTTATCGCATATCTAGCAGAACCACACCAAACATATGCGAGTTGTTTTCCTGCCCAGAGCACTCGTTAATCATTTTACTGTCGTGCGAAATAAACTTCCCTTCGCCGTCAATATGCGCACAACGAAAAGCATGGACACGGTCCTGCGCTCCCCGATGGCCGCAACCGAAAGGCGACCGTAAACCCTGGTAAATTTGTGTTTGCTGTTCACAGTTCGAAGCTGTAAAAAAAAAAAAAACATGAACAAAAAAAAAAAAGACATGACAAAAAAGGGGAAAGAACACATAGAAATCTAGAACTGACCTCGCAGTATGCGGTTGAAGCTTCCCGTATAAAGACCGACTTTCTTTATTTGTAAAATAAAGAAAAAGCTTTTTTTCATATTCATCTTTTTTTTTTTACGTTAACATTTTCCTTTGATTTTGGGGTTTGTGGTCGCTACATTCCAGAAGAATGGGCGGTTGCTACATTGATTTTGCAACCGGCGGTTGGGGCTTGCCGGGCAGGGACGAACTTGGTTTTATTTGTGAACAAAGAAGGCATCTGTCTGTTATCTCCTGGTTTTTTTTAACTGTCACGAACATTTTCCCGACCGAAGGGTTCGCTGTCCCAAAGTTCGGGTAGGACGGGTGTTTGCTCATCTCGCGGTGCGACGGCGTCTTTTAAAAAATCATTATTCTGCCCTAAAAGTGGAATGGGCGATGTCTCGGGGATGGGGGTCGAGTCGGGATGTTCTGGTACGTGCATGGTGCATGTTTCTCAGTGTCCCGACTGAAAATTCTTTTAGGACGAAGCGACTTCTATGACAAACATTTGTGTCGGTTCCCTGGAGCTTGCCATGAAGTGCAGTTAACGTCGAGGGCGACAGTTTTTTCTTGCGAACAGCCGACTAACCCGTCTTTTCTCATTGGATTTCTCGACGCAGGTGCATTGACTACGGCAGCGAACTGCAGCCGCAGTGGAGAGCACCGGGCAACTGCGGGAGATAAAGTAAAGGTGTGGACGACTGCGGAGGGTTTGTCTCCGCTTCTTGACTGGAAGCGAATACTTCGAGTTTGTGATTAGGTTTTCCTTCCATTAAAGTGCTCAGTGATTTACCTTCGAGTGACATTTCTTTGCGATTTGCCCCAATTCGATTAGTTTGTGGGAGTGAGATCAACTTTCTGTTAGGCTGAGGTTATAGCTTAGATGCAGGTGCATCGAGTGCAGTGATGTAATTAATTTTGATAAAAGCTTGCATCGGTTACTACTATTAGTGTAATATATAGGCATTCTTTACTTTTTGAAATGCCAGCTCTTCCCAATTTGTTCTTGTGGAGTGTCGGTCACCGTAAATGTCGGAAGAACTTCAAAGTTGACTCAATAATGATCCCCTCCTTAAAAAAAGCAAGCCTTGCTCATAATTCCTACGCTGTTTAAAGTAGTTCTCATAAGATTGGAGTGTCCGTAAGAAATGATGCATTTCACAAAAGGTGGGAGTTTACCATGATGTATTAACCCAAGAGTTGGAAAAGAAACGGGGATACTGGTAGGAAAATCAAAATGGGGAGAGACGTCTGTCCCTATTCGTTTTCTACCACTGTCAAGATTTTTCCTCCTTCTACCCCAGTCTCAAATTAAATACATTGTACATTTGAAAAGCATGTTTTTTTTATAAAATAGCAAATACTATCCAATCTTAAATGCCCATACCAATACCTTAATTCATGGCATAAAGGAGGTAATTAGTAACAATATGCATAAGCCAAACTTTTTTTACTAGCACGGTGATGACGAGTGTCACAAAACAGAGGCCACTACCGAGACTGTTTCTCGGAAGAAACCTATAATAGCACACGTCTCTAATTGCCTACATAGCTTCGAACACAATCCAAACAAGCAAATATTGTCCACAGCTTGGTAAACTTTTAATGACATATACCTATACAAAGTTGATCTTTACAATTCAAACAAGATCCTATTCACATTGTGTGTGTCCCTTGCCGCGGCTTCAAGACAGGACGTCGGATGCAGTCCTCGGCTAAAAATTCGGCTAGAATCCGGGGTCCCAGTCGGTTTCTTGAGGCACCTGCTTGATGGAGAAGCAGACCAAGACGTCGCCGTGTTGAAACCGCACGCCACTGTCCTGCAACATCAGACCGCACTCCACATCCTTCTTGATGCTGTCCACTTCGTTCTTGAGATGCCTCATGGACGACAGCGAACCTTGACGGCATTTGGGGAAGAGAAAGCGACAAAGAAGGTGTGTTAACGAGGGTCAGTCTGGAGCCGGTCCTTTCCTTCCCGTTCACCGTGCTGGTACTGATATAGGCAAGCACTGCACCAGCCTGCAATCGTGTGATCACTTCCCTTCTACAGCATTGAGCCAGCATTGCAACTTCTCAAAGGAAGAATGGCCTCTTGTTGTATAAACATTAGCAAAGTCAAATTTTATTTTTTCGTTCTGCACAATGCAATGCGTTTCTAAAAAAAAAAAAAAAAAAAAAATTTAAATCTTTATTACTACGACAAAACAACTTCACTCTAGTGAAGTATATTTTTATCGTGTGATAGTCGAGTCAGTTTAAAAAACATTGGTACAGCCATGAATACCTTTAGTGTTGGTGAATGAGAATAAATGAGTCCTTATGGCATCATTGCATGCTCACTACAACTTTCTGAAGAGTAAACTTTCTCGTAGGCTTATAATTTAATACTAGCCATTTGAGGTCTTACTAAAGAGATTCGAATTCATTAATTACCAAGATGTTTCTGTGGAACCCACCTGTACTATACATTTAAAAAAAACTATAGAAACGGGTGTGATGGAGAAACAACAGACTCGCCACTCGGTATGAATGTTTTCGATGGAAATACAACCACATCAACTCTGGAAGTTCACTGGAAGTCCCCAGTAAGGACTTCCAGTGGAGTTTGTTCTAGTGCATCTTTGTCGAGGGTGACACGCAAACCAGCAAATTAAGGACGACCACACTGCGTCTTGAATGACGAGTTAGTCGTGAATTTGGGGTGGAGACAGTTGGTGGCCCACCTGTGTGTATGGTCTCGGAGTTCCTGCAGACCTTGAAGAGTGCATCCTTGCGCAGGGCTCCCTTGGTGCATCGGCACCCGGCTACGGGTATCTTCTTCCTCCCCTCATTCACGAGGAACTCTTGCAGCACCAACGCTTCTCCTGCGTCGCCAAGATTACCGTGGCATTTGGTCAGTAGTTTAAAGACGCACATCTGCTTGGCAAACTGTGGAGGCAAGGGCCCCGCGACCCAATAAGGGCGTCCGAGCGAGACACGTGACCCGACATTCCCGGATCATTTGTGTCGCCACGCTAAATGTGAGATGCAAGGCCCAGAGGAACCGGCTGTCGTCTGCTAGCTAAGAGTCGTCTGCTCCGAAACCAACCAACTTTGGATGAACGTCCACCACAGCAACATTTCCGTTCACTAGAATAGTAAGCATTTCGGGAACAGTTCATAAGACAACCATACGCTCAATTTAACCGCGAATCTGTGACGGGTACTGATATCAGGGTTCAGTGCGATGTTTTGAGCAGAAACGGCCCACTATATGGCTGCGATCATTGGCGATCACCAACTGCCACGATGCTACAAAGAGAAAAACATTGGGATTGGATACGGATGTGACGTCGCTTTTTGGGTTTAAATATAATTGAAACTCATAAATTTGTGATTATTTATTATTTATATCTTCTCGTTAGAGATCGAACCGCGTGAGTTCAATTGCCGTTAAAAGAAAAAACGTTCAGCCTTTCCACTCTCGTCAAGAAGGAAGACCAGCGAAGCTGTACTCGATACACTGTGTGCTTCTTCTTCGTCGTCGTTTGTTTTTCGCGCTGTTTCCTACAATGAATTCCCACCAACGCGCCCAACTATCAATTCTTCTATGATGTATGTATGTATATTTGCAGCACAATCTCTTTGTAACGAGAGTCTTGTAAGACTCGTTATAAGCAAAAAAGAAAAACAAAATAAAGAAGGACAACAATGAAAGAGAAGTGGTTAGCACGTGTGTCCAAAGTTCGCCAACCGTCACTTTCGCAAAGTCCAAGTTAATCAGTTCACATGACTCCGTCGTTTTAAGTGAGTGTTTACCCCTCCAGCCAAAAGTAAAGCATTGGCCATCTTGGTCACCTTGGTCATCTTGGTCACGCCCCCAATTTTTCAGTTGGTGATAGCTGGAAAGGTTGGCGCCATCTACGAGCGACAGCAAAAACCATACTGGTTGTGTGCTTGCCGCCGTCGCTTATAGATGGCGGTAGCTGTCCAGGTAGGTTTGTGTCGACATACCGGACACGGTCCTGGGGAACCTAGCCCTTAACAGCTCCGCTGCAAAAGAAGTCTAGAACTACTTTTTGTCGCAAACGGCGCTGTTGTGGCGGTAACGAGGCCCCCGTGGCCTCGATTACGCAGTATTATCACGTGCCTTGTTCCGGCAGTCTTATTGGGTCGCGGGGGCCGCGGCTTCCACAGCGACTTCCACAATAGACTATTTCCATAAAGCCCTGCATGCAACACGGCGCGCGTTGCACTCTGGGAACTAGTTGGCCAGGGAGGAGAGTGGCATGGTTTCGGTTTCGGTCGACACGTCGACAAGAGATTATACCCAGAGCGTAGACCATTACGGCCGTTATCTCATGTTTTCTGGTTCCGAGAGCGTCATTTGTGGTCTCTAAACTAACCTAAATGGCCAGACCTCGAAGTTTTAGCACAAGCCTGAGACGTATAGCTTGTCTTAACACATGCTTGTTGTATTTTTGTACTTGACCCTTCCTGTTAGCGTTCCAATCAAGTGCTGCAGTGCTGGGAATCTCGACGCTGCGAAGCTCGGGGATCTTGCTTGAGTACGAATCAACAAGCTGTAGCAACCAATAAGTATGCATACATCGAGCTCGCGCCTTTACATTAGAGTTGTTGATCAAGAAGTTTGTTTGTTTCGTGCGTCCATAGACGAAATATTACTCCTTGCAATTACTGTTTTTCTTTATATGCCTAAGTATGCAAGGTAAAACTCGGAGGCGCCATTAAAAAGCTCAATTTTAACGCACTTCTCATCTCTTATCTGTACTGACCCGCAGCACTGCACGATGTGAAGTCCCCGCCCGCTTGCATTCCACTAATATTCAACATCGCGTATGCGCATAAAGTTATCCTGCAATCATATAGGCACATTCGCACATACAGACCGTCTTACGAAAGCAAAAGTCGAGCACTTGTGTGAAGAATGTCGCACCGTGCGCCGGAAGTGCGCCGTGCGCCAAACGAACGAATTCAAAGCGCGTTTGACGGTTGCTAATGGCCATAATATTAGTTATGTGTTAGCTTTCTTCCTGCCTGAGTATGCCGAGATAATTTCAGACACACCGTTCAGGCACAGATCTTGGGCGTCAGTAAAAGCTCGTCCAAAAAGGCTTAGCGAAGAGTAGGGGACGCTTTGGGGGCCTCCGTCGTAGCTAGCCGATCTCAGCGTTTGCGAAAAGTTAATCTTCTATCAGGCATAAAATTTGAGTGGGAGATATATGATGACACGAGGACGACATCATAGTAACTTTTGTGCAGCAGTGAGGTCGAATTTATTGCGTTTCCTTAAAAGTTCATGCGTAAACGCTGGGCTCAGCTTTGATACCCGGTGAGGTTGCGGCTTGCTTTTCGCCCAATGAAGTAAGAAGAACCGGCCGTTCGGCAAACAAAATACGTGTAAGGCTCCAGATGAACAAATTTCAGTTGTAGTTCACTAGTACTAGACGGGAATATTGAAATTGAGCTCAAACATGCACTCGTGGGGTGAGGTGACTAAGCCACGACTTACTACGTTTGCATACGCACGCACAATATCCGGTGTTTCGGGAACCAAGGAAAGTGCCCCGGTCTTTGTTTTGTATCGCTCGAGAATGAGTATATTGTACGTTCGTGAAAAGTCAGATAATCGAAAACGCAAGCAGCGTGTTCGGTTGCGGCGTGATAGCATGAGATGCAGCTGCTCAATCGAAACCGAAACTGAGTGGCCAACTAGTTCCCAGAGTGCACTGCGTGGTATTTCGCCGCGATGGGGCGCGTCAGTTTTGGAAGAAGTCCATTCAAAAAGGGGCACTTAAATCTGCAAGGGCCACAAAGACTTTGGGAAATCTGAACATACCTAAGGGGCGAATAAAAAATGGAATTTAGTTGTTTTTTCAATTTAACCATTAATATTCTGTGTACAACTTAAGGCTAAAAACCGTGGCACCTTTGGATCACTCCAAGAGCACCTGCAGAACTCCCCACAAAGGGCCGTCCAAACGGGACACGTTTTTTGAAATCGTGGCATTTCCCATATCGAAGGTAAAGGTTTCCCTCTGGTTCCGGTCTGCTTTGGCGCATCTTTTCTTGCCGGGCGTAAAACCTTCCCTTTCCTTGCATCACTAGACGGGGAGCGTACCTCCGCTGTTGTTGTCTGTCCCCAATCTCCCAAAAACGAGAAAGGGGAAGAGACGACGGAAAGGGGAAGAGACGACGGAGAGGAGGAGAGCCGTGCTGCTTGCGCGGTCGACGTCCATTAAAAACAAACGCGCGCGCCGCAACTTTTACGTTTTTTTATGAAGCGCGCGCGTTTTTCTTGTTGCGTGTGGCATCTGCTGTGTCCCGTTTGGACAGCCCTTCAACTGGACGCGCTCGTTCCCTGGCGCCCCGCTTTGACCACCGTTTTTCCCGAATCGATCGCGCGTTGCGGGCCACCCACCGTGAACTTCTTCCGTGTCGGCGAGGGGCAGCCGCTTCCCCAGCTCCTTCCTGATGTCCTCGACCAGGTGGTAGATGACCTTGAAGTCGCGGATCTCCACGCCGCCTTCCTCCGCCAGCTTCCTGGCAGTCTCAAGCACGGGAACGTGGAAGGCGTAGACGACGGCTGCGGAATTTGCGTCGTTCAACTTGCCGGGCTTACCGATATGGTAAATGTTAGAAGCTAGTTTCATTGTACACAGGTCATACCGGGTGTTTCGAAGAAAAGAGAGCCGCTTTCTTCTTGCTCTAAAGATAAACTAATCGGCGCCGAATGCGCTAATGTAGCGCAAGCGGTCGGGGTTAAGTGCCGAAGTTTCCTAGCTTACCGTTGTCCGATTTAAAAGCTACAAACGATTTTTGGACATCTCAATGAGGAAACGGCGGTCAATGAAGCCTGCGAACATGCAGAAACGAACGGCTTAAGCTACCGAGAACAAGCGTCGTCTTTTCGTAATAGTAAGCTCTAAGAAATGCATAATGTTCTAAACCCCAACCAACATGGTTTCCGCAGTGGCCTGTCAACGGTAACCCAGTTGATTGAATTTTACCATGAATTTGCCACTTACGTTAACAACCGTACGCAGGTTGATGCAGTTTTCATCGACCTGTCGCAGGCACTCGACCGGGTACCTCACCGCAGACTGATTAAGGCATTAATAGACCTCGAAGTTCCCTTTTCTTTGACTAAGTGGATCAATGCATATCTTTCAAACCGTCAACAATTTGTGGATATAAATGGTACTTACTCAGGGCTGTTAGATGTTCATTCTGGGGTGCCCCAAGGTTCTGTCTTAGGGCCCCTACTTTTTTTTAACTTACGTTAACAGTTTGTTCCCATCCAATGAAGATGTCCCAATTAAGCTAAGAATGTTTGCCGACGACTGCGTTATTTACAGTCCCGTTGTTGAAATACAAGACCAGATAAAAGTGAGTGAAGCGCTGGCTAACATTGCGTCTTGGTGTCGTGCAAATAACATGAAGATTAATATTAGCAAAACTCAGTACATGCATATAACAACAAAAAGAACTGTCTTAAACTTTAGCTATGAGGTTGCTGGCGTAGTATTGACTGAAGTAGACAGTTGCAAATATTTAGGAGTGATTTTGTCTTCTGACCTCGGATGGAAAAAGCATGTGGAGTATGTTAAAAAGCGGGCAACTAACAAATTGTGGTACCTGAAGAGAACGCTGGGTAAAACTCCCCCTTCCGTTAAAATTCTTGCGTATAAGACAATTATTAGACCTGTGTTAGAATACGCGTCTGCAGTGTGGAGCCCATGGCAGAGCTCTCTGGTCAGAGAACTCGAAGATATTCAATCGCTAGCTGTGCGTATAGTTTTTTCAGATTTCAGACGAACTACGTCTGTGACCGAACTTAAAAGGAGAGCCAATATAAGCCCTCTGTCAAACAGAAGAAAGAGCCAACGGTTGAAGCTGTTCTTTCAGATTTTCAAGAACTGTATAAAAATTGATGGCTCCGTTTACTTAAAACCAAAAAGTTTTTACTCGGAACGCTTGCATCACTCAAAGACCGTAGCCCCTATTAAAGCTCGAATAAATAGCTATAAACAATCTTTTTTTGTGCATACAATTGATTTGTGGAACAGCCTTCCCGGTGATGTTGTCGATATTGATTCACTCTGTTCTTTCGAAAAAGCCGTAGATAATATTTTTCAGTGCTAAGATTGCTTTTATTGCTCTTATGAAATTATTTTTACTGTCTTTATTTTTTATTACTGCTGTTACATTTACTGCTATACTGTTATTGTTATTACTAGTATTACATTTGGTTACTGTATTGTTTCTCTTCTTTCGAATATGTCGTAGATATTATTTTTCGGTGCTAAGATTGCTTTTTGTTTAGAACTGTTGTGTTTATAACGTGCATGTGTGACACTGTATCACCCCACTCCTGCCTTGGCCCTATATTCGGCTGGCAGTATTGATAAATAAATAAACTAAATAAATAAAGAACTTTGGCGTCGGGTCCCAACTACTAACGGACACGGACAAAACGTTTGGAGACGAATCGTTTACTTCTACGCCGAGACAAACACCGATCTCTCTTATCCCAAACTCCCGGTAGTACTATTATAATACTACTGACGGACACAATGCCAGAGCAGTGGCACCCCTGACCTTTGCTTCGCCCATTCTAAGAGTCTGAACGGGCAATTGTGTAAAATATTGAACGTTTGAGAATGAGAATTGCCACCGTTGAAAGGCTGAGCGAGTTCCACGTCGGACTCTGTCACGGCCCCCACGCCGTAGTGCATCAGGTCCAGGCGGCAGCTCCGGTGGGAGTGGTACGTGTCTAGGATGTCCAGCACGGCTTCCACCGAGCCGTCGACGTCGCCTGCAACACGGCGAGGCATAATTAGGGTATGGTGTTTTAGGATGTTATTTTTTTCTTAAAACTGGCACGAAACTTTATTTTTATCTGTAAAGGAACATTTAAATAACGCGTCTCCGACGGTTCTGTTTACAGCGTCCCAGAAAAGTCGTCCCTCGATTTCTGCCAGATGCGTCGTCGTAGAAGCATCGTATGGTCGTCAGTCGTGACCTGGCGGTGTCGCTCCGGTGGCGGTGAATGCGGAAGATGTCTGTTTCGCCGCAGGTCACTCTCTGGCTCGATGGTTCGCGGAAGCTTCCGCAGCCGGGAGCTGGGACGCCACGGCGACGGTGGTGTTCGCATTCCTTCGTGCTTTTTTTCGGAACTTCTACATCCGAGCGCCGGGATTGCGACGTCCGACGGCGAGACGCTCCGGCTTTTGCGACGTTGTCTGCCACCACTTCAGGACCACTTTCGATGTGTGGGAAAAATGGTACGCCATGCACATCGGCCGGAGACGAGTTCCAAATGCCGTACTGGCACCTCCGTTCAACCCGAGGCTATATGTATGGTCTTCGCTTTGCTTTTAAATGCGTCCGCATCTATTGCTCCGGTGCACACGGCCGTCTTTCGTCTGGACAGTCGTGATTGGTTTCATGAGGCTGTGGCACGGTTCGCGCCGTGCTCTTTCACTTAGTTCGCTCGTGACGTCCACTTTCCTTTAGGCAAGAGGGAAAGAGTCTTTTGATACGCTTTCAACGACGCGGGAGAGGGAAGCTGTGGTGGCTGCATCCGAAACTGGCTATGCCCGGGAGAACTGACCGGCTCTCCGAAGACAACGGTGTACGGACTGTCACGAGTTTGGAATTCCCGTCCTTCGCCGAGTCGGAACTTCCGCGCTAAATGACGACGCATTCTGTCGAGGATCTGCGTAGCGACCGGTCAGAGACGCGTTGCAAACCCTCCTACAAAGAGATTTAAAGGGGCACTAAACCACTTTTTGTAATACTCTAGTCATGGTCATAACTATCTATGGGCTCTAAGTATCCTAAGAAACAACATTACATTTGTGCGTGACCACCTCCTTTTTTTTAAAAAATCGGTATCAAAGATTAATTGCCTCCGAATCGTTGCAGACACGAGTGTGCCGCTGGGTGAGAAGGGCTTCTCCTTGTCCGACGGCACCCTCTGGTGTCGGCGATAGTCCCAAAGTAATCAACGTTGATACCTATTTTAATAGAGAAATTGGCCATGCATGAATGTAATGTTAGGTTTTCTTATAATGCTTAGAGCCCATAGATTGAGTCACGAGCATAAATAAACTATCACAGAAAGTGGTTTAGTGCCCCTTTGAGGGAAGAGGACTAAGCTCTTTGAGGATGATTTGGCTCAGAAGTACACGTTTGACACTTGGGTGTTGACCACGATCAGTCAAAGCAGTAGTTCTCGAACGGGGGTCAGCAAAAACATATTCGAGGGATCCGCAAAAGCCCTGCCTCATCAGTCTAGCCCCGCAGTAAAAGTTGTCTTTTGTCAGACTGAAAAGAGATGTTCCAATTTTCGGGCAAGTCTTCTCACGTGTACGTCAATCGGAGAGGTCTACTTCGCACTAGCCCTTACTTATATTCATTTATTAAATCATTATCATAATTAACCTACTCCTTTCTCTTCCCCTCACCACGAATGGGGTCCGCCATCACCTCCGCCAATCTACAAGGGGTCCGCGAACCACCGAGTTGGAGACTAACCTTCAACGCTCCATACTACAACCGAAAGCAGAAAACGCCAGAAACTTGCCCTTGACGATGATGGGAAGGCGCGGCGTGTCGTCGACGATGTACTCCTTCTCCCGGTTGGAGAAGCGTTTCCGCTTCCGGCGCTGTCCCAGGGCGCGGCGCTGTTCCAGCTCGGCCTTGTACTTCTCCAGGTGCTCCTGCAGCTTGTGCTGGATCGCCTCCCACTCCGCATCATCCTGGGCCGACCTCTGCTGTGCCTGCCTCCAGTCCACCACCTCGCGCGCCCGTTTCTGGAGCAGACGACGACAAGAGGCGGCTCAGTGCCCGCCCTTCACAATATGCGGACATCTGCGTATCGTGCGCAGCGGCGATGACACCGTCGGATCATGGTCTACACTGTGGGATCTCACACTTTCCTATCTCGAAGAATACCTCTCTCTTGTCTTGGTACAGAAACCTATAGAGCAATAGTGCTTTGTCATAGTAAACTACCAACGTCTGACAATAGCTGTTACAGTATTAGTTCTAACAAACTTCCTTACAAATCATGAGTCATGCGAGAGTTCTGACCTATATCTCACTGCTACTGGTGTAACAAGGATCTTGTCCAACATGGATTTTGGGTATGCTAAGTGGCCTCAACTGTATATTATTAGCATTAACTCCTTGCTGTTCAAATAAGAACCGCAATGCTGATGCTGGCTGTTAATATCAATAGCAGGAACAAGGAGCAAGTGTGGAAACTTATGCGAGTGGGAGACGCGTTTGAGCACTGGTATGTTCATGAAAAGAGGGAAACTGAGTAACTGTTACCAATTCACGCTCTTCTTGGCTTTTTCCTACTTTAAAAACAGATTTCTTTGAAAAAAAAAAAATCAAATCTGCAACTTTTTGTTACTGACAGAAGGAGGAACGCTTTGGACTTGGATCCCCAGCATATTGCACCATGGAGCGCACAATAGAGACAATAACTATAAAATGACACATTCTTTTCCTTTATTTAAGAACAAAAAAATTTCCATTCCACTGGACAATAATTTTTCGAACTTCTCACCTCCGACTCCACCTCGATGATGTCGTCTCCAGCAGACGGAAGCTCCTTCCAGCCAATGACTTGTGCCGGAACTCCAGGTGGCGCCACCAGTAGTGGCTTTCCCCACTCGTCGAACATGCCGCGGACCTGGACAGCAAGCAGCCCGCAATGTTTCTTTGCTACAAGACACGGTGGCGCTGCTTTACAAACTTCCCCGCCAGGTGGCGCAAGTCTTCACCTGATTCGAAGGATCCAGCAATACCCATCCATCCATCCATCCGATTATATTTCACATGATTAATTCTCCAGTGTTTTGCTGTGAGAAAGAAGAGATAGCACTCCCTACCTTCCTAACGAAATCGTGCACAAGAGATGGACGCCAGCCACTGCAAGTCCGTGTAGGCTTTCTCACATGCCCCGCTACACCAAGGGTAAGCAGCAGACAGAGGAGCCCACTTGCACCAGTCAGTCTGCTAGACTTTGCTGCGGTTTCCACCAGTATACGGGTTTCGAATATTTTGCTGAAAATTCCTCTTCATAAAGTTGTTTTCAACCTTTACTGATTCGACACGTTACCATATTACTGTAAGCACCACCCGGTTTTTCGTCTTCAATAGCACCCACCCCCAAATCCTGTCCTAATTTGACGATTTTAAGCAAGTTTAGTATTCAATGGTAGTTCCTTTTAAGTATATATACTCTGAACAAAATCGTACCACAACACACCTTTACTACGAGAGGGCTTACTGCGATAAAATACCGAAATAGCCCCTACCAAAATCGTGAGACATTCAACTATAAAGTACAACAACATTTAGCCCAGTTACTTGCTCGATTCAAATTTACATACGCTAATTTAAAAAAAAAGAAAATGGGCATTTGTACTAGAGTGGGTGCATGCTCAGAATTTTGCGCTTCAGAAATGCTATTATGCATGGATTTACAAAAGAAACCTAGGAGGCCATTGTGAGGGTAACGCTCAAGACAGATTTTGTTCTGAGCTCAAGAAGCAAATAGTATGCGCATAAGAGATGAATGGAAGTCTCAGCCAGACCTTAGCCCAGGCTTTTCCAGCGACCAAGAAGGCCCCCTTCTTCAGTGTCCCCCGCTGTATGAGTGCCGTGGACAGTTTCCTGCAGGAAGTGAGCCAGGGTAACAATCAAAACGACTCCCCAATACTAGTAAGATCTCGGCTCAATCCGGCGTGCCAGTATGGAAGACAATATTTACTCATTTTTTTGGATACCTACAGAACCATGAGGTAACACAGTAGGGGGGAAAACACTTGAAGCTGAAGTAGAAATAGTTACAGATGCGGAGAGCAAATCGTCTGCTTTTTGCGCATGGGTTGCGGTGACGTCAGAACGACGCCGAGCTGATTGGCTTTGGTTGAAAGGATAGTGCCTCTAGGTCTACCCACTATTTCTTTCGGTCGGCCAATAAGAGCTCGGCGTTTTGACATCATCGCAACCTTTGTGCAAGATGCAGACGACCTTGCGCTCCGCATAGAAATACAAAAATCACAATTGTACCGGAAAACATTTTGAATTACACAACACCTTTCATAACAACTGGAATGCCGTTCTAACGCAAAATTACAAAAAGAGCAGGAACATTGCAAGGTCCAATCCGAATTAAACAAAATTAGGTGCAATGCTAACCACAAAATCTAGCAATCTTCAACCCAATGCCGTTTTAGAAACAAATTGGCTCTTGGAAACATCAGTTTTGCAACAGAATTTTTTTACACTATTAAAGCGACCCCCTCGTTGCGATAACCACCTTCACCCAATGTAATGGGTGAAGGTGGCTCTCTCTTTTAATACCAGTTCTACAGTGAAATATGTTACGAAGCAATATGAGCCGCTGACCCTCGATGCTTGTCGGTGGTTGACTCGATGACGACTCCTTCGACCATGCCTTTGGGGTCGGCCCGAATCTCCATGAGTTCGGCCTGGGTCAAGATGGTCTCCGTCAGCTTGTCCAGATTTGTGCCCTGGGGACGCGACGAAACAGACAGAAAGGAGAATAGCACCGTGCTTTCAAGCGAACTCGTGTCGACGGGACTTCTCAACGACTCAAATCTAACGGAGGGCAAAATGAAAAGGTGGTGACAATGCCTCGCTCCCAAGACAATGCCGCCATCTATTTTCAGCATAAAATATATACACATCTGGTCAGTTGCCCGGCATGTAGGCAAAAGCAGTTCAGTGTTGTTTTAGAGTGACAATTTTGATGGTCAGAAATGCAAGTCGTGGGATCTGGCTGCCGCAAGGCACTTGCAATGTTCTGAAAACATTAAATAATGCCTGCTGGTATCTGCGAGGCTGGCGATAAAGGGTCACTGAAAATAATGTTTTTTTACATAATTAATGTAAGACTTACCTAGCACAAACAGTGACCAAATTGTGCTTAAAAATATCAATTTAATCTTGCTAAAATTAAGAAAAAACAGTTTCCATTTTTTTTCTTTTTGTTAGAATTGCAATGGAAGGACAGTGTCCCACAACAAACTAAGCTTGTCGCTGGGCAACAGAACCACAACTAGCCTTTTTCAGAACTTGGACACCACCCAACCATGACCGTTAATCATTGAATGTGTAGTGTCGGCTAAAGTACTAACTGGATCGTAGGAAAGTGGTGCCAAGCTTCCCATATAGTTGCCATTTTCGCTCATGAAATGAGCAATTTCTCCTTGACCTTTTCATTCTTGGTGAGCCATTCTGAATTCGCTGGTGACGGGTAGCTTTATCGAGGCGTTTCTTGTATTACGAGAGTTTGCTATCCACAAATTGGCGAAACAAGTGTTCATCATGATACCACCACCACACGCGGTGTCGGTGCTTGGAAGCATTCAAAAATAGTTTTCCTGTCTTGGAATACACAAAAAGAACAATATAATTGTAATAAGAGATCCATGGGGATAGGCATGATTGATAAGTTGATCACATACACTGTGCCAAAGATATTGGCAAGGAACGCCTTCAGTACGATGATGCTCCATGGTGATCTTGGTGCAAGCACTGGATTACGACCCTCTAAAAGCTTCGAAGACTTGAAGGGGCCGAAATGGCAATTGCCATAAAAACGGAGACTGATTAGCCAATCGCCTTACGAGGTTTTGGCTGTCTGCATGTTAGTATTTGTTAATGTTCGGCTAGCAAGCAGGGAAGGCAATGGCGCCACTTTCCCAGTATCCAGTGGCTTCAGTGTTGACAAGAGCCTCCGTGTCTCTAGACTTTTTACCGCATAACCAGTTTGGATTTGTCTCTTGCCTTGAGGGCAGAGATGCAGACGTACTGCACGTCCCCGCCTTCGTCGTCCATCTGTATGCCGTGCACCATCAGGCCCCTCTTCGCGTGCTCCTGCAACCCGCCATCAGAGCATGTTGTGATTCTCAAAGCATCCATCTTGCAGCCAAGAGTGTGAATGACCCTTGTGAAGCCACCGCAAGAACTCACAATGTCTGTGTTGGGCTTGTCAACCTTGTTGATGGCCACAATGATTGGAACTGCAAGGTCAAGGGATCAGTGTCACAGGCAATTGCCACAAACAGAATCTTTTTTCGACTGCTGGACCTTGCAGAAATTTAGAGGACCAAAAATTCACTACGCAATAAGAGCCTTCTTGCTAACCAGCTACAACACATACGTTAAAACTGAAAAGGATTTTTGATAAATTACTCGAGCACTAAGGAGGACGATGCCAGTGTAGCTTACACACGCTGTGCTTGCAGGCGTCTGCAGTGATAACTGTTCCAAAGCAAAAACCTAAGACAAATGAAACTTTCCAAATGTATTCCTCACAGCCCTATGTTGATTAGTATTTACTTTGAATCTTTGATACTGATAAAGCACAAACGCGTGGAGCATGTGTACCTATGTTCCCAGCATTCTCCTTTGTGTCGGGGTATTTTCACAAAAGGTGCAATGTCCCTGAAGAAAATTATTGATGAACTGGGCAGCCTACAGGCTGATGCAAGTACACTATATACTATAGGGTGACAGAAATAGTCATGCCGGCTGTAGAATGAGCCGGTAATATTAGTGCCAGCATGTAGCGGGCAAATTTTTCATCAAAGGTCTAATTAAGTGGTACACGTCACCTCGTGAAATTTCAAGGGAGGGAACCCTTTTGATATTGAGGACTCTTCCATCAATACCAGCCCCTGTATGCCCATAACATACACTTTAGATCAAATTAACTATACAATTATAAGGTGCTAGATGCTGTGTCTAGACCACCGAGACAAACTGCGTTCACAGAAGCAGACATACCATCGGCCTCACGGGCGTATCGAATGGATTCTACCGTCTGCTCCATGACTCCATCGTCTGCTGCGACGACCAGGACCACGATGTCGGTCGCCAGGGCACCCCTGGCTCTCATCGCAGAAAACGCGGCATGGCCGGGCGTGTCCAAAAACGTGATGCGCTCGTTCCCAGGTAGCGTCACTGAAATAAAATCGTCGCAGAGTTTACAAACGCCGTATAGCCCAAAAGTATATGAACAACACCCTGCTAAATCTGGTTCAGATTTTTATATAATGCACTCGATGGTCGTGCTGGCAAATGTTCAAGGTGTATTTTCTGGTACTGGACGTCTTCAATGGGCTCTTTTAAGTCCGCTTCCCTGTCAAACGATAATGCGTCAAAAAGAAGCCTGCCGAACAAAAGAGTGTGGTGTTTTTAGAGAGATGCTGAGGCGATCTCTCGCATTTATTTTCGGGGTTATCATGCGTGTTGAAGGCATCTCATGCTGTACTGGTTGAGTACTACCTAATTCAAATTGACTAAATATGTGTAGTCACACCCAACTCAGATGCACATTCAGAAGGTCACTCAAAAGATCCACGTTTATGACTGGACAGTCTCGGCCAAAGCTCTTTGGCCGAAGCAAGCATCAACCAAAGCTCTTTGATTTGAAGCAAGCATTGGCCTAAGATCTTTGGATTGAAGCAAGCATCGGCCAAAAATCTTTGGCCGAAGCGAATCCTGGCCAAAACTGAGGCTCGCCTGTGAAGGCACCGATGTGCTGGGTGATGCCGCCAAACTCCTGATCCACCACGTTGGTGTTCCGGAGCGAGTCGAGGAGGGTCGTCTTGCCATGGTCGACGTGGCCCATGATGGTGACGATGGGAGGGCGCGGTTTGAGCAGGCTCGGTTCGGGAGGTGGCCTGCGAACGAGAAGGTCGGAAGAATCGTTACAAACGTGCGAAATTAACCGAACAGACGTTCGTAAATTGACTTTGCGCTTACGAGGTCACGAGCAAGAAAACTTTCCCAGTCTTACGTCCTTTACCACGTCCACCGCAAACAAACGAAACACAACTGTAGTAAAAAAAAAACATGCGAAAACACTAGGGTTGGAGAGAAGGACTGATGAAGAACGCCGGCAACAGTTTGTCTTTCAGTGTCCTCAACATTTTTTTTAATTTTTTTTTATTTTCATTCTAGTTACAAGAGTTCAAAGGGGAGCTTCTTAACCTGTTGTTGGCAACCATGTCAAAGCCAGAAAGAGATGGATTACTCGAAGTAAGCTGGCATAGTGTGCAACAGTTAAAGTGAACTTACTGTGAGCATCCGGTCACCCAAAACTGGGGTCTGCCTATCGTCGCACAGTATCTCGAAGCATAATCTTTTTGCTTTACCGGCTGCAAGTTTTGTCAATCTTGCTGATGTTCTTCACTGAAGTAGTTAACTCTCTCGGCAAAATGCTGGCTGCCGTTCCGAAGCCACTTCTCGGGTCCTAGCTACCGTCCTCAACTACCATGGCGATTTGTTTGGACCACAAAACATCGGCACAGGCAGGCGGTATAGTCGAGTCAGAGGTCGGCGTGCCTTCAACATCCCAGTCACACGCCCATTTGACAATGTGAGTGCGAAAACGCACCACAGTCGGCGACAGGCTTAGAGTTCAGATGCGGAGAAAGTCCATTTAGGAGCAGCTAAAAGTCCATTTAGGAGTGGCAAAGGGAACTTTTGGCGCACATGTTTACACTTCATTTTCATTGCTACCACTGCAAATATTGTATGTTAGGATTAAGGTGCTGGCCATTCCATGAGAAGACAATGTCTACTTTGCCTTCCCACTTCTGCGCCGCTTTTTGTTAGCATCAACTGCATGGCAGGTTTGATTCCCTCAAACACAATAACTTGCGGCTGCGTGTAGAAGTACCAAGCACGACAACAATATGCTGATGAAGGACTGTACGAACTGCTGCGAATTGTTATTTTTGCGATGCACTAGTGTACAAGAGCGTGGTGAGAAGTGCACTTAACGAAGCTGCTTAACCCAACAGAACAGACCACGGACGTGAAAATATTGCGCGACTTCCGAGTACTCTCAGTGTTTGATACAGAGATTGAATCGAGTAACACATTATTTAAAACAATAATTGAAAGATTAGAAAATTTGGACAAACCTACTGTAATGATCCGGCCATGTGGTGGGTCCTTGGCTACCAGATTTTCAGCAATAGCGAAGTAAAATTACATTATGGCGCAACAGTGGCGCAAATTTGTCGCATTTTGTAGAAATCCGGCGGTACGTAGTAGGGCAAGCACTCTGGCGCAGTTTGGGGTAGATGGTGCAGTAATTTCATAACTGCACTTTAGCAGGGCGACCGCGAAGTCATGGCAAGCATGAAAGCTTTGGTGGAAGGGGGTCTGCCCCGCCTTTCTTAATTTACCGAGTTCTTAGCCTGTCACCGACTATCCACCTCAGCAAAGTTCAGCAATCCACATTAGCAAAGTAATAACCCAAGAACAATATTGAGCGGCACCCAAGTCGTGTTCTGTCCACACGTCGAAGCAGGACCGCATACCTCCGAACTGCGTCTTGGAACTGCCTCTTGGGGGCCTCCCTCTCGGGCGGCGCCCGGACCTCCGCTCGGTATCCGAGCTTTCTGACGATCTTGAAGATTGTCTCAACATCGTCGATGGCTGCAAAGGTTTTTGCCCCAACGTAAGATGGCGATCGCCGTACGAACCCCCTCGGCAAAGGAGGAAGGAGCGCGACGGACATACTGAGTGGCAGATCGTCATTTACAACGCGGTCCGTTGAAGGTTAAGACTAGCGGGACAAGACCCTTCCACAAAGCTCTCTGCCTTCCTCCTCTCCAGCATTCTTCGCTTTGCTAAGGCAGAAAGAGTAGAGGGTTTCGTAGGGGGAGCATGCCCTTCAATTCTTAACCTGTTGTAGGAGCTTCTGCAACCTATGGTTCATCCCAAAGAATGTTTGTTCTGGTAGTGGAACCCATACCTACGACGAAACAATTTAATGCCGATGAACTTCCGTTTTTTTTATTGTACTCGGGTGGTTAATAGAAAAAAAACTTGTTAATCGAATGCTTTCGTCACGGGCGTGGTTTTAAATGCTATTTCCTTCAGAGAATGAGAAAAGGCAACTACTAACTGAAAATGACCGCAAATAATGTATGAGCTTCAAGTATTGCCATTGCTAAATGAATTTTCACCAAGAATATATATGATCCCTCGTTAACTCCAAAAGAGCTTCCCCAACCAAGACGGTACTGACCGCTTTGATCATGGTCGTACTGCGCAGTGTTCTCGACGTACAGCATGGCTTCGTAAATGTCATCTGTAAGAACGGGAGAAACGTGGCACATGACTGCGTGCAACCTTTGTTCATACTCGACCTTCACCGAACGTACCTAGCGGCCTGTCCACCACACTGGCCAGTTCGGTGACGGTAATGTTCTTCCATATCTTCACGACCGGACTTTTGGGCTTTGTTTTGGACGGAATCTGACCAGCAAACAAGAAGGAAAGTTCGGTTTCTTAAATGTCGCAGTTGAAGCTCTTTCTTTGAGCATACTAATAACCATAATCACTTCTCTGCTTATATATAGTAACTGTTTAATTTCCCTTTGATCAAGAAAACTACACTGACTTGACTTAACAATATTAACAATTTAATCAAACGTTTTGTTTCCCATATAGGAGACGAAGCATTTGATTAAATTGTTAATATTGTTAAGTCAAGTTGGTGTAGCTTTCTTAATCATTATGAATCCTGGCTTTTTCTCCGCATATTTTCTCCGTGGCCGTAATGCCATACTGCGGAATGGCCAGACTGGAGCAGTCTTCTGCTCTCCTCTTACGACCTTCTTCTTCACCCGGGAGTCAATGGCATTCTTTATTTTCATGTAACGTAGTACATTTGCGTGCCGCGTGAAGCACTACCACCCCACCCCACCCCACTTGGAAGAGTCCCTTCGCGCTGCTTCGCGCCGGTGCTCGCGATTCGCAGACCATTGTTTTGGCAGTGCTTTTGCTGCAAGTTTGGACTTCCTTCATTGAACTTCGCTCCAACTTAAGTTACTACGGTGGGAATGAAGTAACGGCCGGCCGCAAGTTGGCAAGCCAGAGTGGAAAGGCTGGAAAGGTTGCAGCCATCCATGAGCGACGGCGGCGAGCAGACAACCGGAAAGCACAACACTTTGGACAGCTACCGCCATCTATGAGCGACGACGGCAACCAGAGTGTTGTGTCGACATTTCTTTGCGGACGGACACGATCCTGGGGAAACTAGCCCTTAACGTCTCCGCTGTAAAAAAAAGTTGTGAGGCGGGTACTGATACTGTATGTTGCGGATGCAGCAGATTCGCGTTTCACGCGGTGCGATAAACACGGGAAACTGCTACAAAACTCACGTATCACGGGACTTACGAAGGGCTTTTGCATTTTCTTGGCGGCAAGACATCGGGAGGTGCTGAAGGCACGAGACCCACACAGCGAGCATCTTGCCGAAGTTCTTTCATATGCGAGGAAATGCAGCGAAGGATCGCAGGATACGACGCGGCTACCGGCGTTGAAACTTCCCAGGACCAATCTGCAAGAGTTCGCAGAAAAAGTATAAATATAAATAAAGCAGTGACGTTTACGATAAGAAAATAAGACAAAACCACGCTATTTGCGACAGAAAATCACCGCCGTCTGCGTTCGGTCGGTGTAGCACCTTCAGCCATCACCGCCAGCCAAAACTCGAGTGGTGCTTCATTCATTACTACTCCACAGCTCGGAATTCGCCGGTCAAAGTAGTGCCATTTAAGAGATTGCGATGCTCAAATACAATTTTAATGCATTCATGGGAAGTGCACGTTTATTCTGCGACACCAACTAAACGCGAGAATCGATAAAAACCGGTGGAAACAGCAATAAAATATTACCGAAACCTCCGAAGATTTCTCACCACCGCAACACCGATGGAGGCCGCCATGTTTAACGCTTGGCCAGGCTTGCCTAGGCTTGCTTGAAAGTCCGAAAGGCACGAGACATACATTTCTAATCAATTTAATAAACACACTGCGAACAAAAAACACGTGTATTGGTATTGTAACCAAAAAATTTAAGTCTTATAGCTATATTTGATTTATTTCAAAATAAAAGCATAGGTTCCAATTGTTATGTCACGTGTGCGAAGTTTAGTTTCAATCCAACACAAGCCAGGAGCCATCCAGCCAGCCCTCCTGCTTGCGGTTTCGGTTTGCCGTTCGGGCTGCGTTTTACCGGTGATTTGATACTATCCTGCTTTAACAAAGTTCGTTCCTGAAATTTTCGGCGTCAGCAAGCAGCTCATTAAAACACACTGGGCCCTCATCACCCGGGGAGCAGCGACGATGCCGTTTTGCGCGTGTTTGAGTAGATTGTTCCGATGACTCCGATATCAACACCCGCTGCCGCCTTTATTTATTTTATTTTATTTTTATTTGCTCAGGAGAGCCGCGGCCAGTGTTACCAACTGTAGGGACATGTCCCTAAACCTAGGGACTTTTGACGATTTTTTGGTCAACTAGGGACGTAGGGACGCCTTGCCACTTTTACAGGAAAACATGGGGACTTCCACAATCGCTGCCATCTTTTTTTTTTTTTTTAATTTACGGAAATTTTTTATGTTCATGTCAAAACTCAATTGTGTTGTCTGTACTTTAGGCATTTTTGTATATTTCTTGCTTCAACAAAGTTACTTCTGGAAACACCAGGTGGCGCCACAGATCGACAACACATAAACACACCGCGGCGCACTTTTTGATAAAGATGTAACATCGTTTCTTTTGCGCACCTCGATCCTGAAGCGTCGAGCAATTGTGGGTTTCTGATCGGCCGCACCGAGGCACATGACCACCTGCTTTAACGGAAGTAGCAGACTACACGCACGACCGCGGTCTTTTTCCTCGTGGTTTCGCTTGTTTAGTGCTCCCTTCAATAGTCCTCCCTCCCTTCGCCCTTTCTCCTTTCATTTCCAAAACCATACCGATTCCGACCGGTGCCTAGTATACAGTTTGATCAGCCCCTTATAGAACAAAACGATGGCAGACCAACACGCTGAACCCTCGTCAGTGACGACACCGAAAAAGAAACGAAAAGTCCGAGGGGAACTGGCAAAGGATGAAGCCGAACCTTCGAGGAAGCAGCGCTTCCGCGAGGCATGGTTGGAGCATCCGGAGTTCAAGGGATGGCTCGCACCGGACCCAAGAAACCCATTTCGTGCATCATGTAAGGCCTGCAACGCAAGCCTGGTCGCCGGACACAGTGAGTTGACCAAACATTGAAAAGAGATGCCCACATAAAGGCAACCGCGAGGCTGAGAAAGCAGAACTTGATGACAGCATTCGTACAGAAGTCAAACCCTCACGAACAGAACGTGAAGACTGCTGAGATCAAAATGTCGGCTTTTGTGGCTGAGTACGTCTTATCCTTCAAGGCAATGGATCATCTGGGCGAGCTCGCTAAGGTGGTCTTTCATGACTCAGCCATTGCTAAAGGTGTGAGTCTTCACAGAGCGAAGTGTGAATCTATCGTAAAAAACGTGTTGGCAAAAGTGGAGACTGAAGTTCTCGCGCACAAGCTGGGAGCTTCGAAGTTTTTGATATTTGTAGATGAGGGCACGGACATAACGAACACCAAACTCCTCTGCTGTGTCGTCCGCTATTTTTCAGAAGAGCAAGACCAAGTAATCACACAGCTGTTGGAAGTCATCCCACTTGATGCCAGGTCGTGCTCATCAGAGTCGCTTGCCTCAGCTGTGGAGAAATGCCTGTCTGAGAAGAAAGTCCCGCTAACCAACATAATCGCGCTCGCATGCGACAACGCTAGTGTGATGGTGGGGGAGCGCAACTCCCTGATGACAAGGCTGCGAGAAAAGGCGGATGACAGTTTTATAACCATCCGCTGCATCTTTCATTCGCTGCATATAGCAGCAAGCAAGGCAGCACTAAAGCTTCCCAGGAACGTTGAGGACCTCTTGAGAAACGTCGCCAACTACTTCAGCCATAGCTGTAAGCGTCAGGCTCAGCTCGCTGAACTCCAAGAAGACCTCCACAAAGAGAAGAACAAGATACTGAGACCAAGTGAGACGCGATGGCTTGTGCTGCACCAGTGTGTAGAGCGCGTCCTCCAGGAATGGGAGACCTTAAAATTGCTCTTCTTACAGGCAGCTACAGAGGACCGCATTGTGGCCGCTGAGCTGATCTTGAAGGACATGAACCCCATCACGGAGGCGTATCTCAAGTTCATGCAATATGCACTTGGCTTCTTCAACAAGCTTAACGCAATGTTTCAGAGCAAGGACAGCCTAATCGCAGTCATTCAAGAGGAAAGCCAAAGACTACTGAGGTGCCTATGCCAGAATTTCATGAAGCCGTCTTCTATTGGGGACCCTGCTAAACTCAATCCAGTCGACCCCAGAAATCTGCTGGCCTTGGAGGAGCTGTACGTCTGAGCAGGCTGCCAGGGAATCCTGGACTAGATCACCATGGAAGGAGGATCATCCGAAGTTCGTGACTTCAAGCTGCGCTGTATGTCTTTTTATCAAACCGCAGTGCTCGAAGTCCAGAAAAGGCTTCCGATCTCCGGACCAGTGTTGCCAGGTCTACTGATTTATCAGTAGATCTACTGATTCCGTTCCGGGTCTACGGATTCACTGAAAAACAAGAAAATCTACTGACTCTTTTTTTAGTAAACATATTAAAAATGTATTATATGGCCCCTTCAGTTCCCAGTGCCGCCCATCAAAGGAAACTCATAATGTCCCAGAATTAAAAACGAAGCACTGGCTAGATGGCCCAGAAGCCCGCCCTATTCGAGTGACGTAGTCGTATATTCATCTATCTATTCCCCCAGAGCAGGTTCGGCAGGTTCGACGGTGACATCCGGGCCAGAGCCATGTATGCAGAGAGTTTGGCTAGTCTATGATCTCGCCATAACGTCCCTCTCCCGAGTGAGCCAATCAGCCCGCGGCGCAGAGCGAGAGGTGTTTGCGCATGCGCCTGAACTCTTGGCTGCTCCTATACAATACTAGAATAGCTTCGAGTTGAGCGGAGAGAGCCGCAATTTTCATTCATTCGTTCGGCGGAATGCATGGGATCGACATCCAAATTTCAGTTATTTTTTTTAATTTGGCAGGCTGTGGCAAGAAAATGATATAATCCTATTCCTCGGTGGCTTAAAAAGCTAACGAATGAAGTTTCGCCACGTTTGAACGCAAACTTTGGGTCAGGCGAAAAAGAAATAAGTCCGCAGCAGACAACGCGTCAACAGTGCTCCGGACCAACAGCGTTGCTTCAAAAACCTTCCACAGCCCAGTGAGGAAAGATGGCAGCATGCAGAGGACTTCCATTGGACATGTTCGCGCGCACTTGCCGGAGCGTCTTGTTTCGGTTTTGTTTCAATAATAGCGACAGGTGAACGTCGCACTGTCGCCTTCATCTGTGATCCCAAAAGTGCCTCAGTCTCGATTCTAAAGAATAATCCTCGAAACAGTCAATAATGACTAAAACAAAAACATTTATGGTGTCATTTTAATTTGTCTTTCATATAAAGTTACTTGAGAACTGGTCTTGTTTTTTCTTTCATTTTTATTTGTGTGGTATTACCATGTTATTTGTTACTCTATACTATTTCTTTGAAGTGTGTATTAATGGCGATAGCAAAACATGGCAAAACACATATTTCGTGGAATCTACTGATTTTAGTGCAAATCTACTGACTTTTTGGGGATCAATCTGCTGACTTTGTTTTTCTCCATCTGGCAACACTGCTCCGGACCTTTCTTCCACGTTCCACGAAGTGCGGTTTGTACAGAGGCCCGGAAACGTCTGCCATCGTTGCCCGTGCTCCAAGATCGCTACAAGCACCTCCTACCCAGTGTCGGCGATGTTGAGCAAGAGTGGCGAATGCTTCCCTCGTTCTTCACAGAGAGTGAGAAGATTGAGCTGCAAACCAAGTCGCCAGACGCGTTCTGGGGTTAGATGAGCAAGACTTAGCAAGACTAAGACGTTCGATGACAAATTAGTACTTCCTAACATTGCTACCCTGGCAAAGCTGGTCCTCACCCTTCCTCACTCCAATGCAGAAACAGAGCGCATCGTTTCAATGTTGAGTGACATGAAGACCCGTAAAAGAAACAGGCTTGGGCCGGAGAGTGTCAACGCCCTGCTCTTGGTCAAGTCAGCCATGGCTACCCGGGGAGAGACGTGTGTCAACTTGAATGTGAAAGAAGGACACATGAAGCTCTTTAACAAGGAAATGTACAACTAAGAAGGTTTTTTTTCCTTTTCAACATCTGTACACACATGTTTTTTAATCGTTACTTTTGGTCACTGGAACGTTATTTTGGGCCACCAGAGCGTTTTAATAGGCATATAAGCGGGGGACGATAGCAAGCATTGCAATACATGGCAATTTTCCTGTTTTCCATTGTAACTTTTGACTGAGGCAAGTATTATTTTTTTAATAAATCTACAAATTAAATCCACCACCTAGCCGAACTTATGTGGTAGGCTAGAGTGTCGTAGCTTACGCATCCTAATTTTTAGATTTATTTCGGTCTCGGCACGACATCGGTACCTCTAGACAATCGTAATCATGACGTTACTGAACGCTCGCGTAATGACATTGACAGGGGCTCCATTCGGATCAGAATTCAGTTTCATACACTATCCCACCACGGTAGATCCCCATAGCATTGTTAACAAATGCACAGCCCGTGCGGCCTACTCTTTGGAACTGCCCGCTATCACAAACAAGCACGAAGGTGCTTACGTGAGGCGGATTTGCATGTTTGCTGCTTGAAGTGATAATAAATTATTATTATTATTAAAAGAGCAACGGGCCGTTGGGATTGGCACGAGTGTCCTCTCTTCTGCGCTAAATTATTTACACCAGTGGCCTACACACAACTCTCGCATAGGAAAATCACTATTAGAAGCCCGCAAAAGCGGCCATTCGTCCAAGACTGCACAAAGCGCCGCTTGAAACTTCGAGAATGCAGGCATGATCGAGACGAAGTCAGGAAAAGGAAACGGTAGCAATGGATATCCTAAAATGCAAACTGAAAGGCACAGGGCGTGCAGTTCACGTGAGATGTCTGCTTTCGTTACGTTTACCGCCACAAAACGAATTTGGAAGAGAATGAAAGGGCTAGGTAAACGAAGCTTAATTTACTCACTAAAACAGGAAGAAAAGAATATTCCCCATTTCTAATTAATTAAATTTCAAGGAAGACTACAGCGTCAAGGGCCCTACTGTTGTGCATAGGCCGTGTATGCAGCTGTTTTCTTTTTTTTTTTTTTCTTCTTTTTTTTGCGTAGGGACGGGCATAGGGACTTTCGGTGCTGATGTAGGGACATGTAGGGTTTTTCAGAGACGTTTGTAGGGACTTCCGCAAAAAATAGTTGGGAACACTGCCGACACTGCCTCACAACCAGGCGACCAGGCGACCAGGCTGCGTGTCGTCTCTCCTCGGCGGGTACTTCGGCCCCTTCGTCCACGTTCGAGAAAGATCGTGACATTCACCGTTCTCAAGGAGTGCAGCGACGTTCAGAAGTAAGCAAAAGCTTCCTTTTTTTTTTTTTAAATAGCAATAGTATATAGCATTATTTTACTTCTAGTGTTAATTGTAATCAGTAATATATTTCCGAACGGTTCCGAAGTGGCGGTTAAGCGCGGCTACTTGCGTTTCTACTTTTGGCGGGAGAAAAAAAATTGGGATGAACAAAGCGGTTGGTTTTAACTAGGGGTGTCGCGAACTTTTGTCGAACCAGATTTTTTGGTCGAACTTTCGGGGTTCGACTGGGTCGAACCGGTTCGACGAACCTCCGAACTTTTAACCAGATTCGACCGGTTCGACTTTGTGGACAGTGTGGCCAGACCTTTATAGAAGCATGTCTAAGTTTGGAGAAATTTTTTTATGCGAAGGGTTATTTTTAAATTTAAGAACAGTTGCAATTAAAGAAACCAATTCTAATCACTGAAGAAGTTAATAACTTAATTGTTTTGTGCTGTATTAACTGAAATAACCAATCAGCGCTGCACTTAATTCATCTCTTAGCCATTATCATCCAATCCGAAGCCAACTGGCCAGCCTGTCGCGCATGCGCAGACGAGTCGAACCTCAATAGAAGGTTCGTCGAAATTTCCACCAAAAGTTCGAAAAAGTCGAACTCGAACCGCGGCCGGTTCGCGACACCCCTAGTTTTAACTAGTTGTAACTAGAGCACTATATAGCTCCTTCGGAGCAGAGTAACGCAATCTAGAACGCCACCTCTCGGCGACTAGCGGCGAACGCCCAGAGGTTCCAACTGCGGTCAGAAATGCATGGAGAACGTGAGACAATCGCTGTTTCTTCAGTATTGTGGTGGTGTACGGAGTGGCAATTGTTTTTGACATAATAATGGAACATTTTAGAATAATTTGCGCTAAGTTTTGTGCCCCGCAAGGACCTGACTTTTTTTTAAAAATTGCTTGAGCGGCATCATGCAGCAGACGACACGGCGACGTCACACCAATCACGTGACCCGCTCCGGCCAACCCGAAAAGCCCATCTCCGCTGCGAGCAAAAATCGTCTGCTTCAAACGCCATTGCCTTGGAAATTGCCTTCTCGAAATTTGCACACGCATCCGATATTTTTAAAACTTTGATAAAGTGTTTAGTGCTTTACTAACTTCACGGCAGACTAGTTTTGAAAAGTGTGAACTCGCCGTTCATTTTTTAATTAGCCGTGTTGTATCGATCTCCATGTATTCTCCCATAGGGCGGGCCGCCTCCTGGAACCCTGAGTACCACGTGACTCGCGCCGAGCCGCTCTGTCGGCCATGTTGTCGGCAAAACACGGGGTTCAAAGGATTGCGCTACTCTGCTCCGTAGGAGCTATATAGTGCTCTAGTTGTAACAACCGGGTGTGACGTGTGATAGTGTATCTCCTTTTTAGTAATGCAGCGGTCGTGGTAATACTATTCCATATTTAGTAGAAATGGCGAAATATGAAAAAAAATCTCGGACATTTCGAGCGGCTGAACGTCTACAGACGTTCAGTACGAGAAGTCTGTAGTTTCTCGGTGGCATTGGGCTGTTTTGAAGCCTCAACATTTGGCTTAAAACAGCAGAAAGCGCTCGAAGAATTGCTGTCATTCCTTGAGCCTACAACAAAAAAAGACTTTGAAGAGGCACTATTTCACCAGTGGACCATTGTCAAGAAAAGCAGTGAAAAGAAACTAGAAGATTGGAACTCTTCAGGTATTACAGTCTCTGAGAGATGGGTGGCTTTAAAGAGATGAAAACAGAGAATGTATGCTGCGCCGAGATTACTCGGGTTGTGGAACTGGCTCTGTGCTTCCCTGGAACGACGGCTCCAGTGGAGCGCGTCTTTTCAATTATGAACTCCATGTGGACAAGCGAGAAGTCTCGTCTTGTCTCAACGTTGCGAGCAATGCTACTTGTGCGGTTGAACTTCCCATATAAGTGCGCAGACTTTTATAACCGAGTCTTGCAGGATGAAGTCCTGCTTAGGAAACTTCAGCCGTCGGCAAAATATGCCCACACCAACGAATGACCCGAAGCAGGACCTTCCAAATGAGTGCATGCAACTTAACTGTGAGCAGTTATTTCATTAAATGTTTTCTCCCAAACTCAATCTTTGTTACTCCCTCCCCCCCCCGTTGGGATGTCCCGTTTTCTACCTTGAGAAAGATGGTCACCCTAGACATTACCAAAGAAAAATTGTTTCACTATAGAAATGCGTAGGTTTTTTTTTTTTTTTTTTATAAAAATAGAAATACGAGGCCAAATTCAAAGTTCCCGCCAGTGCATCATGAAGAGCAACAGTTCGTGTGCGAGCCAACCTTCGGTTACTATGACTCCCAGCGAGATGAAGTTTTTGGATTCAGGGTAACCCAACCTCATGAGGAAAGAGGAACACCAGTCAACAATCAGGTGAAAAAGAAGAAAGGGGCATATTCCACGAGGCGCCAAGCAAGCGCGCTAACATTTGACTCCATGTTTTTCATTTCATTGTCATCCTTTCTTATGTTTTAATTACGATCCAGTTGCTAGTCAGCGCTTTGTCTTGTGCTCTCTCCGTCTCTGTGTGTCCTCGTCCCAGTCACGCTGTTTTTCAACAGTAACAGTGTACCACAAGGTGTCGGGGCGGTCAGAAGGGAGGCATTGGCGGAAGTCACATGAGTTGTATCCCCATCGTGCTTACCGCGAGCGCGTGTAATATTTTTAAAAATATTTTTTGTTGTTCTCTGCACCTCCACGAGCGATCCAAGCAGACAAGGTTTCCTTTATCTGCTTTTCATCGCTTAATGTTGCTGTAAAGGTAAAAAAAGAGTAGTTAGTGAATTGACGTAATCAACTACAATGCCTAGAAGGTGCTGTGTGAGGGGCTGTCCTGGTATTTCAGCAACTGAAGAGATCGCACTGCGTGCATTTCCGAGAGACGGCAGGCATCTTAAGCCTGGAGAGTATCCAATGATTCGACGACCTCAGTGTCCGAACCTTCAGCAATGCAATTGGGCGTGTCGTACGCAAGCAATCCTAATTTCTGTGAGCGTTCTAAAATATTTTTTTCAAGACTTGATAGCTTCTTTTGCACCCAGTATAGCTCTGTATCATCAGAGACATCGCATGCACTCATACACTGGCTTGTACTCGCAACGCTTTCATCATTGACGTTACTGGCTCTTCGTTCTCAACTTTTACAGCACGCAAACTAATCAACGGTGCAGCGATAAAGAGCTAGTGGAACTGAAACTTTGTTTTCTACAATCGCTCGTACAAAGAGCAGAAGAAAAAAAAAAGTCTTAGGAACGGTCGCGGAGAGCACGAGGAGTAAAACTCGGGTGACTTCCTGCGAACCCACTTTTAGTGACGTAGGTCAATGCCTCCCTTCTGACCGCCCTGACACATTGCGGTACACTGTTACGTCACAGTGCACTGGCGAGAACTTTGAATTCGGCCTCCTATTTATATTTTTATAAAAAAAACTACGCAACTCTTTAGTGAAACAATTTTTTTGTAATATCCTGACATGCCGTTTTAACGCCTAGCATGAAAAAAAAAATTTTTTTTTTTGACGTGTCAGAGGTTTTTTAAGGGCTCTCTTTTTGTTTGCGCGTCTGTAAGCACTGTTTTTTCTCTCTCTCTCTCTCTCTCTCTCTTTCTGCTTGTAACTTCGATTTTCGGATAGCGGCATGTTGACAGTCGCGTAATTCACTTTTTTTTTTCTTTTTTTTTTTTCAATTACAATTAGTCACTGACCTTCCAACCTTTCGATTTGCGACTGCCAAAATGTGTGTCCCGCTTGGCGCACGTGCATGCATCGTTTGTTTCGCTTAAAATGGACCTTTTCCAAGTATCGACGGCACCAGGCGGTGGCTGCATGAACTAAAGATCGAGGAAGTGACCTACCTGCGCTACCAATCGATATTGGGAGCTACGCTACTAGTTGCTTCGCTCTCCGAGCTGCGTCGCGTGCCCAACGCGACTTTAAAGAGGGAGATCCGTAGCGTCCACCCAAACGTCGTGTTTTTCTTTCCGTCCACTTTCTTTTTTTGTGTAACACAATTATATATATGCTGCAATTACGTGTTCTACTCGTCGATCTACAGCCTCATTCCGAATTTCCTCGATTTTTCGTGCCGACTTCCACCGCTTGGCATCGGGCGCTCGCGCGTGCGCAGAACGCTTCTCGAAAAAGGTTCATTGTCTATTTCGAGAAAGCATTGTATGCAGCCTACCCCAGAACATGGCCCTGCCTAGAGAGAACACATGTGGCAATTATTCTCAAAACAGAAGACACTTGCTGCGTGGAACGTCTATGGTGGGAGGAGCCACAAAGACAGGGATTCTGCGCAGTGCCTCTTGATTGGTTCTGCTGGGTTGAAGGCGTGCACATTCGCGCGGGTGACGCAGTGACGTAGAGGTTTTTTTTTTTACAGCGAAGCTGTATACCTCTACTAGCCAAGGAAATTTTTGTGTCGTTGCTGTGAGCAAAAAACTCCCTGCGAACAACTGAAGGCAGAGCAGCATATCTCCTTTGAAATCAGGCATACAGCCAGGCACATAGCCAGGATTTTGTTTCAAGGGAGGGGCCCGCCCATGACAAAATGCTGTATGAGGGGGACGGGGGAGAGGAGGTCACAGCAAAATTGAAGATTTCGTGGGGGGGGGGGGGGGGGGGGGGGCTCCGGGCCCCATGCCCCCCTTCCCCCTCCCACCCCCTGGCTATGTGCCTGCATACAGCATACAACTCAGTATCCGTTTCAATAAAGAAAACCACAAAGCAAGCATCAAAACCACATGATGGATGATAAGGCGCGTGTGAAGAATAGGAACACCCTCCCATGCGTTCCGGTAAAGATTAGGTTTGCAACTGCTTCGAAAGGGGTTGACGTCATTCGAAGCCCTCGTGTGAAGCTCATTGCATACGTTCTCGGTGAAGATTACTGTTTCCCAAGCTGCCGCGTCGACGGCAGCTTGCGACGTGGGGAGTGACGTCGCTAGCCTTTCATATATAAAAGAAGAACCCGCCTATACCCCGTTTCATTTTACGTCCAGACGCAGTGGATGCTACCAGCTATCTTAGCCAATCCCGTTCTGTGGACGTGATACGCTTTCCGCATGTCTCTTGCCCCTTCTCTAAGGTCACGTGACACTCACAGGGTCTCTGATGGCTCGTAACATCCGATGCGCTTAAGCGTAAGATGAAACGGAGTATAGCAACTGATTAATATAGCAACCTGCTAAATTTATTGTTAACCAACCCTCGGAAATTTTGGAAAACAATATGTCCAAAGAAAAATGACTCTCTCCCTAAGCTGAGCAGCAATCTCAATGAAGTATTAACAAACCTTAAATCAGTGTAGTATTCCGAGTTGAGTGGTCGTACGGCATGAATTCTGAACCAGAGAAGCGCGTGCTCAGCTCATGCTAGTATTGCTTTAGAACAGTTGACCCTGAGATTTGGAATAAAGAAGTCAGACAGTCGCCGGTGTCCTTCCTCACCCTCGGCGGGGCCCACGAGGACGCAGGCCCCCGCGTCCTTGCGGGGGCTTGCGTCAGTTTGTGACTGATTTGCATAACAATTTTCATTCCTCTAAACCCACTGATGCCATCTTCATCGACTTCTCTAAAGCATTTGACACGGTTCCTCACCAGTGACTTCTGTACAAACGTTCTGAACTTAACATCCATCCATCTATTATACTGTGGGTAGCTGAATTCTTAACTAACCGTAAGCAAGCTGTTCACCTTGGGCATGCCAGATCACCAAGCCTGCCTGTGCTGTCGGGAGTCCCCCAGGGCAGCGTTCTCGGTCCGCTTTTATTTCTTATATATATTAACAATCTTCCTCACCAGATAACATCATCTATTAGGATTTTCGCGGATGATTGCGTAATTTACCGTCGCATCACTAACCCTGAAGATTCAATACTACTACAGCAGGATCTAAATGTTCTGTCTCATTGGTGTAACACGTGGCAGATGAAGGTCAATATAACCAAGAGCAAACTTTTCACATTCACTGGTCAGCGATTTCCTATTGTACGTAACTACACTTTACTAGCACTGCCTCTCGAAAAAGTATCAACTTACAAATATTTAGGCATAACATTTTCTGAAGACCTAACCTGGAATACTCATATTGACAATATAGTGGCTAGTGCATGCAGATCTCTAGGATATATAAAACATAACCTATATCCCACTCCCCGGTGTGTTAAACTAACTGCCTACAAGACTTTCGTCCAATCAAAATTGGACTGCAGAAACTTTGTTTGGTGGCCTCATCAATCATATCTCATTACTAAACTCTAATCGGTGCAAAACAAGGCATCACACATGACTGCTCACGAACGTCAAGTGTAACTGCACTAAAATTCAACCTCGGCCTATGCCCTCTATCTCAAAGAACTCAACTTGCTCGTCTTGTCCTTTTTCGCAAAGCTTACTATTCCTCTTCTGATTTTCGAAACACCAACTGTCACCCATCACCTCACATCTTGCATCATGACCACAGCCTAAAAGTTAAGCCTCTATTCGCCAGAAATAATAAATTCCAAAATTCCCCACTTTCTCTCGCTATTACTAACTCAAAGGTGGAACGGCTGTGCCATTTGCACCAGACGCATTCGTCTGCGCCATCCTGCGCCATGTTGCGGAAACTGCGCCACAGCCAATACCCTGCGCCATCATGCACCAAATCGCAAAACGTGCGCCAAAAAAAATTGTATTTTGTCTTCGTTTAGGTTTCTATCGACTCGATTGGCAAGAATGAGTGCGTATAGCTTGGTCAGCATTGCAATCATTTGTTCTGTTTATTCTCCCTGTGTATCTCGAGTCGGAAGCGTGCGAAAAAATTTGGGGGTCGGATTCCTAGCGCTACAGCACCTGCGGCTGGATTGTTATTCTTCAACCATCAGTGGTTCAGCAAGTCTGCAGAGGTGAGGTCAAGTCGTTCAGCGTCAGATTGCCTGAGGCTCTGCGGCCCAGGATCCAGAAGTCAGCCAGTTGAAAATAAATTAGTAAAAAGATTCCTTTTAGTACTTCATCGTTAGAAGTTGGAACCGCATTCCCGCAAGATAAATCGTGATTTGATAGAACTAAAACGTGGTCCGATCTGGAACCTTGCCGGCCAGCAGCTCTCACGCGAGCGGTAGATCCGCTCGGCTTGATCCGCTTGCTCCTGCTTATTGCTTCGAATATGATAACTCCATTAATCATAGTCTGCTGCTTCAATATTGAGTTGCACAAAAGGATAAACTCAAAATTTGTTGCCCGGTTCCTCCACGCAACTGCACGTCCGTTGTTTGCGCACGTCACATGGTTCGCGCATATAATTACTATGTTGAGCACGTGTGGGTTGTGCGATAAGCAGTGCTTGTTTGCATTTTGAGCAGCTGTAAGCCACTCAGACAATATCAAGGATACTAGCTTCAGAAACATATGGTACTTGCCTTTTCATTCTCATTAAGGCTCACAAAGTTTCAAGTTTTCGCGTCTGTTACACTGTTATCCCATCTACCTAGGTCCCTAAGCATCATGTTCATCTGTGATGCTAAGCACAATTGAAATTGCTCCCATGCTTGTCTAAGACACAATCTGAAGTGCAGTGAAAACTTATCTGAGCTGCTCCCAGCCTGCTCCAGAATGTAGTTTTATCTGCTCCCAACCTGCTCCATAACAGCTGTTTCAGCTGCTCCCGTGGCTGCTCCAAAGTGCATTTCACGAGTTCAACCCCTGCTAACTGGAATTCCCTTCCTGAAACCATTGTATGTGAATCTAACCCCAAGACATTCCGTGACCTCTGCAAGGCACACCTGAAAAGTGTTGATCTTTAACATGTTTATCTGTTAATTACTTTTTCTACATGTTATGTTTTGATATCTGTCCCATTAGTTTGTAGTTTTTTGCGTTTTTCTATTATTTACCTTGACGTCAGTCTTCTGCTATCTGTATATGTCATTTGATCCCCCCCATGTAATGCATTTCATCTGAAATGCCTTTGAGGTATAACAAACTGAACTGAACTGATTTCATTGTTGCTGCAGCACCGCGATGAATAGGCCACGCATAGTTAGGACTCCCGAGGAGCAGCATGAATACTAGGAGCGGGAAAAGAAATGGCAATACGACCAGCGGCGGCGTGCTGCGACCGGCGGCGGCATTTCATATAGTGCAGTAGGCAATTGTTGCAGGTGATGCCACAGCTTTGCTGACTAACCACCTACACAGCGTGGATTGGAGCGCCAATTTTTTTTAGATTTGATTGGACTAGCTCATTTTCAGCCTTAGTGTCATTCACGTGCAAAGGCAAATACATAAGACTGTATTTTGTATGATACTGATTGTATATATTGTATGGTCGGAAATTTCATTGTAAATATTGTTCAAAGATATTGCACTAACTTAGTACATTTCTAGGCATTCGAAGCGGGGACGTTTTTTTCTTTTTACTGAAACTTTTCATTTTTGACCAACCTTATCATCATCATCATCATCATGATCTCAAATTTCAGGGCCCTGGCCACCATTAGGGGTGTCGCAAACTTTTGTCGAACCGGATTTTTAGGTCGAACTTTCGGGGTTCGACTGTGTCGAACCGGTTCGACGAACCTTCGAAACTTTTCACCAAATTCGACCGGTTCGACTTTGCGGACAGTGTGGCCAGACCTTGATACACGCATGTCTAGGTTTGGAGAATTTATTTTTATGCAAAGAGTTATTTTATTTTATGAACAGCTGCAATTAAAAGAAACCAATTTTAGTCACTGAAGACGTTAATAACTTAATTGTTTTGTACTGTATTAACTGAAATAACCAATCAGCGGTGCTTTTAATTCTTCCCTTAGCCATTACCATCCAATCCGAAGCCAACTGTCCAGCCTGTCGCGCATGCGCACACGAGTCGAACCTCAATACAAGGTTCGTCGAAATTCCCGCAAAAGGTTCGAAAAAGTCGAACCTGGTCGAACTCGAACCTCGGCCGGTTCGCGACACCCCTAGCCACCATTAGCCCAGGGCCCCCGAAATCTCTTAATCCGGCCCTGACTGAGGCTCTAAAGCAGAGGTGGCCAAGTTGCGGCTCGCGAGCCGCATGCGGTTCTTTGCGTGTTATAGTGCGGCTCGCAACTCCCTCCCCTAACATTCCCCCCCCCCCCCCCCCCCCCCCCCCCCCCACACACACACACACACACACACACACACACACACACACACACACACTTTCCCACCTCCCCCGCGGTCACACGAGCACTTCGCCAAGAGGGGAAATGGAACGCATTTTAAATCGGAGAACTGGTTACGGCAATTACACTTTCACAATATTAATAAATGTAGATACTGTCTGGTACAACCGAAATAATAAAAGTTATTCATGTTATTTTTCGGCGAAGAGACAAATTTCACGCGCGTTTTCCCACAGGAATGCACAGGAGCACCCCAAAAGTAGATTGGTTGTTGTCTGCTTCAATTTGCCTCGCGGAAGTCGCATAGACACTAGCGCCAGTTGAACCTCAAGCGTACATTATAATAACTCTATGGTTTTACGTGGTCGTTGTAGAATGCACTAGAGAAAACAAATTGTTCCGCTGTTTGCTTAGCAACGTTAGGCTAACCCACAGGTTTTTATTTATTAAAACATTTTTTTCGACACATGACAATGCATTTAAAACCTGCTGCTTTTGTGAGGTGCAAGTAAAGCAACTGATCTGACAATGCAACCATAGAATAGCATCCTATGAACATAGGACTGCATGGCACCCCCATGCATCGTGAAGGTGGTCCCCCAGTCCCACGTTTTGGGTAGTAGACAGCCTAAACTGCGGAGCGGCGCAACGAGCACAAGAGGGATTTATCCCTCGAGCACACAGTGGGAACTGTTGAACCATTGTATATAAATGGTAATCTGAAGGATGTGTCGATGCCATCTGTAGATAGGAATAGGTTTTTTGGAGAGGGGGAGTAGCCCTTAATATGTGTTTACTGTAATATGTGTTTACTGTGTCCTCCCGGATAGGATGTCTGACGAAATGGAGGGTCGCGGTGCAGCAAAGCCTGTCAAGGTAATTTTTTTTTTTTTTTTTCTCAACAGGTGCTTTAAAGGTGTATAAGGGTCCTCTTTTATGTGCCTTTTATTTTATGCTGTGCCCAAAGTGCCATCTGCCTCCTCTTATGCACACAATCTAGTGCTTCCTTAAGGCTCTAGAAGGCCAATGCGTCATGCACCATCATGTCCAGAGAATAAACTTACTGAATATGTCGTTCTGTATACTACCTAGTTCTGTTGATAACAAACTAGAATGCACTGACGAGACATTTTACTCAAAATACACTTCAGGGACCGATATGATGTTCATATAGATTTAGTTATTCTGACTTCATAAATGCATTCAATGCTGTGGTGATCTGTGTGAAATCAAAATTTGTTAAATTAAGCAGTTTTTGAAATGGGTTTTCATAAAATAAAGTTCTTACTGTATTTCTCTTTGCACCTTAGAAAGCTGATAAACGGAAGGCACCAACAATTGAAGACCGGACCGGGCAGCGACTCAGGTTGGAGCTTGTCCAAGAGGTAATAGACCACTTTTACCGGAATTTGACTAAGTTCTATTGGAGTAGTTGCATGAGCTAACTGTGCATGGCTGAGGTTAATATGGTGAATTCCACTCGCAGATCTCGAGTGCTCCATTTGGAGCGCACATATTCCACGCTCAGATCTGGCTCAAGTTGGTCATCTTCCGCTCGTAGATCTGGCAGCGCCGACCCCGTGGAGCGCCCCAAATCATGCTACAGTCATGTCTCGTTAATATGGACGCCTCCGTTCCCCAGAAAAATCGTCCATAATAACGAATCAAGGTCAAAAACACAAACATTAGGTAATAATTGTTAAAAAAAAGCATTGTTTATTTCTCCAAAGAACGAGGGGATATGAGTTTGCACTGACGCTTTCGATCCCACTTTAGTGTCCAAAAAGCGCAACACTTCGGCCACTTGAAGTGCACGTTCTCCGTCCCCCTCCTGCTCAAGGTAGGCGATCGCTGTCTCCAAGCCACGGCGAGCTTCACATCGAGTAACGGTTGGTCTCTCTTCCTCATCGGCTGTTTCTGTCGGCGCAAAGTTTTCGACAAGTTGATGGCCCTGTTGAGCGGATTCACTGACAAGCTCCATGATCTGCTCGTCGCTCATAGGCTCCCAGCTGTTAGTCTCTTCGTCTATATCCAAGAATGCCGATGCCTCTTCATCTGGGTTTTTCTCCCCGAGTTGTCGAAGAGCTTCACGAAGGGCCGCGAGCGGAAGTTCATCCATCGGATCCTCCACCTCCATAGCAGAGCTGTTAACAAGAATACCTGCGTGACGCCAGCAGTTCACACTGGTTTGAGGCCTCACCGCGTCCCACGCGCTCTTCAGCTTTTGAAGGCACCACCTCAAGTCAACAGTTTGCGGTTCGTCGTCTTCCGCGCAAGCGATGTAGTGCCGCACAAGTTCACCTCAGTAGTGTGCCTTAACCGCGCGAATAATTCCTGCGTCCAAGGGCTGTATTTTGGCAGTCATGTTGGGTGGAAAGAACTTCAAGGTAAGGTTTTCATAGTCCGCACGAACAGAATGGCATGATGCGTTATCAACCAACAAAACAGCCCTTCTCTTCTCAGCCTTCAAGAAGCGGTCGAATTTTGCCAAAATGATTTCAAATATCTTTCCTGTCATCCATGCTTTCTTGTTGCAATTGTAAGAGCAATACATGTTCGGGTCAAATGTCTTTCCAAAACATTGTGGTCGCTCCGCTTTTGCCACGACAATGGGCTTCCACTTGTGGGTGCCGCTCGCGTTGCACAAGAATCCCACCGTGATTCTCTCTTTGCTTCGCTTGTTTCCAGCCACAGGTTCGGATGCCAGAGTCGAAGATGGGCCCAACTTGTAAAAAAAGCCAGTCTCGTCGAAGTTGTAAATATCATCTGGAGAATACTGAGCAAGAAATTCCGCAAGCTGTTTCCGAGCACTGGCAACGGCGGCTGTATCCACGCTTCCACTCTCTCCATGAATACGGTGGCTTGCAATTCCATGCCTTCTCTTAAACCTGCTGAGCCAACCCCTTGAGTAGTTCAGGTCATGAATGTCTGCATAAAGGCGTGAAGATTGCAGACATTAAAATAAAACCACTGAAGAGAGAACAGTTATTTTAACGGAGATGCGTAATTGCACAAGAACGAGCAACTAGAAAAATCATTAGAAGAAACAACATTTTTGGGGAGGAATGCGTAACATTTTGAGAAAACATTTTCAAACTCAGTGCTTAAAAAGATACGCTCAGAACTCACTTACCCATCGTTGTGCCGAACTCCTTCGCCTTTTCTTGCAGCATCTCGTTGCTGACGGCGGCCCCTCTGGAGCGCGTTTCCGCAAACCAGATGTTGACGGCCTCCTCCAACTTCTCAAACTTTGGGGGTCGCTGCCGGCAGGAACTGGAGCTGGCTGTGGGAACGCTCATCCATTTCTCTGATTCTTTTAGAATTGCGTGGACTGTCAATTTTCCGAGATCAACGCCAAGGTTTTTTATACTCCACTCTCTCACGTACTGGACAGATGCTGAAGGCGTTTCAATTTTGAATTTGCATATTTCCTTTTTCAGCTGAGCAGAAAGCTCTTTCCGTTTACGCTTAACACCTGTCATCGTCTCCACCTCCGAAATGACCGGAGAAGCGTCCAGCCTTGCCTCTTGCCTCTTATGCACAACGAATGTGATTCATCACGTATGCCAACCCGGAAGGAGATGGCATACGTTTAAGCTTGAAAGACAAGAAACAAAAAAAAAAACGACCACCTTCAGGCGCGCAGGTCTTATCTCAAGGGCGGAGGACAATAGTGAATTCCGGGTACAAACTGTGACCTCTACAATTCACTAACCTTTTCTTCTGTCGGGTATGTGGACTCGCCTTCAAAGTAACCAGACGGGGAACAAAAAGGCAATGGTGAATTCCGAGTAGTACACACTCTATGGAACCCTACAGATCTTGGCAGAAGTTGACAGAAATGCGCACTTCATTTCCTTTAAGTCGGTGGTGCGCATGCGCAACGAGGTTGGCGAGCGTTGGACGGGAGTTGAATCTGTTCGGATGTGTCAGTTGTTTACGCGGGATTGTGACGGTTCGGACGCTTCTATATCGCATAGATCAGGGATACAAAGCCGGGACTGGGGCGGAGGTTATCGTAAATGCTGACATCTGTGATCGTGAGAGGAAGAGTGAGAAAAGAACAACAGAAAATCCGGAGGCAGATGCAAGGTTAGGCCTATTCATTCTGCAGCCAGTGATTGTTTATCTTTTTACACTGCATGCCACCGGCGTTTTTTTGCAAGAACAGATTAGGCAACGACCGTGCTGCAAGTGATGATTTGTTACCTCTTCGTGTTTAATAAAGTCTTACCAGCAACTGATCTCCACCAATGGCGATCGCTGTGTGCGCCCCGCTGCTTTGTGGCAGCCGACTGGTATGGGACGGTGGCGAATGTGGACGTCTTCCTCGTTATTTGTGACACAGGCTCCATTGTACGGATATTTTCGCCTGGCCAGTGTCACATGTTATTTCTGCAGCCAAATAGTGACAATTGTGACTGGTCGTCGGAAAGATCAGTCGGCTGAGGCGTTTGTTGGCTTGTCAAGTTCGAGCAGCGACCATTTTGAATGGTCGATTGTCTCGGGCGTGTTGGTGGGTCGCTTCAAAAATGCGAATCCATCTTCCGCTCGTTGATTCAGAGCAGGTCCCATGGAGCGGAATTTTGCCTTCCTCATAGATTTTGGAAAGCGCTCCAAATCTACCAGTGGAATTCACCTTTAGGTTTTGTTTGCTGAGAGGCTGATAGGTCAAAAGAAGGTGTTGGTAAAACAATCTGTATGATCCTTTTACCAGCATAGTTCAAGAAAGACTTAGTAGGGTTTTTCGTGTCTTGAATGCTTATTAAAACAATCTCTGCTATCCAGGGGTCCCTTGCACCGCTCACACAGGGTCCGTCCTCTGTCGCTGCTGACCCCTCGGGCACCCAGACTGAAGCCATTGTAGCCAAGGCAGAAACCAAGGCAGCCGAAGCCAGGGCTGCCAAAGCCGAGGCCAGGGCAACTGAGGCCGAGACTAAGGCAGCCATGGCCGAAGCCAGGGCTGCCATAGCCGAGGCCAGGGTGGCTGAGGCCGAGGCCAGGGCGGCTGAGGCCGAGGCCAGGGCCAGGTGCATGGTGGCCGAGGCCAGGAACATGCAGACTGAGGCCGAGGCCAAGGTGGCCGAGGCCGAGGCCAAGGTGGCCGAGGTCAAGACCGAGCTGGCCGAGGCCAAGAAAAAGACGGCCGACGCGGAGGCAAGGGTGCTGCTTGTGTTCGACCACTCGTGCTATCTACTTGCAGGTATGAATCAGCATAAGTGTAGGATAGAGGTAAAAAACTGGCCCCTTCCTCTTTCAATTGACAGTGCAGTGTCCAGGAGACTGTGCCTTGCCCTGTCCTGTTTCAAGTGCCCAGTTGTCTTTTTACAGATATAGGGCCTTATCAATTCAGTCGAAGGAACTGAATTGGTGGAGCAGTTCTAAATTTCAAGCGTGCACTATGCATTTCCATGTTTAAAGTGTGCCATGAAATGGTTTTCTGGCTCTCTGACCTCTTCTTCAAATAAGGCCCAGGTACTGAAAGTATGTGACATGCATTAGTTTGTCTCTTGGTGGATTAGCAATTTGCAGAAAAGTCCAAGGACACCTAAGCACTTCTTATGAGTTGTGAATATGAAAGCATGAATGGTCTTCTGCTCCCTGAGTTTGTCTGCGGCGTAGTGGCGCAGACAGCCACGTTTGGCCAGCAGACGGCTGAGCACGCGCTTTCGTGAAGTGACCACGCCATGCTGAACTCAGCCGTGCATCATCCTCAGAGCTTACCCGGACGGGCTCTGCCACCATCGCTCCCTCCTCTTTTACTGGCAGGCGCGCCGCTGCGTGTGCTGTGCCGCCATGGAGAGGGTGTCTCTGGTGGCTTTTTTTGGGGGAAATTACGCCGCATGAGAGCCAATGGGAGCCTCATTCCTTGACGGGCGCCAGCCAACAGGAGAATGATTCATCAGAAATCGTGTTCACTTGGGAAAAGGGAATTTTAGGTGCCATAGGGCCAACGTCTGGTGTAGTTTTAAAGCTGATGATGTCGGTTCGCTCCATGGGGCAGTTAATGCTTTTGCATTAATAAGTGAATGCCACCGTAACTTTCAAGCAGAATAAACAACCATAAGATTTGATGCCAGTAGTAGGCTGCTGATCTTTAATCCACAAGCTGGGATTAACACAAAGAGCACATGCTGTGCCCCTGATGTTTCGATAATTTAAAACCAGTTATTGAAATTGTTTTTCTGGCTACATAGGAAATTCTTTAGCATGGTGCAATTTCAGCTGTTCGCACAGGCCTAATACAACTTCCTTTTTCAGAAATATACAGGTTGATTCAGTCCCGTTTTAAAGCACTTAAACCAGAAAGTCTGATCTTGATGAATCGATTGCCGCTTATGCTCATCGTGCTCAGCTACGGCAGCTCTTTTCGTTTATTTAGGTTGTGACCTGTGCCGCCTAGCAACATTTGGGGCGGAGTTAGCAATCACAGCTTTTCCGATGCGCCATTCGGCATGGCTGCGCACTGCTGCATTATGTTTACTGTTCAATGTTCTCAGGCTTGGCCAGCTTTTTTACAATTTCCCTGACGATTTGCTGGCCTTTCATTGGCAATTTCGGCTTTCCTCTGCTGAGGAAAGCTGGAATCACGGTTAGTGTTTGGCTCTGTGATCTGGAATTCCCTGACTATTTAGCAAGCTATCGCGATTTAAAATGTACAGAAGTGAATGATTAGAATTGTTTATGACAGGTATATTGGAAGGGGGTGAATTTACCACTATGAATCATTGCTTCACAGGTTTCTATTTATTGCATGAGCTGACTGTGAGAAGACAGTACCGGGATTTTATGTTTTTAGACAAAGTTGTCCATAGTGGGGTAAACTTGACGGGCTTGTTGCAGTCTATTGACTTCCATGTTCCACCCTGAATCATCAGGAACAATTCAACTTTTTACCCCTCCTGTACATCATCTGTGTCATCTCTTTTGAGGGTTCAAATTGATTTCAATAATGGAACTTTGATATTTTTATGGCACATCAGGCTTTTATGCGACAATTACGCGAATAGATGCCTTTGCCTTAAACAGGCCAAGTCAGGACTGACCCTATTTTTTTGCTTGTGTTCGTGGTCAGTTCTTTTATGATTTTTATTTTTGTCTTGTGCACCACACAGTAGTCTGCTAGGTTGTTTGTGGGTACTGTAACGCAAAGCATTGTTGTTATTATTATTACTATGGGGATAGTACCAATGGAGTGCAGCAATTGATTTGACGGCTTAGCGCTCGCAATCAATGGCGCTGCGTATATTGAGCTGTCACCGACTGTAACGAGTCACTAGATTGGCTTCGATGGGTTGTGGTACCTCCCCGGAGTTCGTCACAAAGTGAAATGGAGCACCCTTTGGAAAACGCACTGTTGCCCGACGTTTCCAGTGGTAGGCTTCTCCGCATGCACACGTATAATGCGGCGAAGCCCTCCTAGTTGCAAGCCCCAGAAAGGGCCGCTTTTCTTTTGGATGCGAAAATCGCTGGTTGTGCGACCAATGAGCAGCGACTTTGGTCATGAACCTTTTTGTCGCCCCTTCTGGACAACGAGTGATTCCGGACAACGAGTCAAAGTTTACGAACGTAGATGAAACTAAAGGAACGTAATTACAAAATAAATTGAATTTCGCCTAGACCAGGGGCGGTTTGCTCATCTCGCGGCCGCGGCCGTGGTTGCGGCCAGGAGGAATTTTTTTGTCTCGTGACCAGCTCCATGGGGACAGGAAGTGCCTAGCGTCCCTGCCTAATGACTGAGAAATTCGTATCGCTTCAAGTACGAAAGTTTAAGTTCGCTCGTAGAAACAGAATACTGTTTACACTACCTTCAAACTTAAAAGTGTAGAGGAAAACTTTGATTCATTGGATTAAGTACGGTTCATTCATCTGCATATGTTCGTTCTTATTCTCCTCGGATGGATCTATATATATATATATATATCGGGTGTTTCAGAAAACGCAGGCCAAATCGCTCCTGCGAAAACTAAACATCGCACAGGAAAAAGGTTCATGCCATGTTGGTGTCTGTCCAAGAGCCTATTTAGAAAAATAATGTTTGGAAAAAAGTGTTTTGTTTTTTAGAAGGTAACTTTTCATTTGTTCATATCAAGGCCATTGTTTCAATTAGAAACTTACTGGGCATCATCAGTAACCCCTATATCAACCCTTTTTAGACAAGTATAAAGCATGCCAAGCATTTTACCATGTTTTGAAAAACCCTTCAATTCTGATGACTACTCTGGTTTCAAATTCTTATCCAAGCGCATCTTGGCGGTAGCTGTCCTGCCCTACGACGGCCAAAGCGCAGAACCAAAGCCAGACAATTCGCTATACTTCATTTCAGCTTCGCTCCGAGCGCGGCCAATGTTACGAGCCGAAGGGCCAATCAAACAGCGAAAGAGGCACAACGTCGTGGCGTGCTCTCTGTAGCTGATGGCACCAGCCGGTATTCGCCATCTCTCTGTGCACTGCTCCTCCGCCGGCTAGTCAAGCGCAGAGAGCACGCCATGACGTTGCGCTTTTTACGCTGTTGGATTGGCCCTTTGGCCCACAACATCGGCCACGCTCGGACCTAAAGTCCTGCCCGCCTCCCTTCCTCCTCTCGTAAAAAACAAAAGTGTAGCGCGAGCGCGTGGCCAGGCGATAAGGGACGCCTCGCAGTTCGAAAGAGCATGGCATTGCTAGATTAAGCTTTGAAGTTTGGGCTGACCTTGGTCCCGCTCTTTAGCCGTCGGAGGGCAAAACAGCTGCCGCCAAGATGCGCTTGGATAAGAATCCGAGACCAGAATACGCGTCAGAATTGAAGCGTTTTTCAAAACATGGTAAAATGCTCGGCATGATTTATACTTGTCTAAAAAGGATTGATATATGGGTTATTGATGATGCCCAGTAAGTTTCTAATTGAAACTATGGCCTTAAAATGAACAAATAAAGAGTTAATTTTTAAAAAAAACTTCGAAAAGGCTTTTTTTTCTTTTCTAAACGTTGATATTTTTTTTTTTTTTTTTTAAATGGGCTCTTGGACAGACACCAACACGGCATCAACCTTTTTTTCTGTGGGATGCTTAGTTTTTGCATTGCTATGAGGACGTATAATCGACAATTCCAACTCGAAAAAGAGTACGCAGACTCACACAGACGCCGACAACGTGACATTCCAATGGTCTGTTGACGCGGGACGCGGTGCTTCTTGCCCACACTCCATTGCGCATACGCTCGAACTGTCGTCTGCTCTTTCAAACCTGTCTGCTTTTTGTCGACTGCTCGTTCAAACGACAGCGGCCCGCAAACCAAACGTTGACGAGGTAATTCCAATAAGAAGTTAGTACAGGCCTCAAAATTTGAAGGTCGGTTCGGTTAAGTTGGCTTAGTGTAAACAGTAGATACAAGGAGATGTTGATCATTGTTACCAGTGGCCATCACCGACTTGTCCGATTTTACTTGCGGTTTTCAGTATCGACGTCCACCATCTCAGCTACGGTCCACGCTTTTGCAACCCGCGCGACGTCGCGACTGAAAATAGCGAGCAGAATCTCATCACGGGAGCTAGGCTTTTGCGCCCATTCTGCGGCGTCCATGTGAAATGAATCGCCGCACGTCACATTATTCACGCGAAGTTTTGCAGAGTATCGAGCTTCGTTAATTTTGCTAAAGCCGCTCAAGTAGTCGGACAATGTTAGGAGGACGTAGAATCAACAGTTCTAACGCGAAAAAGAGCACGGGAACTCGCACCGCCGCCGACAACATCGCATTTCAATTAGGGGTGTGCGAATACTCGAATATACGAATTCGAATCGAATAGAAAGTTCCCGAATAATTCGATTCGCGAATCGAATTCCTAGTATTCGATTACTCGAATATTCGATATATTCGGCCAAAGACGCGCGGTGGGCGCGGAGCAAACGAAAAAGCATTTTTTTCTCCCGATGTAAGCGCCGTGATGTTAGACAGACCATGCGAGAAACAGCTCTTGGTCCTACCATTCCACAAAAATCTAACGCACAGGTTAGAAAACAGAAAAGTAACGAACGCCACAAACTTTATAGCACGAAGATTTACTCACGATCATGACACAATCTACCCTTGAATCACAGCTGAAACATCCCGCTTGCGCCGCTTCCAGAGAGGAATTGTTGGGAAGCCGGAATTCCGCGCCAAGCCTAATTCTTTTCACGAGTAAAACTCCTCGTTTCAAATTGAAGCGCCGATGTAAAACACACTTGCCGCACTCGCAGAAATCGGCTACTGCACCACTGCACGATCACAGAAAGAAAACCAACGTTACCATGCCGGCGAAACCAACCGAGTTTTCGTCGTCGTTCTTTTGGAACCGCAAATTCTGATTCCGAATCAGAACGACAACTCGGTTGGTTTCGCCGACCTGGTAACGTTGGTTTTCTTTCTGTGATCGTGCAGTGGTGCAGTAGCCGATTTCTGCGAATGCGGCAAATGTGTTTTACTTCGGCGTCGTGAAAAGAATTAGGCTTGGCACAGAAGAAACGGAACGGAAAAATAGTGTGCCTAGATTTGAGAGGATTTCCAACAGCTCGATAGCCGCGTTTGAATTACGAACTGCGAGAAGGCGCCGAAAAGGCGAAAGCGTCGGTCGGGTTCGGGCAGGCAGGGCAGGCGTCATCGCTCTTCTGTTTGTTCGCCTTCTTTCCACGCGACAACACAACACATGCGCATTCACGATCAATCTGCGATGGAGCAGTCTCTGTGGTTTCAGTTTCGGTTGCTCCCTCTTTTAAATCAAGGCTCTCTAAAACAGGATAGATAAACGGAAAAATGGATGCGTAGCGGCAGTTGGAGGGTAACTTGCGCCACCTAACCACGTTTGTTTTTTTTTACTTTATATTGTTTAAGTTGGTTTATCTCGTTGCTGTTTGCTCAGATTTAACACCCGTCTATTTATTTATGTGCAATCAAATCCCAGGTGCCATTTTTTTCCTTAAAATGGAGACCAACCATCGCAAAATGCCCCTTTTCTGAGATATACAAATATTTACAAAAAAAGTTGCGGTATTAGGTTGTGTTTTTAAAGAGAAAAAAAGGCACGCGTGGCTGTAACTTTTTTTGTGACGTTTAGGGTAAATAGATTATCTCTGCACCATAAAATTGGATCTTTAGTGCCCAACGTTCAACAGCAACTGCTTTTTTTTTTTCACCGGAACTTTTTTACATTTTGGCTTTTGTTTTGTACAAGACATATATTCTGCACCAGGCGTATATTCTGCACATATTATAATCGCATTCGCAGCACACTTTGAAAGATTCCTACGAATAAAATCACTATTCGATATTCGGTTTTTTTTCCTTGATTCGATTCGGTATTCAATTCGAAAGCTACTATTCGGTATTCGCACACCCCTAATTTCAATGGTTGGTTAATGGGCGACGGCCAGCTTCTTGCCCATCGCACATGCGCGACGCCGGTGGCGTCCGCTAGGGGCGCTCCGGTTTGGGTGTTTCACAAAAGATGGACAAATTCGATATTGCAAAAACTATGCATCGCACAAAAAAAAAAAAAGAGCTTGTTTTGTCTTGGTCGTAGGCCAAGGGCCTATTTAGGAAAATTATTAAAAGTTCGGGATAATTAAGTTGTTAATTATTTTCGCGTGATTATTTTTTTAAATGTTGAGTTTAAGGGCATAGTTTTATTTGTAAACTTGATGAGCATCATCGAAAAACACTAAATAAAAAATGGGAGTGCTATAGAAGGCACGCGCTGCATTTTACAGCTTATGAAATGCCGCACAACATTGACAGGTTTTTAAGTTTCGGTTTGCCATCGGAGCGCTTCTTGGCATCGACGGTACCGCGCCCTGTGGAGAAATAGTGCGACCAACATCTCACGCAACGCAGTAGAGGCAGGTTGCACTATTTCTCCACGGGGCGCGGTGCCGTCGACGCCGAGAAGCGCTCCGATGGCAAACGAAACCGAAACTTAAAAATCCTCCGAAGTTGTGCGGTTTTTCAGAAAACTGTAAAATGCAACGCGTGCCTTCTATCGCACTCCAATTTTGTTTATTTAATGTTTTTCGATGATGCTCAGAAAGTTTCCAAATGAAACCATTCCCTTAAACTCGTTATTTAAAAAATGAAAGCCGTTTACAACTCCCTGTAACGCCGAATTAGAGCGCAGCTCTTGAGGTGGAGGAGACAAGGCCACAAAGGTCACGTGACCTTGATGGGGTCACGTGACCCCCTCCCCAATATCTCGTGGGGGTCACGTGACCTCGGGGGTCACATGACTCCCCAGAGAAATTTTTCGTCTAGATTTAGCAGGGAAATTTTCCGCTAAATCTAGCGGGGAAATTTTCCGCTAGATTTAGCGGGGAAATGTTTTGCTAAATTTAGCGGAAGAACTTTTTCCGCTAGATCTAGCGGAGAAATTTTTCCGCTAGATTTAGTGGGGAAATTTTTCCGCTAGATATAGCGGGGAAATTTTTCCGCTAGATTTAGCGGGAAAATATTTCCGCTAGATTTAGCGGGAAAATATTTCCGCTAGATTTAGCGGGGAAATTTTTCTGCCAGATTTAGCGGGGAAATGTTTCCGCTAGATTTAGCGGGGAAAATTTTTCCGCTAGATTTAGGGAATATTCCGCTAGATTTGGCGGGGAAATTTTTCCGCTAGATTTAGCAGGGAAATTTTTCTGCTAGATTTAGCGGGGAAATTTTTCCGCTAGATTTAGCGGGGAATTTTTTCCGCTAGATTTAGTGGGGAAAATTACCCATAATGCACCGCGCGGTTACGGCGACGCCGACGCCGCTGAAGCCGGAAACGGGCGTCTAAGAGAGCTGCACTCTAAAAAGAAAAATTAATTACGCGAAAATAATTAACACTTTAACTATCCCGAACTTTAATTTGAATTTTCCTAAGTAGGCCCCTGGCCAATGACCAAAACGACCGCTAGATTTAGCGGGAAAATTTTTCCGCTAGATTTAGCGGGGAATTTTTTTCAATAGATTTAGCGGGGAATTTTTCCGCTAGATTTAGCGAGAAATTTTTCCGCTAAATTTAGCGGGGCGGCGTACAGAGTCGTTCATATATACAAAAAGGTTTTGATACAGTGCATTTACTTTTTTTTTTTTTTTTTGCAATCGTTGCAGGTCTTACCAGAGCCTTGGAGGCCATCGGAGATTGGAGCCACCTTTTTTATTATTTTGTTTTTTTAATTTTAGTAATACTATTTTTTTCCTGGCTCTCGAGACGCTGACATATGATATCCCTAATTCGGCCCCTCAGCCTAAAAATTTGGAGACCCCTGCTTTAAAGTTTTTCGGGTCACACTTTCCAGCAACTACAAACGCTTTTGAGCAGCTGTGCTTAGGCGCAGTCAAAATTGGCTTTCATTTTTTTAATGATTATTGCATTACTGTGGTTGCGCGACAGGTTACTTACACCCCTGTCAGACGGCAGCTAAAATGGCATTTACGCCAAATGACATTCAGGTTTTCAAATGACATTCAAGATGGGACCTGCCAGACGACAACTAAAATGACATTTAAGTGATGTCTATTACGATTGCGATCACAAATTCGTCTCGTGCACATAGAACACGTTTTCGTCAATAAACAATTTTAACACGGCAAAACACTTGTTTTTGTGTGTGTTGTCTGCTGGGACAAGAAAATATAACAAAAAACTGGGATAGAAAGTTGCGCTCACTAGTTTCTGATGAAAAAATAAAGCGAAGCGTGGGGCGAAATCCATTAGCCAACCTAACGTCGTCGTAAGCCGAGCCTCCCGCACTTTGCCAGTGCCACTACAGCTGACAGCTTGCTCGCACAGTGGCACAGTTCTTTCGTTAATTTCGGTAGTGCTTGCTTGCTCTGGTTGTCCCTCACGCTCGATCTTCGGCTGCCGTGTTCACTCCTACGTCTGCGAGGGATCCTGGATGCCGTATTGCGCTTCCGCCGTCACTATCACGGCGGTATGGATTGATCTTGGTTCGAGCGTCTCCGGCTGTTGAGAAGGCCGTCCATCATCTTCGTCGTAGACGCATTCCGCGAGCTTCGGTTTGAAAACAGGCTACCGTACCTACTAACGTACTGCCTCTTCAAGCAGGCGTACTAATGTACGCCTGCTTGAAGCAGACCGATAAGCACGCAGGGCAGTGCGAACTAGCGCATCCGCGTTACGGTGATCACGTGGACGCCGTTCAGCCAACACCGGGAGGAGAAACTCATGAAGTCACCGTTCAATTTCGCTCTGAGAAGTAAAAACAAACAAAACGTGAGAACGACGCAGTCATGCCTCTGACGTAGTGGCTCAACGTTGGCCGCTCCAACTCCGTCGTATTGCCTGCGCTGACGATTGTGCCTCACGTCGCACGCTAGAGTTGGCAGATTTCGGCGACTTGGCTCACTTGAAGGTTTGCTGGCCAGTTTATTAAATATATAGACGGAATTAGATCGTAATATTTGACCTGGGGTCTTCCTATGTGATACTGAAGAGGGCTACATCGTATTCTAAATATCAAAAATGAAGCGGAGTTGCCCTTTAAAGGGGTAGGGAAACGAAATTTCAGCGCTCGTTTTCTGGCTTTAATGTGTTGCATGTTGCACCCTAACCTCAAAAACACCAGTCTTCCATTGAAAAGCACAAGAAAACTAATTTTAAAGCTAAAGAAACGATCTTTCAAAGTGCACCTGGTGGATGCATGCGGAGCCTATTTGGGAGGTAGTCTAGCAACGTTGTGGAAACTGCTACGTAGTCGTGACGTAGCAGTTTCCTTCGGAGCAGCGCCGCTCTTTGGTATTTCAACATTTTCCTTCTTAGCTTTCCTCCTCAACTCACAAGTCGCGCATTGTACCAAACGGTTCAAGAAGACGTAAAGGAAGGACTCTCCTCTTTCTCGGACCCTCGTTCGTGCAACCGGACATAGTCATTCTCCCCCTAGAAGATTAGCACGTCGCTTAAAACTCTAACAAAAGTTGCTTTCCCCACCTCGTTCAGCCCTAAGCTGACAGTGTTGTGGAAGCTACGTGCTCCTTGGGCCAGCCACATGCTCGTCACCCCACGGGCACTTCGAGCGGCTCGGTTGTAACGCGCTGACGCTATTGACACCATCACAACGCTGACAACGCCACCAAGGGCAAAGCTCATAACCACGCCTGCCTTGCTACTCCACAAACGCGGGAAATCTTTTCTTTCTGTTTTTGTTTGCGCCGGATATCCCTTGACGCATCGCGCTGCCCGTTCGCTTCTCTTCGAGCGCTTGCTCGAGTGCACCGTTTGGAACGAAAAATATGGCCAATCGTTCAAAATACAAACGCGCGATTATCATTTACGGTTATTATACGTCATGCTTGACTCATTTCCGAACGAAATCTGAATATTTCAATTTTTGTTTCCGTACCCCTTTAATTAAAGGGGCCCTGTTATCATATTTAAGCATCTAACTTTTTTGCGGTTTCCATGCCTCTCGGGGTTCGGGCAAGCCAGTGGGCACGGAGAGAGTAACTAAATATCAGTGCGTCATATTTTAAACAGACGACGCGGAAACCTCCTCCACCTACGGGGGCGACCCGCAGTGCCGAAAGCGCGTGATATGTGAAGTCTTTGGTCCTAGCCTTACTACTGGGCAAAGCCGCTAAAAGCTTCTTTTTAGTCAAAATACAAAATATAAGTGTCGCAAACCGTTTTAATTATTTATGAAATTAGTTTTTGTTCAGTATTTTAGATCAGAGAAGAAACAAATGCAGTTTATAAAGTATGAAAACAAGAAATGACCCGCCGACATACCAAGCGATGGAAAAGGCAGTGCATACTAGGAAGGGGTAGTGGGATCAGGCACCGACAAGCGGCAAGTGTAGAAACGTCCCGGATGTACGCGGCGGCGCAGTGGTCGTCCGCGGACTCGAGGATCCGACCGTTTCCGAGCCTTCCCAAGGCCTTCGGCGAGCAGGTTTGGCTTGCGGTTTGGCGGTATGGCGGCGTGAAGTGGCTCCCGTTCTGAATTGATCTTTACCTCGTGTCTTCTGACGTTTGTGGCAAATGAGGTGTCATGCCGAATTAGTGTTTAGTTGTGCAGCAAATGCAATGAGAGTCGCCCTGGCTGCCCGCTTCATACATCCTATGCGGAGCATGCTTTAGTGGTGCTCTCTCGAGCTTTTGACTTGGAGTGCCGCACTTCACCAAGTCTAAGGATTCACAAATTTGTGAATCATTAGACTTGGTGAAGTGGGTAGTTTATGTTTGAGTCATGCAAATATGAAGTCAGATCCAGCTTTAGTGCAATTTTGTGAATATGTATTTTGCTTTCACTTATGAAACTGATTGCATATATAAAATATGCAACCAGTCTTGCACATCTTTTCTCCATTGCGACAAGAAAAAGGAAGATTTGTAGGCTTTCCTTCCTTGCTGGAGAGCAGAAAAAAAAAAGGAACATGTTCCAATGCACACATTATGTTGAAGTGGGACAAATATGGAAACTAATTCTGCGTTTTCAAGCGTCATAAAGTATGCGGATTAGTTTCAAGTCATAAAAGGATGAAGTTGGAAACAACTTTAGTTCACCTTCAGTCAGGCTATCCTTTTAGATCCAGGGACATTTCACCTTCATAAGGTCATCAGTACCAATTAGCAGGTCAGGGCATCCATTCAGGACTCCGTACCGATAGATGTACAAGCTTGACCGTAAGGTCACAGTGCCCTCCCTCCATGTGCTTGCAGTGCGACCCCCTCGTGCACTTGGTCCCAGATAGTGAAGCTGGTGCTGGACAGGATGTTGCCTCCTGTAAAAGTCGTCCCACTAGTCAAACAATCCATTTACACCCTTGAGCAGTAGATTTGTCCTCCAATGCCATGACCAACTGAAAATTAGTGCAAGCCTATATTTTTACGCAATAGAATACATAAATTAACATGTTTATTTCATTCCCTTTGTACTGAACATCTGCCAACATCCAAGGGACACAAATTTGTAAAAGTACCTTTGCATTCTTTGGACTCCTTAAACTCAACCCACTCAAACACTACAACAGCTCCTGGGTTTTTAGTCTTGGGAGTTTTAGCTTTGATTTTTGTCATTGCTTGGTTGCTGGTAGATGCTGGAGAAAGCTCATACTGTTACTTTGAAGCATCAAGAGAGAACTTCAACCGGGCTGACTGCACAACAGTGATCTGAGCCACATTAACCAGAGGAGAGTGAGTAACAAGCGAACAACACTGCGGGTGAGGAGATAATTGACAGAGCTATGTAACCCAATAATCAGTCATCCCGTCAACGACCAAGAAAAGGAGGTCTAAAGGTCAGCACAGCAATACCTGCAGCATGCCAAGAAATAACGCATAATAAGCAATGTTACAGTGGTCTGCAACAGGTAGCTTTTCAGTGCCTTGAGCAACCTGGTTGAGATCACATGACACTTTACTGCCATATGTGGCTTGCAAAATGTAGATGCATAAGTAAAAAAAAACTAATCATTTGACTTTTTACTTTAGATATCAGCATCTGTAATCGGCTTCCACAACTTTAGAAAGCTGTCTTTGAATGCGTAGAGTGGTTTTGCAGCGTGAGCTACACTGGCCGAGGTTGAGCAGTTTCGCATGGCTCGCATAATGAGCCGTGCTCCGTGCTGCGCATTCTGAAGAGCAGTTACGTCACACGGCGCACAGCTGGTGCGCCGGAGCAGTGCCTCCTATATACGTTCCTGTCAGCTTCTCTCCAGGAGGTGTCCAGGCCCGATGCTTCACCTCACAACACGCACATTCGGCTAGGTAGCACTGCCTGGCGGACGTTCGTTTTTTCTATTTTTCTAGAAAGTTGTATTTACATTATTATTATTAAAGATATATCATATATATGTTTTTTTAACATGTTGAACACTGTTCTGGGTGTGATTACCCTGATTCAAACGAGTTTCGCTGAGACAAAATACGAAACAAGCACGGCCAGGCTTCGCTTTTGCAGCGCGGACGCGGAGAAAGCTTGGCCGCTTGACCGTCTGCTTTTGGCGGCAGTTTGGGGTTTTGGCGGTCACCTTGAATCGCGCGCATAGAAATAGTTTGCGCCGGGTCGTGTGCGGGTGAAAAGGTAGGAAAATAAGAAGTAATATTCTGTTGAAAACGGCAAGCTGGTCCCGAGCTGTCAGTCAAAAACATTTAGATTTCTTGCTGTCGGTGCTGCTGGGGTGCATTGAACCTCCTACAGAAGAGATGGTTGGCTTCACTACACAGCAGGTTTGTACGCCTAGGTGGCTCCACCGCACGGCAACCGAAAAGTATATAATAGGTAAGGGCAATAGAAATGCAGCTGTAATGAAAAATAGAGCACTTTGGAATTACAACAGGTATGAGGTGGCGAGAGAGATTTAAAAAGGGGTCATGGTGCCTGGCTTGACTTTTGGAAACGCAGTGCTATGCATGAAATCCAAAGTGCATGCAAGACTAGAAATAAAACAGCACGGAGTAGGTAGACTGGCTTTGGGGGCACATTG